TTAACTTAAATAGAGTAATGTGAGGTATAAGGAAGTTGTTACAATCTTGTTCTAATTGTTGCGAGGTTATTGTAAATTGGTGTATCCACGTTCGGCACGGAAGAGCTCTCCATTAGTTCTAGTGTCTGTCCGTCGTATCCATCTGATCTCAAAAACTGAACGATAAATATACGAGCATAATACACATACTATATGTTGATAGATAAACTCATTCGTCATCTAGTAATTGCATATATAAAATTTTAACTTTATCTAATAGAACATTATGTATACTTATATATTTTGTGACAACGTCGTACAGTGCGTTATATGAGTGCAGTGATATGCCAAATAATACAATCCAGCAATGATTATATTATATAACGTTTCTTAATATAAAATATACAAATATTGTTGAACATTTTCTAAATATATAACAAGAGTAAGCGGCTAATCATGAGAATAAATTATTTTTCAATGTATTGAATCGTATTATTTAAACTGGTAATCCTAAATTCAGAAAAAATATGTTGGCGCCATAACTAGTAACTCATAAATGGCCTATCCTCCTTCCCATTGTGTTTAACTTTTAACATTTATTTTGTATTTATACTATAACATTCCACAAAATTAAAAAATATCATATTTATAAAATGTTCTCGATTTGGCACCAAAAGGCCGAGTCAATCTTTTGGATCTTTTGAAATAGAAGAAGGCTACTTAGTTCAGTCGGTCGGATACTTTGGTATTAATTTAATTATTACTATTAAATCCTTCCTGCTCAGTCAGGAAGGATTTAATAGTAAGACAAAGTAATTCTTAGGTCTTGAGATAGACCTAAGAAATTAGCACAATTCGATTCTATTGGCACAATTAAATTGAGTGAGCAGTGAGTCTCTTGGACGACCTCGGTAGTCCTAACGATTTAGAACACCTCTTAACTTCCGATTATCGCGGGTTCGATTCCTTACACGGTGCAGACTTATTATTATCTCAATCCGACAAACGTTCGGATACCAAATAACCTGCGTAAACCACATTAAATATAATTTATTAGAATAAAATTCTGAATTATGACACGGCAAAGTTATCCGTGTCGTGGTTATAATGTTTTTGTCGAAAAAACTTAAAAATATCGCTGACAATATTATCCGATTGCACGAAGAATCAATGCGTAGCGGTTTCTATGTTCATTGTCCCATGCTATAAAACAACATTTATTTAAAAGAGCAACACACGCAATTTTCTTGCTCATTCTATTTGTGATGAATCTGCGTTCCGATTGAATGGTAGAATAAAAATAATATGATATTCAAAAGTGCTAATCAAGTCTATTTGTATAAGATTATTTCTATTCATTCTAAAATGTAACTACATATATTTACTTATTTTTATGATTGTAAATGTATAAATAAAATATTACGTTGTACAATTTTGCAGAAAAACAAGAAAACATTTTTTTACTCTACACTCTTGCAAGGGATAATTTGTAAGTTTAAACACAATTTATATACATTGACACACATTACAGATACTAGTTCTAATAGATACTAGTTTCTAAGAGCAGTAAAATAAAGATTATTACTATATTTTATTATGGTAAACATTTTTAACTAACTTACTTTTAACTTGTTAATAAGCGATGTGAAAATTTCGCATAAAAATTTATCGTAAAAAAATTCCAGATTATGCACACTTGAGCCTAAAGATTACGAGTTAATTTTAATTATTTGTATCATTTGTACTAATCTAATGCAATATCCACACATAGCAGTACATAAAGTAATTGCGCCTAGACTATACACCTGACATCTGCCCTAGTTTTATTTTGCAGACGTTCAAAATCATTTTAAACAACATATATAGAGGTTTTTGTGTGTATTATACAAGTGAATCAATAATTTTAAATGAAACACTTTCATATTCTTTAAATATTTATTCACACGTTCACACACAAATAACATTATGGTCGGGGGAACAAAAACATTTTAGTCTAAGGGTTGATACTTCAGTTACACAAACCAGTTCAATCTACACAATGAACACGTCAGTATGGAATCGGAATTTGTAAAGATAATATCAATAGTGTATTATAAATGAAGAGGAATCATGGCGTAGTGGTTTGCTACCCGACTTCGACCCCTAAAGGTGACGAGTTCAAATCTGGCCAACACAAAAATCTGTGTATCGATTTATATTCCTACCGTGGAGGAAACACCGATAACAAACCAATTAAATCCAAGAGGTGGTGACTTGCTTCCTGCCATGTTGGATTCTAATATACATTATTAAAAATATAACCCTATCTCGACATGCGTAATGCGGGCATGTCAAGTATTGCTTTCAATTGACTGGCTGGTCTAGCGGTACATCGCACCGCCTTACTTTCGATGGTCGCGGGTTCAATTATCGCACAGTACAAATATTTGTATTAATGAGTATGACTTTTTACTTGTCTGGGTATTATATTATGTACGTATGTACAAAAAACCCATAACACAAGCACCGTTTGGTTTAGAACTAGATGGCACTGTGTAAATTGTCATGGGTTAATAATTATTATTAATTTCAAAGCTATATTGGAAACTTCTCTACTAAAATATTTTTATGGAACAGACTTGTATAGTTAAATAATTTATATATTTGGACTTCTATGCCTGTAGAGTTTGCGAAATAATACTAAGAGTGGGCAGTACTGATGAATTTGTATTTTTTTCTAAAAAAAAAAAACAAAACTCTTATCGGTTTATGAATGACGGAGTTTTGAAGAAAAAATTTAAAATACAGCCGTATGAAAATCACTTGCTCATTTTTTGGCGTCGGTTAAAAATATAACTGATCGCTGTCTATACATGGAGCGTATATGAAAAAAACGAGAGGACTTTATCAAATCAATGTAACTGCACCTAAAACTATGATTTTTACAATTTTTATCGGTTCGCGCGCTAGTCTATGAAACGGCTTAACCGATTTTGTTTTTTTTAAAGCTTTTGGGCGCAGCTGGGCTTTATAGCTTCACTGGACGATAGGGAGCGAGTGCAGATGGCACTCCAAACCCACGGAAGGTTGTATGAAGCGGCTGAAAGCCCACTCCTGCCTGGCGGATACGACTTAGTCTGAAGACACCGCTAGGGTTCAACCTCACCTCAGGCCGTCACAATTTCGAACCCCCTTTAAATTGGACGGGGGATTGATCGGAGAGGACCGATTTGGGTATCAATTGTTAACCGAATAAAGCTTAAAATAGCAAAAATATATAAATTTAATACCTCTCAGTAATAAATATTATATTTTCTGTATCACGGCAATGTTGTAGGGAATGAGCACTGCTTATCCTAAAGTACAGGAATTTTCCTATTTAGGGAGCAGGGTTCCACTAAATATTTTAAGGATATACTGTAACATATATTGCAAAGATTTCAAGGATGTGTGCAGTGTAAAATATATAAAAAAAACCGAACCTAACTAATTAAATATCTAAATAAGGACATTGATATAAAATGGATAATTTACCAATAAATATACTTTATAATTATTTTTTTGTAGATTAGGAGCGAAGGAATTAGGAAAGGCATATACATAGGAGGTAAAGGAGGAGCCTGCGGAAACCTCAACTTGCAACAAGACCAAGGCTAGGATAAGGCTTTCTAAAAAAAAGTAATTCAATTGAGTTTCTTGCCAGTTCTTCTTAATTGGATCTATATACAGAACTTGACGGTAGGGAAAAAATATAATATAAAAAATTTTACGTTCATAAGCGGCTAATATGTCCAACATGAATAAATTATTTTTGAATTTAAATCTGAAGAGGTGTGATATTTCTAGGACGACCTCATTCGTGCTGTACAAACGTATGTTCCTTGGCAACAAAAAATGACCAACCATGTGCTACCACTTAAAAATTAATACCTTTCCGAATGAGATATTTTTAGAAGCCGCTTTACAATTTATATGTACATTAGATACTGCGCCGATAGGTAAAATTAATTAAAAGGATTAGCAATTTTATTTTATAACACGTAAATAATTCTGTGGTACTATTCAATTGTTTATAGCTAAGAAGACGGTTATTAAGAACAAAAATACTGAGTAGTAAATAAGTTATAATTATTCTACATAAATAAATATACGACCTATAGTATCTAAGAAGACTAGTGTCTTCTCAGTGCTAGCAACGTATCTTATAAGATCTTCCTGCATGCGGTTCCCCCTGGAAACTGTTATGATAAATTCCTGCTGATTTTGCCACAATGGACTAACTGACCTGACCTCATGCTCATCTTATCATCCTCCACTGGTGTCCCGCCAACGTTAATTAGGCGGGTACACTATTCCATATTCATCTATTTAAAAAACCCAATTTAATTATAATCCTATCATCACCATTGATGCCCCACAAGGATATACCACTGGAATAGGTGAGATACCTACTTCGTCTGATAGAATAATTCTGTTAATAACGTCACCCAATAAGAACAAAGGGAATATATATCCTAAATACTGCACTGTCTCAGAAAAACACATTTATTTATGTAATCATGTAACTCGAATGCAATCCATAATTATACAAGTCAGAGTTTGTTTCAATGCTATAGCCAAATAATTATCATATTTCTCACTTATGTACATGTTTTTTTTATTGCTATCTCAACTTGCAGTTCATTTTAATACTTCAAACATGGCAAGACGAATAACTGCTGTTTTTTTAAAGTCAATTCGTTACTATCATCTTCTCGTAGAGTGGAACCACGTACTAACGCGATATACGGCTGTCATTTAAATAACCGCTTATTGAATGTACAAATTAATCTTAAAATATGTTTAAAAATATTAGTAAACAATTCCAGAATATTCCTCAGTATCTTCTTGTAAAATTCAGTACACATCGCAATAAAAGACATTCTCTTGTCACAAATTTTCCCAAAATTTGACGGAGTAATGCGTACCTAAGAAAATAATTGAAATCGTACCATAAGACTTATTTGTTCGTAAAATCATCCCGGCTTAATACAAACACTTACCTTTGCTGCAGTTCTGTTCCAAACAATGACCTTGTGCCCAGAATTGAGCAGGTTCTTCACTATGCCGCTACCCATGATGCCCAGGCCGAGGAAGCCGAACTTCATTTGGCTGGCTTTAATATTCTTCTCCAGTAATGTTTCGGAGACATTCTCCAAGTCCAACGGTGGCGTTTCCTGTAGCAATTATTGTATTGATTATTGCAAACTATCAGGTAGTTGGGGAGAAGTGGTTTGTTAGTAATGTGGACTGTGGACCCTATTGCTAGCAATGTACCATGCGGATTGCCATTCCCGCGGTTACCCTGGAAACCATCGTGATAAATTCCTGATGAATATATCATAATGGGCTAACTGACTTGACCTCATGCTCATCTTATCATGCTCCACTAGTGCCTCGCCCGCGTAAACCGTTAGCGCAGGCTATAGGCTGATAATGGAATGATGCACCCATCATTCCATTATCATTAATAAAAAAAACTATCAGGTAGTGACAGCCGAATGATTATGTAATAGGAATGTTTGCAACAGTGTTAACGTATTAACATTAATACAACAACACACAAGTTTCTTGCTCGTTCTTCTTGTGATGAGACGGCTTTCCGAACGAGTGGTAGATAAAAAACAAATTGTTATGACTATTCAAAAGTGCTTAAATTAAGTTTATTTGAATAAATGTTTTTCTATTCTATTCTAAAAACAACTGATTGAGTTTCGCGATTATGTACGAAATATTTGGCAGTTGCAGTTCCAAGCGCAGGTCACTTTTGCAATTTATTGTATACTAGCTAACCCTACTTCGTCTGTATCACACTTACTTGACGTCTATTGGCAAATCTTTTTAACTTATAGTCTCTGTTTTTCTAATGTGTAAGCTACATTACTGTAAAGTTTCATCAAAACCCGTTCTGTAGTTTTTGCGTGAAAGAGTAACAAACATTCATCTATCCATCTATTCATACATACTCACAAACTTTCGCGTTTATAATATTAGTAAGTTACCAACTAGTAGTTATTAACTAGTGGCCTGCCCCGGCCTCGCTTTAGTGTTTGTAACTTTAGGTTTTGTACTATATGTATATATTTTGTGCCTAATCTGTCACAATGATTGAATGACTGACTGATGTAGCTGATGTAATAAGGAGTAACTTAGGCTACTTTTATTTTAGAAAATTAGAAGAAATTTTCTAAAAAGTTAATAAAGTTAATAACCACGCGGACGAAGTCGTGGGTCCAGCTAGTTAGAAATAAAAGACCAGTGGCCCCGCGATCTCCGTTCGGCCTCAGAATTAAATAATATGTCAAAGGTTTTTGAAGTTCAATAATAGAAAAACAAAATTACTTTTACTATTTTCCATACAATTCTTTATATTTTCACACCATTTAAACCCTCCTTGGAGTTCTATAAATATTTCAAAAACCAAATCCGTCCAGAGCTTCTTTAGTTTTAGCGAGACTAACAAAAATAATTACTATTTTATATACAAGAAGATTTCATTTCGTTGAGCCGGTGTTTTAATTACTAGGGTATAATGTACTGACCTAGTGATATTAAGGTTAATAAACGTGGAGGATTGCGTTTATTAATTTACCATCATCTGTTCGTGGCGCCCGATTGACCACAACTGACTTGGATAAATACTAGTCTAATTATCTAAGTATATATATAGGTTATATATTATATAGGTTATTGGCAATAGACCTCTTTATAAGGTATTCTTATGTTGAACAAGAACAACAAAATTTATATACAAGCTGTGCCCGCGGTTTCACTCGCGTTAAATTTCAATAAGAAATATAGCCTATAGAATAGAATAGAATAGAATAGAAAATCATTTATTCAAATAAACTTAATTTAAGCACTTTTGAATAGTCAACATTATTTTAAATCTACCGCTTATTCGGATCTCTATATTGTAATCTATATTAAAGTTTCAAAATCCGTTCGGTAGTCATTGCGTGAAAGAGCAACAAACATACAAACTTTCTTTCTTTCGTTTATAATATGATTAAGATAATAAAGGTATAAACTTACAGGTCTCAATATATTGGATGGACGATGCAGCAGACTGGACTTCTTCGAGAACGAATGGTTCAACATAGAGGGCTTATCGTTCATATCACTTTCGGTGTAGGACCTTGACAGGCTGCTCTTGCTTTTCTTCCGCGGCGCTGACTTCAGTCCGGTAGACGATGAGCGTTTTATTGGCTTCACCTTTGAACCCAAACGTATCTATAAATATTTAGAGTCTTCATCATTTCGTTACAGTTTTTATAACATAGAGGATAAAGCTTGCGGCTCACCTGATGGTAAGTGATTACCGCCGTTCATGATCAGCTGCAAAAATCTGCAGATTTTGCAGAGGAAACGCCAATACTCGATATATGTCGTTGTAGCCCACTCGTGCATAAACGAAATACCTCTTTTGGAAAGTATAAACTCTATCCTAAGATAGAAACCATCGCTCCTAAGAATATCCTTCAATTCCTGACCTGACGGGTCTAGTTAGTGATCTTTAAAAACACCGAGCACAATAGATTTATGCAGGTCGCAGTGCTACAGACTACAGTGCTTAGCACCTGACAACAGCCAAAACCCTCAAAAATAAACATATCACGGTTGAGCTCTATGCAGTACCCTTGGATACCATCACAATAAATGCTTGGTGAAATTGAAAGATGAGCTAAATGACTTGACCTCTTTCATTCATTTCATTTCACATTGGTGCCCCGCCGGTCACGCCGGGGCACCATTCCATTATCATTAAATAAAAAACATATCTAAACTTGACGATGCCTGATGATTACCCAATCAGGCATAATAGATACATAAAACTTTTATTCACGTAACAGGTACACATAAGGTACAGTAATATAAAGAGAGATACAAAGTAAATACACAACTACATAGGTCAGTAAACAATACACAACATAGGTACAAACGTGTGAGTAAGGTAATGTGTGTCATCGCATCATCGCCCATACGCAGCACCTCAGTGTAGTTTGTCGAGAAAACCACTGATTGTCAGGTAGTGCCCAGAGACACGCGAGGACGCATGCGTGAAGGTATATTATTAATTTTATTATTTACCTTTGGAGTGGAGCTCTTCTTTTTGACCTCGGGGGATGTGGTCTCTTCCTCCGTCTTTTCCTCTTGGTTTTCGCTTGCCAGGACATCCTTCAGCTTGTCAAACTCTTCCTCGGCATTCCTCGCGTGGTCGTCTAATTCAGCGAATTTCTAAACAAAAAACGCTAATTACAATAATAATAATAACCCAAAACAATTCGCACCACCGAGGAAAAAGGACAAACTCTTTTTTTTTTTTATGGATGTCATAGTGCGCTAACGATATACGCTGGCGGGCACCAGTGGAGGATGATGAGAGTAGCAAGAGGTCAAGTTTCCCATTGTGGGAACCGCGTAGAAGTCAACCTGACATTGTACAGTTAGCACAGACTAGTGTACAACTAATTAATCATCCATTTAAAAAAAAATTACACCGCGCCTTCTAGACCCAAGCTATCCAGATCTCATGTTATGATGGGTACTCGACAATTAATAGATATGCTTAATTTTTTTGTAAATACAAACATAATACAAATTAAAAACACCCAGATCAATACAAACAATCATACTCACTCATACAAATATTTGTCCTGTGCTAGGAATCAAACCCTCGACCATCTGAAGGCAACGTGCTAAACCGGTAGACCGCTGAGGCCGTCAAACTAACTGCATACTAACATTTTATTGTAATCTTTAAAACTTAACAATTAAAGAACATTATCGCAGTCTCTCAATAAGTATATTGTTTTAATTATAGTACAGGCATAAACGAACTTGCGGCTCACCTGATGGTAAGTGATTACCGCCGCTCATGAGCACCAACACCAGGGGAATTACAGGTGAGTTTTTTTTTGGGCATGATAGTGGAATGATGCACCCGCCTGCGCTAACGGTTTACGCTGGCGGGGCACCAGTGGAGGATGATAAGATGAGCATGAGATCAAGTCAGTTAGCCTATCGTGACAAATTCAACAAGAATTTATCACGATGGTTTCCAGGGGAAACCGCGTGGAGGTTGGGTAAAGAACAGGAGGGAGGAGGATGGATGGTTAGAACCTTCAATCACCGTGCAAAAGGCGAAAACACGTAACGCTGTTATCCAGAAGAGGGGCAATTCATATATAAAGACATATTAGGGAAGGGCTGCGGGGAAGGATATCAATGAAGTAATAACTAATAACATTGCTGTTTAGGCGCGATTGTATTTTGTGGCCCAAAATATATTTTAAGACTGCAACACCGCAACGTCCGGGTTTGCAGCGGGCCAGAGACAAAACGTTAACCATTGTACTCGAGATTCAAATTCGCAAACAATCACATTACATATAATAATATAAGCATCAATTGTAATAATTCTCATCAATTAGAAAACTAGCCAGGAACCTCAGATTTTATTTACACCATCGAGATCTTCATCACACGAAAAAGCGTAAACATTATACATATAATACTAGCTGTGCCCACGGTTTTACCCGCGTGATTTATAGCCTATATGTTATTCTGATGTATAAGCTATATTACTGTAAAGTTTCATAAAAATCAGTTCAGTAGTTTTTGCGTGAATGAGTAGCAAACATCCATCCATAATCACAAACTTTCGAGCTTATAATATTAGTAAGATATATAGTATACTAGCTGTGGCCGCTGCTTCGACCGATTGATATTTTTATATATTTCGAGTTTAAGATTTTTTTATCTTATTTATATAAAATCTCCTGTCACAATTTTAGAAATTTTCTATGCATATTCAGTAGATCTTAGAATCGGCTATCTATTTGTCATACCCCTAAGTTGGGTTGTCCAACCCTTAATTTATTTTAATTTTTTTATAATGTGGCATTAAAAATACACCTAGCGATTTTAATTTATATGACAAAACACCCATTGCGGGGTCAGCTAGTAGTCTATAAAAAAACCATAGACATTCGACAGACGTTATCCTGCTCGATGTCTTTCCGTTTGGGTCAATTCCCATTTCCACAATAAAGCATACAAAAACATAAAAAACTCCGACAAAGTTCTTCAAGTGTTGATTCTAAGGATACTATAAAAATATATCTTAAGATAGTATTCTTACACGATTATAAAAGTTAATCATAGAACAGTTACATATAAATCTAATACTAAAATTAACAACTTCTTCATGTGCTTTTGGATGCAGCCGCATGATGGGGAAATATTAAGACGAAGTGTCTTAATATGCGGTTCCCCCTAGAAACCATCGTGATAAATTCTTGGTGCATATGTCACGATGTGCTAACTGACCTGACCTCATGCTCATCTTATCATTCTCCACTATAACCCAGCCAGCGTAAACCATCAGCGCAGTCGGGTGCATCATTCCATTATCATTGATAAAAAAAACTATCAGGTAGTTACAGCCGAACGATTATGCAACAGGAATGTTTGCAACTGTGTTAACCTATTAACATTATTTATACAACTGATTGAGTTTCGCGACTATGTACGAAATATTTGGCAGTTGCAGTTCCAAGTGCACCATTCCATTATCATCCATGAAAAAAAAAACCCCATCTAAATGTAATTTCTCACTAATGATTTAATGATGTTATTGCGTGACGCTCTAGTAGTTTACTAGAGTAGATTTAAGTAAACATTTATAAATATTTAAAACTTGTTGTTTTTGAGACTTAGTGTACGGTTTTTAGGTAAACATCTAATGGGGATACTTTCCCTTACTACTACGTAATCTATTTTTTACCTCGCTCTCTAGCCTTGATAAACACCCTTAGTATACAACTAATTGTCTTTACAGTATTGTAATATTGAAATAAATAAGTAAAGATATAAAAATAAACTTATATAAAATATATTTATTATTATTATTATATAAATATAATTATAAATATACTGTTTTAAATTTGACGCGGTCATTATTTATATGTATAATTAGTAAAAATTCGATAAATATAAAACGTGGTAAGATCCCGTGATTTTTACTAATTATACGTATAAAAATAAAATTTATAACCTTATATAGTTTATACTTAAAAATACTCGTACATTAATGTGATTTTAAGTCAATTCTTCCAAATGGAAAGTTAAAAATAAATTATATTCTAATATTTCTCTTTATTAATACAAAAAAAGGCACGAAAATTGCCTAGCAGATATTAATGGCGTCTCTTGAACCTGTCACGTAATAGGATTTTTTTTTTCGGGGCGAGTGCAGATGGCACTCCAAACCCGCAGAAGGACTTATGGAGCGGCTGAAGGCCAACTCCTGGCTGACGGATACGACTTTAGTCTGAGGGCACCACTAGGGGTTCAAACCTGAGCTCAGGCCGTCGTAATTTCGATCCCCGTTAGAATTGGACGGGGGATCGATCGGAGGGACATCCGGGGGCGCCGGTGTGGAGCGCCCGGGCGCGCGCAGGCGCAAGCTTGAATGCGCGATATTGTGTGTTTTTGAGGTCGTCGTCTTTGCCGGCGAGGACGGTGTCGTGTGTGTGTGTGTAAAAGTGTGGTCGGGGTGGAACGTAATAGGAGTACGTTCTCAAAATTAGACTCGTGCGCCGCAATCTTCGGAAATGAAAATACTACTACTACTACTACACTATACCACTGTCTTTCATCGCGCCTGACTGCTTACTGGATAGACAGTGAAAACTAAACGCTTCATTTTATTATTACTCAGAAACAGTGTATGAATATTACAAACTGATGTAGCGAATCCGGAGTACACATCTACACATATAAATAAAATTGGAGTGTCTTTTTGTAATACTGAAATATCCGTTTTTATTACATGCATATGAATATAAATACGGTACATACACCAAAATATCATTTTTTTTTTTGTCCGAATGGGATGACCGATTTTGAAGGGACTTTTTTTGGCAGGTATCTGATGTAATAAGGAGTAACTTAGGCTATTTTTATTTTAGAAAAATAAAGTTAAATTCCATACGGACGAAGTCGCGTGTACAGCTAGTTCATAATAACAAAATTCGCTATTTCATACATACACATGTACTTATACAGGTATGTGTTATTTTATTATATCTGTATAATATATTATAGATGTAATAAATATTATTCTATTCTATTATTAAATTCGGAAGTAGAAAATTGTCTAAATTGTTTTGAACGTAATTATTATTTTTATGATTAGCTTCGCGTGTGAGCACTAGTTGTACAGATTACTAACGTAGACAGAGCATACATATGATCGATACAGTAATTACATAGAAGACAACCGATTTCATAATCTTCAAATCTATGATAATAGTACTAAATTCTGTTTTTCTTTCAATATTGTTAATTAACATAAGGACTCATATACTTCACTCTTTAATATAACGTAAGCAAAGCTTGAATAACTATGAATTTGTGAGTTTGTGTAAATATTTTTTACTCATACAAGGATTTTTTGTGTATAAGTCTTTCTTATAGTATTAATTAATATTCACTTATAATATTTTGTTTATTTATTGATGAACTCGGTGGTTTAGCATACCGCCTTAATTCTGAAGATCGCAGGTTCGATTGCTCACACGGTACAAACAATTGTATTCATTAGTATGATTGTTTGTATCAGTCTGGGTGTTTTCTATGTATAATATGTATTTATTTACAAAATATATCTATGTATATGTGTCAGTTATCTAGTACCCATATCACAAGCTTTAGCTAGCTTAACTTGGGTCTAGATGGCGCTGTGTGAATTGTCCTGAGATTATTATTATTATAAAATATTTGACGTATATTATATGTTTTTTTTTAAATATGTAAACGTTTATATTGATTGTTTAGTACCTATAACACAAGTTCTTTAGCTTGGGTCTAGATGGCGCTGTGTGAATTGTCCTGAGATTATTATTATTATAAAATATTTGACGTATATTATATGTTTTTTTTTAAATATGTAAACGTTTATATTGATTGTTTAGTACCTATAACACAAGTTCTGCTTAGCTTATAACTAGATGGCGCTGTATGACTTGTCCAGGATGGTTATTATTATATTTAAGAGATGAAGAGTTAGCGAATAATCATTTTGCGCGCTGTACTAGGGTAATTAAATTTAAACTTATTCAGATTTCACACATTACACTAGATGAAGAAGGGATTCTTATGATTTTAAGTAATGTGGTCTAATAACCACAATGCTAGAAATATCAACACGGTGTCAGGTCAACCTCTACACGATCCTAACCATTGCTACCAGTGGGCTTATTATGTAACACTATATGAAATCGTTTCTGTTGAAGTTGTGATGCAATATAAAAACATTTCAATTTAAAAAATGCGATAAAGTAAGATCGAATGACGGCAACATAAATCATTTCTATCGATAAAACACTAGTTTGTAGTTGCAGCGCGGGTAACGGAGCTTACTTCATCAAATTCAAATTCAAAATATCCTTATTCATGTAGGTCTATTACAGACTCTTATGATATGTCAAATCTACCGTCAGTTCGGAATGATTTCGAGATGAGAAGAACTGACAAGAAACTCAACTCTTATTCTTTTCAAATAAATGTTACAATAATACAGATTCATTTTTAAATTTTAATTTGGGAGAATAGTGACCACCAGCATATCATCCTCCACTGGTGCCCCAGCTTATACGTTTACCGCAGGCAAGAGCAGTGTTTTATTTTTATTTATTTAAACTTTATTGAATTGTACAATAGGCGGGCTTAATGCTAATAGCATTCTCTACCAGCCAACCTGCCAAGCAAAGTGGAGAGATACTCGAAGGCCGTTAAATAAAATAAAAATATAATTAATAGATGTACATATATGTACATAATCAAATATAACATACATACATAACATTACATAGTGTAAAACAATGTCGCTGTCGCTGTCTGTCCGTCCCTATGTATGCTTAAATCTTTAAAACTACGTAACGGATTTTGAAGCAGATTTTTTTAATAGATAGAGAGATTCAAAAGGAATGTTTACATGTACACCCGGGAGAAGCCGGGGCGAGTAGCTAGTAAAATATATTATAAATAAACTACACATATAAATATGATGAGCCTAGGATTTAAAATATATGCATTAACTTTTCTTTTAAAAGTATACTTAGAAGGAAGTGCTCACCTCAGGATTGACGATGTACTCCTCAATCTGATTGACGGCTTCTTTGAATGCGACAGTCTTGGATGACTTGATGAGCTGATCCTTGAACTCATGATATGGTTTGATGTTGTTATCTTCTATCCACGCACTGCAGGCAATAAACAACTTTAGTATACTAATAATAAAATTGAAAATAATATTTATACAAAAATTACTACTCATATAAACTTTTTAGAACGGTAATTTTTTGTTGTCTTATTTCGAATGTTAATAGAAGTCTAGAAGGATTAGCATGTTCTACCTAGCTCTCTTCTTTGTTGTACTGTTTGTAATTTGTTGTGTTATGTTAGCAATAAATGTATTATTGATGCTTATGTAAACCTCTTTTAATATTAAGAAAATGTATTTGTGTTTTCTTCTAAAGAAAATATATTCATTTGTTTTTGATATTCTGACAGCGAGTAATAAATGAGCTACATAATAACTCGTAAATTTTAATTCATATATATTAATTATCTATCGTCAAACAATATTGTTCATATTAAATTTTGATGTAAATAAATGATAACAATCAATTTATAACTTACAATTATTATTCACAAAAGAAAACAGCTATTAATAATTTTAATTTATTTTTGCCACATGTGTTAATATTATTTTTTTGTGTGAATATAAAACACTCATAACCAATAACACCACATAAAATTGTAAGATGAACCTATTACCTTTACCTTTACATTTAGACATCAAATCAAATCAAAATATCTTCATTCATGTAGGTCCTTTACAGACTTATGATGTGTCGAATCTACGGTCATTTCAGAGTGCTTTCGATCTAAGAAAAACTCATTTATGGATTATATGGATGGATAAATATCGGGAACTCAACAAGAATAAAACGTGGTAAGATCCCGTGATCTACTAATTACACTTACATTTATGGATCAGTTCAGATGTTGCAAAAACTCAATCCAGTATGCCTTCTTTTTCTCATACATATATGGTATTCTACCTATCAGCAGTCTGTTCATATTTGAGCTTACTTCAATAGATACACACATTTACCATATATACATACATTTACATATATTGACAGTCTCGGTGGTCTAGCGGTATTGTACACCGCTTTTTTCGATGGTCGCGGGTTCGATTCCTCGCACGGTACATCTGATGGGATCATATCATTCTCTATTCTGCTGGGAATCACAGTCTACCTATGACAAAACTTTTACTATATCTGGTCATAGCATCATTGACTGATTGCAAGATGAGTACAGAATAAAAACTCTCTAACATTACATCTGTATCTGAATATATATAACTCAAAGGTGACTGACATAGTGATCTATCAACGCACAGCCCAAACCACTGGACGGATCGTACTGAAATTTCGAATGCAGGTAGATGTTATGACGTAGGCATCCGCTAACAAAGGATTTTGATTAATTCTACCCCTAAGGGGATAAAATAGGGAATAAAATTAACTTTGCGAACGGGCTGAAGCCGCTATGACAAAATCGCCTAGTTTGTGTATATATGCGACTATGTCATACAAGTAATTTACATGCGATTTAAATTAAAAATCCTATACATGAACAATTAATGGCATGCAAAATTGTAATTTAAGTATATATGTGTATACTGAGTAACCCATTTTGTTTAATGTGTTTAAAAAGAATTTTCAAATTTATATGACTTAACTTCAGAATCTCATAATTTAATATATTATGAATATTATAAATGCGAAAGTTTGTGAGTATGGACGGATGTTTGTTACTCTTGCACGCAATAATTACAGAACAGATTTTAATGAAACTTTACAGTAATATAGCTTATACATCAGAATAACATATAGGCTATAAATTTCATGCCGGTGAATCAAGGGCACAGCTAGTTTAATTAACAATTGAATAAATATTTCTTTATAATATGAGAATCTTCTGCATACTAGCTAAAAGCAGTTTTACTTAGAGTGGATTGTACTTTTTCAGACGTTCATGGAATGTTTATAACTTCAAAGGTGTATGACTGCAATTTTTTTATGAACAGATATTCATGATACTTAATATGAAAACAGATCATATCACAAGTTCGAACATATTATAATGTACAACCCTGATAACAGAGGGTGGAAAATGATTGTTGGTAATGTGGAGTGATGAGCCCATTGATACCAATGTACCATGTCTGGTTGACCTCCATCCGGTTCCTATGGAAATTTATTCCTAGTGAATTTACCACGATGAGCTAACTGACCTGACCTTATGGGCATCCTATCATCGTTCACATAAGTGAGTTCACTTATGCCAGTGTAAACCGTTAGTGCAGGAGGGTGTATCATTCCATTATTGATTTAAAAATAAAAAAAATATACAGGTAACAGCTAGTGCAACATATATAGTTCCAAGGGGTGCAGCTGCCCAACCCTGACCGAAGATGCCCATGCCACTAACATATACACAGATTGTATCAAAATCAAAATATCTTTATTCATGTAGATCGATTACTGATTCCAATAATATGTCAAATCCACCATTATGGGGGAAAGAGTATTGTTAGTAATGTGGACTGATAATCTTGTGTTGATAATGTACCATGTCAGGTTGACCTCCACGCGGTTCCCTCTGGAAGCCATCATAACAACCAAGAATTTAACTAACTGGGCTAACTGACCCGACTTCAAGTGCATATTATCATGCTCCAACATGCCAGCATAAACCGTTACCGCAGGCAGGTGCATCATTCCATTATCATACACAAAAAATCAAACATTTTAATTGCTTCCTAACTAAGAAGAACCTACAAGAAACTCAGCTCTTATTCTTTTCAAATGAGATTGTATATATTTACAAAAATATAGTTTGTACATAGTATTAATATTTTTAATCTGATGTTTCTAAAGATTATTTACATGTTTTTTATGCACTTAACAATCACACATTAAGAGCGGACATGTTTTGAGATAATATGTATAATAAATAAATTTTTGTTTTCATTCTATGCTAATTATTTGAATTAAGGTAAACTGTTCACCACAATAGCCCCTTAAAGTCAATATATGGAAACTGTTATTATATTGTTAATATCAGGTAAATTTATATAAAGAGTACTCACTAATTATTAGTTCCAAAGAAGTAAATGCATTGCACATTAGTAGCCTTTTTCGGAAGCTTCAATTCAGGAGTGGGGATGGCTACCTGAAAACAGCAGTTTCACATACAATTAGGTTACTTTCTATATACACACAACTAATATATAATTTAGATTTATTCCAATGAACTGTCGACAACAACCCTTCAACTTATTTTGTTAATAATGAGTTCATGCACCCCATCTAATACAGAACGAACGCAATAAGAAATTTCCCGCCCATCATTCATGTTTATATTTGTCACATTATAACAACAAACACTTTTGGGAATTTTGTTCACCCTCTCGCGTTACCTGTCACAGAAACTGTAATTTAGCTTTTCTCTTTATTGTTTAATTGTATCATTTGAAAGAAGAGTCACTTACCCGGCCGGGCCAAGGGCTGAAGCCCTTCATTTTTGCCCTGAAACAAACAAAAACAAAACAAATCAATTGTGTTCAAACATAGTTAGTATTAAATAATATCATAGATACATAGTTATTTCCACTACATACCAAACTAAATCACCAAGTTTATAAGCAATAGACATGATGCACGTCTATGTCAAGCGAATTTCCACGACGAACTAACCAAAGACCAGAAAAACAATCATAGAAGTCTAACTTTAGCGTCTCTTTGTAGTCTATGAAAATTAAAAAACCGTACTTTTCCGAAATTTTAAAAATACGTTTGAGCATCAATTTGAATAAAATGGATATTTTGAGAATGAAACATAAATATAAAATTAAAGCTATAATAACACGTTGAAATAAAATTAATGAGAGAAATCTAAACTGACCCAGTGTATTTGATAATGTAATACATTATACTTTAGGATTCCTACAGTATTCTGTGCTGTCATTCAGATATCAGTCATACAATAATGGTTGTCAAATATCTTTTTTACCTTTGTCAATGTCAATTTCCGAAACAAAGTTCGAATTATACAAAATATTATAGTTCGAATTTTTAAAATATTGTAATGTTTAGAAATTTCCATTTAGGATTACCATATACTGTTTGATTCGGTTTAATGAAATGGAAATGGCATTGGTATAATAATCTTTCTGATCTGTGATTAGTATTAGTCGTAGTGGTATTCTTTGCATAGAGTTCCAGTAGGCAAATGAAACTGTTTGTTTACTTACACTCTTTCACCGCTAAATTTCTTTGAATTACCATGAATAGAACCTGAAAATTAATCAAAATGTCAAAAAGATTTATATATCCACAACAACATGGAGAACGAAAGAAAGCGAAATTGGATGTAACAATATCGGACCATAACTTTCCATTGAGTCAAAACTCTCCTATAAAGAAAGGTATTACTTATCCATTTGTACTTTATTATTAAATAAATCTCATTATATTTTTGTTTTATTATGCTATATGTTAGTATAATATACATATCCTTGAAATTACTACAAATGTAGTGCACAGGATTTGAATAAAACTAAAGGTTATAAACTTTTCATACAGACAACCAAGAAACGTGGGGTGATGATAACGACGACGAGATCTTGCTCCTGGCGAGTCAAGCTTGCGAGGAAGTGTATAACAATGACAATAGCTGTTTACCCGACTACAGTATGTGTATGCAACCTCGATCCACCAGCACTCAAATATGTGATCCGCTTCCCGGCACCTCTAAATCCACATTTATGTTTAAAACACCCAGTACTTGTATGCCTAATGCTGTGTCAACCCACCTCAGAAACAAATGTAACACAATATCTTCCCCTTTACCTGGTATGTCTTCAAAAGTGTCAACAAAAATCAATGATTACGATAATCCATCGGAAGACTTACTGGGTTATAAAGTATACAAAGGCCAAGATTCTGATCAGATTTATCGTCAACTACTGCAATTACAAGAAGATAATGCAAAGTTGAAGTCTGAAAATGGGAAACTGTTGGAGAAATGTGTGACGAAGGAAGGAGAAGCGTCTATCTTGCGTACACAATTAAAAACATGCCAGTTGGCTGTGGATAATGCTAGATTAGAGAAAGTGAAGGCACAGGAGAAAATTCAGGCTGAGTGGACAGATAAGTTAACATCTGCTAATAGTCAAATACACGATTTGCGGACTCAACTTGATTTCAAGGTAATTATTGTATTTTTTTTATATTTAATTATTTGAATGGCAAACAGGTTTATGGCCCACCTGATGTTAACCAGAAAATATCACCTATATAAATAATGGCACTATGAATATCACATCCATATACCACACACAACTTGACATTAGTCCCTTGTTATATAAAAAAGCAACATGCAAGTTTCATACTCCTTTTTGGGATGAATCTGCATTCCAAATAAAAGGTACAATAAAAAAAATGTGACCATTTAAAAGTCATGTGACTATTCCAAAGTCTATTTGCATAAAGATTATTTTTGTTTCTATTTCTCAACATTACATAAAGTCATTAGTGCCAAGACTCCTTAATAACATAATTTTATACAGTTACATATATAAAATATACAAATATATAGACACAAATGTAACAATTTGTTTATATGTACGTTACAGAATTTAGAAATTATAAGTGTAAAGGAAAAGTGCAAAAAGCTGGAGAATAACAAATTGAGGCTCACACAAGTCACAGTTGGTAGTAATGACATCTCCGTAAGGTAAGCTATAATATATATCTTGTGATGAGACAGCTTTCCGAATGAGCGGTAGATTAAAAGAATGATAACTATGACTATTCAAAAGTGCTTAAATTAAGTTTATTTGAATAAATGATTTTCTATTCTATTGTGATACATATTTATGTATTTAGATCTCGCTTATATTGTACACTATGAACATAATTCTTCAATCAGTAAAACTAAATACTATTTACAGTTCTGCCTTGTTATCAAATAAAAATGATTTCAACCCAGTTTATTTTATTTTATTATATATATTTGGATTTTTTATATGTAGTGTTGCTATTCCATTCTATTGAGAATGATGACCATAGACTTCAGTGACCTATTGAACTATGCTTGCAGACATAACAAAATTTACTATTTAAGTTACTATTGTAAACTTGTATGTTATCCTAGACAGATAAATCTATACATGTAAATAAAATTGGAGTGTCTGTTTGTAATATTGAAATAACGTTTTTTACTACATGCATATAAATATAAATGTAGTACATACACCAAAAAAACATTTTTTACAATTTTTGTCTGTATATCTGTCTGTCTGTTTGTTCCGACTAATCTCTGAAATGGCTGAACCGATTTTAACGGGACTTTCATTGATAGGTGATGTAATAAGGAGTAACTTAGGCTACTTTTATTTTAGAAAAATAAAGTTAAATTCCACGCGTTTCGTCGCGGGAACAGCTATAATAAATATGAATAATTTAATTTATCAAACAGCAATTTTAACTTATGTTAAGTACAATTATTTGTCATAAATTTTCAGTCACAGAAATAACAATGTTATCATAGCAAATGATATGTCCTTCCAATCGACAAAAAGAGCTAAAATGGTGTCAAATAGTGTCCAAACTGACAACAGAGCACACTTCTTGAAACTTAATAGAAGTTTTAAAAAAGGTAAGCTATTGAAAGTACTATATTTCTGTTTTACACCAAATCTGATCAGTTGTATTAATAATAATATCTCACAAAAATTCACACAGCGCCATCTATTTCCCAAGCTGAGCAGAATTTATGTTATGGGTATGATATAATAGATCAAATTACAGAATTTTATTGTAAATACATCGTTATGGATATTTGACAATTGAGAAAAATACAGAGATACATTTTTTTGTAAATACATACATAATATATCTAGGAAACCTTGAATACAATTGTTTGTACGTGCCAGGAATCGATCTCGCGACCATCGGAAGTAAGGCGGTATGCTAAACCGCTAGACTATAAAGCCCAAGTTCTTATATTCACTATATTATAAGTATTCTTATTTAAGTGTGTATGTATTTGGATATATATATTTCAATTTATGAAATTTGTTATAATTGTATGTACTATCTTTTATTATTTATTTCATGTTATTATTCACTTAAATGCATCGCCCACTAATCTCCGCCCTATGGTCGGCTGGGAGAAAATGCCTTATGGTATTGAGCTATATGCACCTTCTTTTGTATTTGTGCATTATGTTTTAATAAATAAATTATACAGGTTATTGTGTATGATTAAATAATAATTTCAGAATCATCAAGATTAAGTGATATTCTCCCGATAATCTTAGAAACATCGTCCGAACAGCATTTCAATATATTGGAATATAATGAGAAACTCCAAAGACAAACCGACTTCTTGCAAAACAAGTGCAGAATCTTTAGCACCTTCCATAGACTGCCGTCTACCGCCGTAGTAAAAGAGATTAGCAAAAATAAAGTGTCAATGTCCAATATTTATGAAGACTTGACGTATATAGCTGCAGATGAAGTGGAGAATTTAAAGGAAAAATATTTCAATGTAAGTTTTTTTTCATGTACATATAAAATTTGTATATGGAACTTTTATTTGGATAAAACAAAGTAACGAAAAACGCCAATGTTGCAAATTTATATACGGTCGAAGTGAGAGTGAATGTTATACCAGCGAAATCTCTACAACCTTCTCTATATATCTCTATGAATATATATATAATCTCTATGATCTTGGCCTGTCTAGAAATACAATAAGTTATATACTAAAATGTGTATCTGAAGCTGCAATAACAGGCTTCTACCAGAATTGTCTGGGCAGGGAGAGAAACACGAGCAGTAAAAATGAATGTTATGTCGGCAAAAAGGCCCCTCAAATCTGAAAACTGCTCGGAGTTTCTCTCTCATCCACACGATGGACGTTCATCTCTCTATATACTAAAGTTGATGTTAGAACTTAATATATAATAAATTATTAGATATTTAAATATTCAATAATCACATCCACTCTTCATTTTATTGAATCCTAATAGCGTATTAAATGTTCAAATGAATTGTATATATGATATACTAGCTGACCCTCGCAACTTCGTCTTCATTTCATTTCCCCACCTTTTGCAATATTTTTCATTGCAGCTCCGCTCCTATTGGTCGTAGCGTAATGGTATATAGCTTAAAGCCTTCCTGCACAAATGGACTATCCAACACAAAAATAATTTTTCAATTCGAACCAGTAGTTCCCGAGATTAGCGCGTTTAAAACAACAAACTCTTCAGCTTTATAATATTAATAATTAATAATATATATATATATATATATATAAGTATAAGTATAGATTCATCATTCACAGCTGAATATCAAACTGACTACGCACATGTTAGCTTTAGATTTCATTGTTTTATTTTTATTTTAGATATTCAAAACGGTAATAATCGTATTAAAAGAAATTGAAACAGAACTAGCGACAATATCAAGAAGAATGACAACCGCCTTTCAAAAGGAGATGGACGAGAAATATATCGAGTCTACATCGTCGTATCTCTGTGTGGATATTAAAGATTTATTACAGGCGAGGTAAGAACAAACGATTTTCAACCATAAGCTAGGATGTCTAGAAGTTACATTACATAGAATGAGCCTAAAAAATGCTTTAACATTGCTTTGCATCTGTACTTTCAGTAGCACTTCTAAAGTTCCGACTTAAAGTGTTAAACATCCTATTTACAAACTTCATTGAAAGAGATTTTTAAATTTTCGTCATTCAATGTATCTTCCTTTTGGTTTGGATAAATAATTAATTTTATATATATACTCACATCGAATACGGTGGTCTAAAGCTTACCACATTGCCTTACTTCTGATGGTCACGAGTTCGATTCCTCGTATAATGCATATGATTGTTTTCATGAGTATGTCGTACCTAGGCTTTTTCTATGTATATTTTGTATGTTTTTAAGTATTTTTGTCACATGTCTAGGACTCATAATACAAGCTCTGATTACCTTGGGTCTAGATGGCATTGTGTGAATTGTCCAGGATTATTATTATTAAATAGATTGAACACATCTTTTTGTAAATAAAATCATTATTTTTTCATTTCTTCTGTGTACATAACCTCTCGAATAAGTGGCTCCTCGAGTAGTGTGCTTGTAGTAACTATCTCAAAAAAATTGGTCCTTCGCGCCGGATGCAAATCAAGTTTTCGATAGCATTTAATATGTATGTTTTACATGGTCTATTACACAGATATTTTTAAATGCTTCTACAGTGCGCAAGCAAAGATTAGTTATCATTAATTTAATCATTATTTACAGTAATCTGTATAAAGAAGAACAAGGCATATTAGCTAGAAGGATGACCGCAATTTTGGTGTATATATTAGAATCTCCAAAAGCCGTAGATATATTAAATAGTTTCACTGAAAATAATAAAAATAGTAATCAATTTATTGAAGTAATCAGCAGGATATGCAACCTGATTGATGGCACTGTAAGTATTTTTTATATAATTAATTAATAGTATTATAATTAATTATTATTTACAGAAGTTAGTCTCGAGATGTTACATAAACGAAAAGAAAATCCTAAATAGACAGTTTCTTGTCGTTAACACTATGTTTTTATTTCTAAATTATACTTATTAACTAGCTACTCGCCCCGGCTTCGCCCGGATGTACATGTATTATACATATAAACCTTCCTCTTGAATCACTCTATCTATTAAAAAAAAAAACGCTTCAAAATCCGTTGCGTAGTTTTAAAGATTTAAGGATACATAGGGACGGACAGACAGCGAAAGCGACTTTGTTTTATAATATGTAGTGATGATTAAATTCTTCCCTACACCTAAAACCTAAGTGGTCTTGGACAGTGTGGTTTCATCCTACACTTAGATTGTGGAATGTACCTGTCGAGGTTTTCCCATGTGGGATTTTTCAAGAAGGGTATAAATCTTTACACACACGTAACACCCTTGGTGTTTTAGGCGTCAATGGTAACCATTTACCATCACATGTAGCTTAGGCCTTTTCCAATTTTTTACCTCATTGTATCATTACATAGTATAAAACAAAGTGCTGTCTGTCCGTCCCTATGTATGATCATTTTACGCAATGGAAGCTATTTATTTAATAGATAGTGATTCAAGAGGAAGGTTTATATATATAATACATGTACACTCGTTGTATAGAATAAAAACGAGTTATGAATATTATTCGTGTTAATATTTTTTAGGCTTGTCGGTTTAAGGTAAAAATAAAGTATATATCCCTTTATAATTTATAGTTAAAGTTATCTAAATTCTGTATTTATAGAACTGAATGATGCCATTAGACAACACGAAGTACTAATTATAGGCAGACGCTTATCAAATATCTATTTTCAACCGCCAACGCAAATAGAGGGATGTTATAAGATTAAAATGATATACCTCTGGCATCTTAGCTCCTAAATGAAATGACGTGGTTGTTTTTGTTTGACAGCAGAGATGAAGGATTATTGGCTACATTTTCTAATTATTATATTAACTGACATCTTTATTATCAAAAAGAGGCTCCTCAATGTTGAGAAATGCACATAGAGCAATTTGTTTATCCTCAAAAGTCTTTTCGACCTTGTCGATGAGTTCGAGCAAGGCGATTTTTGTGGAATGTCTCTTGCGACTTGCATGTTCATTCCTGTGCAGGGCAGCCTTGATGAGGATTGTGGCTCTAATGTATTAAAATTCAAATTCAAAATATCTTTATTCATTACAGACTTTTCAAATAAATGTTGTTTATGTTTACAATAATATTAGATTAATTTTCAAATTCTAATTTGGGAAAATAGAGTGATCACCAGCATATGCTATTGTAAAAGCAAATAGTTTAATCAGTGTTCGTAACCCGAACAGACCAGTCTCCACAAGCAGCACTCGTTCACGACTATGACGGACGTGCCAGCCATCATTACACTCAACCATATTAGAGGGAGCATTGACCCGACACACCACGCCGCTACAAGTTTGAACTTTATAGCGAGCATGACTGTTTCAAGTTACTCCACTACGTCATTTCTAGTATTTATTGGTCCAGTATCTTTATTATAACGCAATAACTTTTTTTTTCAGTCATGTGCAATTCTATACAGTGGACTATTGTTATCCATAACAATTTTTATTGAAATCTCACTAAAATATATAGCAAAATGTGATGATAAAGTGTTGGAAATATTAAAAAACGTGATAGCTTCCCGACCTATGCCATTCGTGGCGTGTCAGGTGCTGGCCGTCTTGAATATGGTGCATATGGAGAGTTTCAGGAGCACATACTGTCCTGGCAGTAGCCTGGGTAACCTGAGGTTGGATTATGATCAAGGAGTGTTGCTGTATAAAAAAGGTATATATAAATTTACTATACTAAACCGTCTTCCGGTATCTATATAGTCATAAAATTTAGCTGTTAAAAAATGGTCAAATCAAATCGTTTTTGATCAAAGATATATTTTTTATGTAGGTCTAATCTTAATCTTAATAGTATTTATTATAAACGCGAAGGTTTTGAGTACTGATGTTTGTTACTCTTTCACGCAAAAACTACGGAACGGATTTTGAAGAAACTTTACAGTAATGTAGCTTATACATCAGAATAACATATAGTCTATATATTTTATTGAAATATGAAGCCGCGAGCACAGTTAATACAGATATACAAATATTTGAACCATGCGAGAAGTCAAGGAGTAAACCAATAAACCGCCGTCAAATATCTATTTAAAACTAGCTTTTGTCCACGGCTTCGCTCGCGTTAATTTCAAATCAAATTCCTTTCTTAGCGGATGCCTACGTCCTAACATCTACCTGCATGCCAAATTCCAGCCCGATCTGTCCAGTGGTTTGGGCTGTGCGTTAATATATCACTATGTCAGTCAGTCACCTTTGAGTTATATATATTTAGATATGCATTAATATTAAAATATTTATGAGTATTTCGATATGTATTAGTCTGTTTCTTTAACTTTTTTATAGTTATTATTATTTTTCATATCTGTCAACTAGCTTTTTATCCGCGGCTTCGCTCCTATTGAAACAAAAATATTAGTTTTATTTTTAAATAAAAGTATCCTATGTTCATTCTAATCCCTCCCAGAACATGTATATAAAATTTTATGATGATCGGTTCAGTAGTTTTTGCGTGACAGCGTAAAAAACATCCCTACTTTCGCGTTTATAATCTTCTTCTTCCTCTGGCCTTATCTGTTGTAACTGGCTAATGAAGAAATGTTTTATATTCTAAATTTGTATTTAAAATTTCCTTTCCTTTCCTTTCCTTTCCTTTCCTTTTATTTAATAGTTCCTTTATTTTTATTTATTTATTTAAGATAAGGTACCCACCACACTTACAGATATACCAAAGCGTGTAGTGATCCAATAATATAACATAACGAATAATGTGATTACATAAAAAACAACAAACAACACTCAATAAACTTATTAATATTGTCGTGAAAAATATCGATCTCTGGCTGCTCCGAAACCAAGCCATTGAGCAGCGAGATAGCTTGATAAGTAGGAGCAAACTGGGCAGTGCATGTGCGAACATGAGGTGCCGATAGTAATCGACACGTGCGTAGTCGCAGGTACCGCTCTGGGGCATATATATGGGGCTTTTGTAGATCCTTGTTTGTTACTATGTTTTGTTAAGTTTGTTATATATGTTTCTCCGTTTAGCTAGTTCTTTTTCTTATTACTACATGAATAAACTACAACATTATCCCATTTTCATTTGGGGTCGGCTCTCCTAATCTGCCTTCTCTAGTACTGTCTATTCTGGACTATTGCCGTTGTTCTTAAGTTCCTTACTAACTACTGACATCCATGTTAGTCGGGATCGTCCACGCTTTTTCGTTCCTGACTTCAGGTCGAGAACTTTTCTCGTCAAGTGGTCTCCTCATGACATGGCTATACCATCTAAATCATGCACTAGCTTATCCAGTATAGTTCTTATTCTGAATGTGCCTCTGATATAGTGATTTGGCACTTTATCCAAGAGGGTAATTCCGTCAGACCACCTAATGGCCATACCATCTAAATCATGCACTAGCTTATCCAGTATAGTTCTTATTCTGAATGTGCCTCTGATATAGTGATATGGCACTTTATCCAAGAGGGTATACCATCTGTCATGCACTAGCTTACCAGTATAGTTCTTATTCTGAATGTGCCATATCCATCTAAGCCATACCATCTAAATCATGCACTAGCTTATCCAGTATAGTTCTTATTCTGAATGTGCCTCTGATATAGTGATATGGCACTTTATCCAAGAGGGTAATTCCGTCAGACCACCTAATGGCCATACCATCTAAGTCATGCACTAGCTTATCCAGTATAGTTCTTATTCTGAATGTGCCTCTGATATAGTGATTTGGCACTTTATCCAAGAGGGTAACTCCGCCAGATCTCCTAATGGCCATACCATCTAAGTCATGCACTAGCTTATCCAGTATAGTTCTTATTCTGAATGTGCCTCTGATATAGTGATATGGCACTTTATCCAAGAGGGTAATTCCGTCAGACCACCTAATGGCCATACCATCTAAATCATGCACTAGCTTATCCAGTATAGTTCTTATTCTGAATGTGCCTCTGATATAGTGATTTGGCACTTTATCCAAGAGGGTAATTCCGCCAGACCACCTAATGGCCATACCATCTAAGTCATGCACTAGCTTATCCAGTATAGTTCTTATTCTGAATGTGCCTCTGATATAGTGATATGGCACTTTATCCAAGAGGGTAATTCCGCCAGACCACCTAATGGCCATACCATCTAAGTCATGCACTAGCTTATCCAGTATAGTTCTTATTCTGAATGTGCCTCTGATATAGTGATTTGGCACTTTATCCAAGAGGGTAACTCCGCCAGATCTCCTAATGGCCATACCATCTAAGTCATGCACTAGCTTATCCAGTATAGTTCTTATTCTGAATGTGCCTCTGATATAGTGATTTGGCACTTTATCCAAGAGGGTAATTCCGTCAGACCACCTAAGCGTTTATATAATAATAATAATAATAATAATAATAATAATAATAATAATAATCTCAGGATAATTCAAACAGAGCCATTTAGACCCAAGTTAAGCTATCTAGAGCTTGTGTTAAGGGTACTAGATAACTGATACATATACACAGATATTTTTTTGTAAATACATACATATTATACATAGAAAACACCCAGACCGATACAAACATACTCATGAATACAAATGTTTGTGCCGTGCGAGGAATCGAACCCGCGACCATCGGTCGCAAAGCGGTGTGCTTGACCGCTAGACCACTGAGGTCGTCATATTATATTACTATGAAGGAAAATTATTAAATTATGTACATTTACAATTTCTCATTACAGATTCATGCTATTTACAAGTGCTACTAAAACAAATAGAGGCGTCCCTCAAATGTATGGAGAAACAGACCTTGTTCCGACAGACTATCATTACGACACGGTACCTTATTGGAATTTACAGCAATATAAATAGTGCAAATATTACAGAAGTCCGCGAGAGATCCAGGTACGGTACCTTTACTTGGCAATTATTAATTATGTATGTAGCTTTTGAGGACTTGCTAAAAAGCTTGTCTCTCTACGATCTCTTTCTCAGTTGTCTCTTATTAAAATTGTGAATCTATACATAGAAATAAAATTGGTGTGTCTGTTTGTAATATTGAAATAACCGTTTTTTACTACATGCATATGAATATAAATGCGGTACATAAACCAAAAAAATATTTTTTTACAATTTTGGTCTGTCTGTTTGTTCCGGATAATCATTGAAATGGCTGCACCGATTTTGACGGGACTTTTATTGGCAAGCTGATGTAATAAGGAGTAAATTAGGCTACTTTTATTTGAGAAAAATAAAATTATGTTCCACGCGGACGAAGTCGCGGGTACAGCTGACATACAATATATTGTATGCCACCTGTACCTGTTATTACAGACGGCTTTGAGGGTCTAGTTGCGTTTGAAGATTGTGATCTTCAAAGAGTTTCTTAATAGTTTCTTATCAAATTTGTGAATTTTACAATGTTGATGACCTCAGTGCTCTAGCAGTTTAGCACAACTTTTTACTTCCGATGGTCGACGAGTTCGATTCCTCGTACGGTGCAAACATTTGTATTTATGAGTATGATTGTTTGTATCGGTCTGGGTGTTTTCTATGTATATTATGTACTAGCTGTACACGCGGCACGCTAGCTCTTTAACCGGCGTTAAATTTCAATAAAAAATATAGCATATATGTTATTCTGATACATAAGCTATATTACTCTAAAGTTTCATCAAAATCCGTTCGATACATTATTTATATTATTAACCGGATCTTCTTTTATTTGCCATAAAATTATTCGTGTTAAGACCCGGTTAATAATATAAATAATGTATATTAAACACGAAAGTTTAAAAATAACTATCCGTTCTGTAGTTTGAAAAGTAATAAACACCCATACTTACAAACTTTCGCATTTATAATATTAATAAGATGTATGTACGAACAAAAAATTATTTAAGTATTTATATCAGTTGTCTAGTACCCATAACACAAGCTCTGCTTAATTTGAGACTAGATGGCGCTGTGTTAATTGTCCAGGGTTATTATTATTATTATAATGTCATATTTTCAGATGTGATTGCCAGCTAGTATTGTTGCAAGTGATTGTGTACGCTCTACGGATATGTGCTGTAATGTTGAAGGACAATAAATCAGATGGTGAGTTGATATTGGTATACTAATATGTATATTAAAATGTCGACTTATTGTCAGGTTAATAGGTATGGATGATGGTATTCTATTGGATTTACATGATATTAACAAGATAACATTATAAATAAAACAATACTTTTTTTTTATTGGGTTGTTTGGGCTATTATCAGATGTGTAGCACGTGTAGCACTGCGACCTACATAGATCTATTGTGCTCGCCCTTTTCAAAACAATACTTACAGTTAATAATACGTTTGAAAATAAACTTACTTATATTTGCAACCGTATTTTACAAATCTTTTCCACGCGTCAGTTCGTAACGCTCGCTACAATCGTAATAATCTCATCGCCATTGTAGAATAGAAAATTGGAGGTAGCTCCCAGTTCCCAGTTCTAAACAATAGAAAGAGTAGTTCAAGTGGAAGGTTTATATGTAAAATACATGCTGGTAAATCTTTGAATTTCTTGGCTTGTTCTATAATATATATAGTATAGAATAAGCCGAGTAATTCAAAGATTTGGAATTCATCCGTGCGAAGACATAAAAAAATTGTATGTTTAATGCAAATTGCATTTGCTTAACTAACCTTTTTAATTTATTTCTTTACCTTTCAGTAACGAGTACCATCAACCAAGAGCTTACAGCAGTGTGCCGCAGTGGACTGCAGGTGTTGTACCAGTGTACGCTGCGAGATGTGGAATTCACATCTCAACTCTCGTATAACGAGGGGCATCTAATTGAATTCTGTGAAATATTGAAATGCTATGAACATAGTGAGCTTTATGGTGAGTCGGTTTATTGGCATGTTGCTCTATTTTGCAATTTATTTATTTACTAGCTGTGTGGATGATTTTACCCGCATGAAGTTTGTAGCCTGTGTTAATCTGGTGTATGTGCTATATTTCTGTAAAGTTTCATAAAAATCAGTTCAATAATTTCTAAAAGAGTATCAAATTTAATATCACAAACTTTCGCGTTTATAATATTAGTAAGATCATATCTTAATAGTTCCGAATGGTCATGAGATGTACCACGGGCATCTCATGATAACGTGATGTCCGTAGTGCGTTACATATATTCACTTCACATCGCCTGAACCATCAGCTTGTCTGCCATTTTAGCTAATTATACCTTATAAATGATAGTGTTGTAATTGCAAAAAAAAACTTTAAACTCATAGTACTGACAATATTATCTGAATGCATAAAAAATGCGTAACAGTTTCTATGTTAATTGTTGCATGCCTACTCCTTATTTATGTGTATTTACTTAAAAGAGCAACACGTAAGTTTCTCGCTCATTCTTATTGAGTCTGCGTTTCGAATAAGTGGTTGATTCTACCAATTATTAGGAACGCAGACATATTACAAGAAGCGAAAAAATCACATTAAAGAAATATGAATATTCAAAAATGCTTATATTAAGTTTATTTGAATAAAGATCATTACTATTTCACGGCTATTTATTTATTTATTTCAGGAAACATGTTAACTGAGGTTGCCAGTACATTCCAGTCGTCACCTGAAGACATGCCCTCATCATTCCACAGACAAGCTTGGCTGAACAGTTTCAAAAAATTCTCTCTGGCCGATTGATCAGTCTATTTCGTTTAGTCAATTGAAATGTCGAATTTTGTATATAATGTAGATATTACATCGTTAGATTAAGAGAAAGCCGCTGTGATATTGTCCAAAACCTCATATAATAACTAGCTATTACAAGCAACCTAATTTTTAGGGGTTTTGTAATAACGTCTGTGTCTATACGTGACATCTTAGCTACTAAACAAAATGATAGTAATAATAAATGAAAATAAGAGATGCTTGTAGAGACGTTTATTATAGCAGAGCGCAGTGACAGAATTATAAAACAAATGTATAAAAAGAACTTTCGTATTTTAAATATGGATAAATGAATATAAAAACTGGACTGATAAAAGCTGAACTTGAATAAATGATTTTCTATTCTATTCAACTGCCAGTGATTCTCATTGTAGGTCTAACAAGGATCAATTTTGATCCAAGTTTTTTTTATTGAATTGTGACGTCATTGCGACGGTGCTTAATACAATTTGCGAATTAAGCGTTTGAAGATTGACAACTAATTTTCTAGTTGACGAAAGAATTTCTTCAACGGTTCAACAAGAGTTTTTATGTTAATTCATTTAATTGTATTTGTTTGATTTTTAATGTATTCAAAAAACTCAGTGATTATGATCTGGTGCAGAGTGGTCTTTTGTGAGAAAAACAGTTCTACTTTTTTTTTAAATAATAATCTCACGGGCTCAGAGTCAAATTACTCATTGAGTATTTACTTTAATTTAAGTATTATAAAATATTTTTTCATTTATTGAACAATTAAGGTCTAAAGCAAAGGGAAAAAACTACTTATCAAGGCCTATATCTGGAGTATAGATTTGTATGCCTGTGAAACATGGACATTGACTCAAAAAGAAAGGGACAAGCCGGAGGCTTTTGAAATCTGGTGTTAGAGAGGATTGAAAGAATTATCTGGAAAAGTAAAATAAATAATAAATAAAGAGGTACTTCCAAAGGGTTAAAGAAAAGAGAGATCATATGATTCAAGTCAAAATCCTAAGTCTTGCCACTACAAAATCTTTATATATAAAAATTACGTGTCGTTTGTCTCCGATGGACTCCTAAACTTCTGAACTGATTGCAAATTTGATTTGCACATTGTGTGCAATTTGATCCAACTTGAAAGATAGGATAGCTTACGACTCAATTTATAGTCGCAATATTATTTTATTCAAGAACCTTAGCCACAGCAACGGGTTGCCGGTTCTGCTAGTACATAATACGCAATTTTTGTACTCCAATACCAATAAAAATTCACTGTACGTCGTTTAGACAAACACAATGTGGTTAATATACTCTAATGTTCATGCACATTAGGTTTAACAGCCAAATTGAGCTAATAAAGCAATTGTAGGCGATAGAATTAATGGATTGTTTGTGTGATATTAATCAAACCATAGATAGAAAATGGTAAATACTTATAATATAAGCACGAACAGTAACAAGGCAAGTGACAAAATAGGACAGTGCTGAAAACTGTAAAAAAAAATACATTCAAAGTTGGTACAAAAATAAATATATAAAAATGCGCAGAGATTGCAACAATATTTTAAAATATTTATATGTGCAGCCAAATGTTTTAATATTGGCAACCCTGACTAGTGCAACTATTGTTACTTGTTAGGAATATACAGTCAATTTTATCTCCACGCGGTTCTCCTGGATAGATAGATAGACAAATAGACTAGATAGACTAACTGAGCTGACTTATCATCATATCATCTACTGGAGACATGGTAGCGTATTTTATTTTCGTCGATAAAAAATAACAATGCAGTTATTAGTTTATTAATATTGCCGTAAGAGTAACCTAATAAAAAAATGAAATTATTGAATTTACTAATATGTACATAATGTAATAATTTTATAAAAGTAAATAGATTTATTTCTGATATTCATTGTTTTTGTACGTTCTACCATAAACAGAACAATAAAACGCATTTTAAATTTTACAAACTTTTATTTTTATACAACGAACTACAACTTTTAAATACATCGCTTGTTATTGGAATGTCAAATATGTAATTATAATATAATGCAAATTAATTGTTACAAAGTTTTATTTATTATAAATAATTTAACAATGATCCTAAAATTGTATGTCCTGAGGAATTGTACAATATATTAATAACGAATGGAAGGGGGAAGGTAAGTAATGTGGATTAATAACCCAACTGCGGGGGATAGGGGATTGTTAGTAATGTGGACTGACTGATTATCTGTATATATATATTATATTGCTAGCAATGTACCATGTCAGTTTGACCTCCACGCGGTTCCTCAGGAAACCATCGTGATAAATTCTTGGAGAATTTGTTACGATGGGCTAACTGACCTGACCTCATGCTCATCTTATGATCCTACACTGGTGCCCCGCCAGCGCAAACCGTCAGCGCAGGCGGGTGCACCATTCTATTGTCATTCATAAAAAAAACCCCATTGCTAACAATGTACCATGGCAGGCTGACCTCCACGTAGTATTTGAATAGGAGCTGAGTTTCTTATCAGTTCTTCTCATAAGAATCTGTAATAGACCTACATATTTTGAATAGAATTGTTCCTCCTGGAAACCATAATGTCAAATTCCTGCTAAATTTGCCACGATGAACTAACTGACCTGACCTCCATACTCGTCATCCTCCAATAGTGCCCCGACAGCGAGAGCACCATTCCATTATCATCCCTTAAAAAAAACTAATATTAAAATAATTAAAATTTATTGATATATTAAGTTCTATGATTTCTAAATTTTAAAATATATACTGCAACGAGTGTTATCAGTCATATATTTATATAATTTATTGTAAACACAACACTTGAGATGTCCACATTTCGCGGGGTATGTCTGAATTGAACATGGTTTGCTATTGGTGTTTCCTTCACGGCAGAAATATCAAATTTCACTGAGAGAAATATCAATTTGCATTGACACAATTTCTTTTGTATTACCCAGATTTGAACACTAGAACTTCCAGGTCGGGGTACTAAAACTTTGACTTTTAAAATTGGGTCACGACATTTTTCAATGATTTTTAATAACTTATTACCTGTACATACGCTCTTCAATGACTTGACTGTTATTATTACCATTCTAGTAACTGTTATATATTTTACACAAAAACATAATAAATAATATTTTCTTTTATACAATTAAAACACAATAGTGTTTTCAAACTTTTCGAATATGCGACCCCTTTGTAAGTAATAACGTTCTGGCGACCCCTAAGACTATAGGATAAAACTATATCATTAACGTCCTTAGTTATTTTAAAGACTTATCGAAATCATTTGTATTCTTTAATTGTAATTTAAAACAATTAAATATTTATTTTCTATAACAAGCGACCCTATCATATAGGATTCGCTCTTGGGGTCACGATTCAGTTTGAACAACACTGAAATACATAAACACAATAATTTTATCATTGATAAATTTGGAAAATTATAATGGATGTATTCTTCGCACAAGATTAATTTTAATTAATTAAACCTATTTTAGTTATTAGTATTTTGTCTCTTTCTTCCTTAGGAAGAAAACAGTTGGTACGAAAAGGACAACAAAATTCAATAGCTGAATCAAAATAGTATAGTAATTTGGTATTTTTATGAATAAGAAGATTAATATTTAATACTAACATACTGCATGACTAAAAATCCATATTTTTAATACCATGGAAATGTTGTATTTCCTATATAAATGTACCCAATTATATCACAAATTACTTAGGACCGAATGTTGTGGCGATCACATCTGGCATAGCTGTAACTCCTCCAGAGCTTGGGCTATGGAAGAAGTAGGACATAAAACCTGCAGCTAGTAGAAAATGAAAGCCTAATATACAGCCGATAAGTATAGGGAAGTATCTGGACTTCCTCAGTGCGGGCATCAACCAGAATATGAGGACAGCACCAGAGACGAATGCAGCTACGATGACGAAGAGCCACTGCAGCCAGTAAACTTGGATGGTCCACAGGACGGCAACGGGTACGTATATAGCGAGGGAGTATCCATACAGACAGAAGAGCGACATGATTGTTGGTGAATTCAATTGCTGAAATCAAAATATATTCATTAGTCTTCACAAGCTACACACTAACATAGACACCTATATAAATATACATCTATACATATAAATAAAATTGGAGTGTCTGTTTGTAATATAGAAATAACTATGTTGTACTACATGCATATGAATATATAAATACTGTACGTACACTAAAATAACATTTTTACAATTTTTGTCTGTCCGTCTGTCTGTTTGTTCCGGCTAATCTCTGAAATGGCTGGACCGATTTTTACGGGACTTTTATTGGCATGTAGCTGATTTAATAAGGAGTAACTTAGGCTATTCTAATTTCAGAATTTTTTTTTATTTTAGAAAAATAATGTTAAATTCCACGCGGACGAAGTCGCGGGAACAGCTAGTTGTAAATAAACTGGCTTTAAAAAAAAATTTTATTGAGTTTCTTGTCAGTTCTTCTCAATTCGATCTATATACTGAACTGGACGGTGGGGAAAAAATTATAATGTAAAAATTTGACATTCATAAGCGGCTAATATGTCCTACATGAATAAATGATTTCTGAATTTGAATTTGATCAACAACTTAAAAGAATAAAGTAGCGTGAATATATGATGTGATTAGGTGACTTTATCTTTAACATTATAAAAATCAGTTATTTATTACTTGCCTGTGTCTCAATTTCATCTTGACCATTTGGTATGGTAGACCATTTGAGGGCCGCCCAAAGTGCCAGGGGCACAACCCACACGTAACAAAATATGGCGGTTGCGGCGTAAGACAGGATGTGGAAGTCATATCGCCAGTGGACTGTTTTGTTGGCATTACTTAGGTAGCTCGCTATATTACCACTTACGGCTATTGTGAAGATCTATAGAAAGAAAAAAAGATATATTAATATCAAATCGTGCATGCGGTGTAATATGTCACAAGTGTGCATTCATTTTCATCTGGTATAGGACAGAAATTAGTTTTATAGGCCAAAGAAAACACTTTGCAACTTACAACTATTAATAAACTTTTATACTCTACTATTATCATTTATTTATTTAATTCAGGCCACTAATGGCCCATATTATAGACTAGCTACTCGCCCCATCTTCGCTCGGTTGTACATGTATTATACATATAAACCTTCCTCTTGAATCACTCTATCTCTTAAAAAATCGAACATTATTCAAATTATTCATTTATTTATTCAAAATCCAATGCGTAATTTTTAAATTTAAGCATACATAGGGACTTTGTAGTGGTTTTTTTTAACAAATAGAGTGATACAAGAGGAAGTTTTATATATATAATACATGTACACCCAGGAGTATCTAGTCTGATGTAATTCTATGGAACAATTACCAGGGTAACAGAAATCCATATAGGGCCATACAAATCAGGCTTGCCCTTGATCCTCTCATCAAAGTAGTTTGCTGTCACTTTCTGTGGCAGTACTGAAGATATGATCCGCTCCACCACCTCATTAGTTTGTATATCAAAGTACTTCTGATAATACTCTACAGTCCAGAAATTGTGATTACCTGAAAGTATAGAACACATGCATATGTAGCTGAAAGTATTTATAGTAAGGGCTATGTTATATATTACTACTACATGTGACCGTGACTTTGTCTGCCTAAATAGTCAACCCTTCCATATAACCTTTCATCTCTCCTTTCAACCCCTTACAACCCTTTTTCGGATTAAAAAATAGCCTATATCCTTTCTCAGGTTCTAGACTATCTGTAAATTTAATTTAATTTGGTTCAGTAGTTTTTGTATGAAAGCAAGACAGACAGGTTACTATTGCATTTATAATATTAGTAAGGATCATATTATTGTAAGATTGCAAATAGTGAATTGTAACAGTAAGCTGGAATCATTATTAAATTTTTAAAGTTATCACTCATTAATAAGGCAAATAAAAGATATTTAAAATTTAGCTGTAAATTGTATAAGTTCAAAGTGATATCACCCCTTTGATCCCGACCTATCAGTAACGCAAACTCTGAGAGCCGGAGTTTAAATAATTTTAAGAAATAGTCTGATCATTCCCAACTAAATATGAAATATTTTTTTTTCTTTAAGAACACCCACATAAGTATATATTAAGTATAACATTACAAACATTCTTAATTTCGTTTTTTTTTAATAACACATGTATTTTATACTTAGTGTAATAAGTTATTTCTATAAATACCCATTACACAAGATGTAATTGGTCAGTATGAACAAGTCATAATTCCATACATTTCTAACATCACAGTTGTGGAAATTAATAATATGGTAGATTAAATAGAAAAATGACATTTTTCAAAATTAGATGTTAGAATTGCTTCCTTTTATATAAGTCAATTTAATTAATCACTTCGTCTTAATCATTATAAATACTTTGAAAATGATATATAATACTTTGGTGTAAATTTAAAACTTTAAAAGGAAAAAAATAATTTAAATAAATTAAATAAAAAACTTTAAATGCTTGTCGTGTAGAAAATGTACAACTGTATATTTTAAATACTGCCATTTTTCGGAGGATATGACTCATGTATATGATAAAAATAATTCATTGGAGTGATATGGGAAAAATATTAGAATCTAAGAATAGTTTTATATACTTAATGTCTAACAATATTTCTAAAAAGATGTCGGCATAGGTACATCTGCTCTGCATGAGGCATACACCATGCCTCCTTAGAACTACAAAATGGCATCAAATGAGTGTTTTGTTAATTGTATAATATTGTGGTGTTCCTGTATATACGCGACGGTTACCACTTACCATCAGGTGAGTACCAGTTTGTTTGCCATTACTCTTAAAAGAAACCTAGGCCTAACATTTTTGTTCATTAAATAAAAAAAAAATTACTTTGTGGGGCTGCCTCTGGTTCGTCACCAATTTTGGGGTCTTGGTAATCGTAATTGGGATTTGACATAGAATTGTTATATTGATTTGTATGCACCGCTTCCACGTCGATTCGTGCGCTTCGATCATTGTGCTCAGGGGAATAGTCTTGAAAATTTAATAACTGCCCTGTATTTACGTTGGCCATTTTTGTCGCAGCTAGAACTTTAATTACACCATGAATTGAAACAAACCAGTAATATTTCGTAAATATAATCTAATTGGTAATTAATTATTTTAACATATATTTTTAATAATTATTTATTAAATTAACATTTGACAAATAAATATATTATTGGTAATATAAAACGTAATGATTCAAGTGTCATGTCAGTGAATAGTGTCACTGACTTTGACATTAATTTGACATCAATGTAGTGGTCATTTGCTCAGTCGTTTATACGAAATTAGACTTGTGTATTAATTTTGAAACTTTGCCAGCGACTTTATCCTCGTGGAATAATGATCTTGAATAATATACAATAAACTAACTAATCCAAAAAAAGCCAAAGAAAAAAGTTTCATCATTCCTTAGCTTCAAGTTTCGGGCTTTAAAATGATAATGCTTCCACATAACCCCTTACAATTATTTTTTCGCATTAAAAAGTCTAGTAGCCTATGTCCTTTCCATATAAATCGGTTCACTAGTTTTGGCGTGAAAAGACGACAGACGGACAAAATTACTTTCGCATGTATCATATTTAGATTACAATATATACAGTTTCATATTTCAGTGCTTATACGTAACTTTTATATCGTTAAAACTTTAAATTCTGGATCAGTAACAATATAAAAATATGGACAAGACAATGTAAATTGATATAATTAATTTAAAGATTATCTTCGCCTAGTGGTTTACTATACTCAATTACGTAGAAAAGATCCTGAACCCAAATCCGACATTCAAAAACTTTTCGTGACAATTTATATTTCTGACTGACTCTCCTGTAAAGAAAACACCGATATCGAAAAAAATATTTTCGACTGACGACGTGACGCGACGACGACGCCGCGCCCGAGACGGTAGGCACGCCTCCTGCCACATTGAAATTAAATGTACTTAGCAACATATTGGCATGTTAAGTATTGAGGTCATCATGAGACTACCGCAGCCACAATAATTGTCGTGCCCGTATGTTTATTAAGTAGGTGTAATTGAAGTAGGTACGCGAGACAAAGGCAAAACAAACTGAAAAGAGGACTACAATACTAGACTACATGCTTAATGACTATCGAATATTCTTTCTTAGAAAAAACGAAAGAATTATTCAGTATCAATCTGTATAATCAAATACAATAAGAAATCATCGCATCTAAGTTATAACCTAATTAAATAATTCTCAGACTGCTGATTTCTCACAATGATTTCCACCTTTTACGTCAACTAGCTAAATAAATATATCCTAATATCTTAATAACCAAACACAATGATATTTGAATGGTTCGCTTAAACATTTGGAAATTTTAGCTATTTTGAAACTAAATCTGGCGTGTTAGCATATCGCATCTGGCAACCCAGCACCCCACGCCGCCATTTTGTATTCACTAAAACGCCGTGAGACTCGTTAGTTAATACTTATATTCGTTTATTTATTATCTTTACGTGTTTTATATATTATGAACACTATGTGTAATTAGTTGTACGTGAGATATTTACATTTACATATTTACTTATCATCGACTGTGTAGATTAATCTGTGATAACGTAAGTTTCTTTATATGTTGCCTTGTAAAAACTTCGCCATGTTGGAGTACACGTAACAATGAAAATAAGTATTTTAATCGTTAATTGCAGTGATGTGCAGTTGAAGACAGTGCTTGGTATGGTGAGAAAAAACACCGCTGTCACCATCCAACATGGCAAAAGAAATTGCGGAGGAGTATGCATCGAGTTTGGCGGACTTGACTATGAACAGCAAGCCTCTCATAAATATGCTGACGATACTCGCAGAAGAAAACATCGAGCATGCTGGTGTTATCGTTGAAACAGTTGAGAAGCACTTGGAAAAGGTGAATTTCCATTTTTAAATTACACGGTACACGGATCGTCACAAAAAAATGTGTCACGGTGTCACGTGAGTGCCACGGAAACTAGGGAAAGTGTTTGCAAGCTATGACGCACGCTTTTGCCGTGCCAATCGTGTTTATGGTGATGGCATTAAAACGAGTTTTGTAACAATTCCCCAACACAGGTATCTCCTAAGTTTAATATTATTTTGTATGATGAAACTAGTTTGCAATATATATTCATTGTTGAATAGTAGATTAACATAGAAATTTTATTTAGAATTGATTATTTTTTATTGTTTTTACTATCACACATACCAATAAACATGATTACTTTCTGGTGTAACAGTTTAATTTCATATCTAGCAATATTAGTGTAAAAAAAATTGTTTCTATCATAGAGATATATATATATACTCCTTTTATAGAAATCCTATTTTATTGTGAAAAAAATCAATTGGGAGGTACCTGTTACAAGTTAACATAGCAAATTCCATGATTTCATAATAATTGTGTCCGCAGTCATGTAATACATCCATTATGAACACAGATTCCGTTTCAGTTGTAAGCAATTGTTAAAATAAAGGTTTTTAAAACTGTCTAACTATTTATTTTTCGGACGCTCACTATTAAACAGGTTGCTAAACAAACATTTGTCTTATTCTTTCCTGTAGCCTTTCTATTAAATTACAAATGGGAAGTCAGAAATGGTTGATACAAGAACAAAAGTGTGTCTACTTGTTCAGCCAGGGGTTTTGGGACTAGAAAATATTTTTCCTCTACACAGGTACACCCGGACATCAAGCTGCCTGTACTGTATTTAGTAGATTCCATTATCAAGAATGTTGGACGTGCTTACACTCAGAAATTTTCTCAAAGTATTGTCAACATGTTCACAAGGACCTTTAAACAGGTATGTTGCAACATGTTACAAGTTTGAATTCTAAATTCTTTTTTCAAATTTAAATTGTATTCTAAAATTAATCGTTTTCACAGGTTGATGAGAGAGTGAGATCACAAATGTTTAAGCTGCGTGAAACATGGCATGATGTATTCCCAGCAACAAAACTCTACCAACTGGATGTTAAAGTGAACTTGATAGATCCAGCGTGGCCAATTCAAGCACAGCCTCAGCAGTCAAACATCCATGTAAATCCAAATTTTCTGAAAAAGGTGTTATTTTTAGTTGATTATGTTTCATATTGATTTTATTTACTATTTATTAGCTAACCCTGTGTGCCTTAATTTGTTTGATCGATGGACTATTTCTTTACATATAAAAAAATACTGAGAAATTTTTTACTATCGCTATATTTATTATTATTTTTTGATGGTTCATATTATATCTTCCTATAGTTAATGGCTATGCAGTTTAATTTCACATAATTATTGTGTTAAATTATATGTAATATTTTATGTAAATGATATGGTTTTATAGTGAGTATACAAAAACCAAAATTTATATTCTTAATTAAATCATATTCTGTTGATATACCAACTTTAACTTAAAAAATCTATTGTGAAGAGATAGTTCCTAATTACTTATTTAAATGTCCTTTTCCTAAGTTAGCTTTTTTTTTTTAATTTAACAGTGACGGAACTTGTTATTAATATTGCTTTTACTTTACAGCCTATGGCAACAACAAGTGTCACCACCCCACCAGATGAAGAGGAGAAGATGCGGAATATCCTCGCAAAGAAAGAACAAGAGTTATTGATGTTACAGCGGAAAAAAGTTGAAATGGAACTGGAGCAGGCTCGCAAGCAGTTAGAGATGACTGAGAAGAGTTCTACTAAGGTGAGTCTTTATATTAGTAACTGTTTTTTTACACAAGTATACTAATATTCCAAAGTTTGTGATTTTGATGTTCAGGGTAATCAGCTGTACTACTGTTAACCTTGTGAGTTTCGATTCCATGTTCAGGGTATACTCTTGTACTACTGCTCTGAAAATTCTTTTATTATTAGATAACCCATTTATCGTAGTATAGGCTGTACAATAATAGCCGAGCTGCAATAAAAATTGTTGAACAAAAGCGGAATAGTTGTATGTGGCGGAATGGATATATGAGAAAAACCTCTATCTATTAAAAAAAAATCGCTTTAAAATCCGTTGCGTAGTTTTAAAGATTTAAGCATACATAGGGACGGACAGACAGCGACCGCGACTTTGTTTTATACTATGTAACTATACTCGCAAAAAGCTGCAAACATATAATGTTGACAGCATTTTGCGATTGAAAATTGTGTTGTAGCTCTTTCGAAAATTAATATGAATTATCTATTTTCATAGTTCACTCGGAATAATGTGTCCCCACGTCATACAGTGTTCATTTAAAATATATTGAGACAAAATAATGAAAAAATAGGTTAATATAGATTCTTTTTAATTTTTACTTTATTAGTTAGTTACGTTTTTAGTTAATTTATTAGTTAACTTACTACAACGAAAACAAAGTAAGTTAATTACATTACTGTACATAGTTATAAAACATTAATAGTTGACCTTGTAATAATTTATTACCGGTCAATACAATTTTCATTTCAATATAATTTTAACCTTTTTTTTGTTCTTAATGACTACTTAACGTTCATTGTCCCTGTAACGACTTTCTGATAACATTGAAACAGAATAATTATAGTCTATTATTGTAGACTTTGGTTATTGCATGTGTATGACAAATGAAGCTTATTTCAAGTAATCACTTCTGAGTATAGAAAAGAAAATAATAATCATCATAACTTTTAAAGTCTCTAGATTTAGGTTTATAACATATTCTCTATATATCGCTGTATTGATAAAATTGGTTCTCCCCTCCGATCGATCCCCCGTCCAATTCAAACGGGGATCGATATTATGACGGCCTGAGCCAAGGTTCGCCCCTAGCGGTGCCGCCCTCAGACTAAAGTCGTATCCGTCAGGCGGGAATTGGCCTTCAGCCGCTCCTTCAGCGGGTTTCGAGTGCCATCTGCACTCGCCCCCTACCGTCCTGTAAAGCTGTAAAGGCCAGCTACGGCCAACAGCAAAAAAACATTGGTTCTTTCGTTAAAGGATCTAATATAAACTGATAGGCCAATACCTATCAGTCTAGATCTGATGCTTTCTCTACCAAAATAAAAAAAGTTTTCTCTATGTCTATATATAATTTATAATACATGGCGTTATTGATCATCACCCAGGGCGGGTGTTAATAATATAGTAGAATATAATAGAATAGAATAGAAAATCATTTATTCAAATAAACTTACATTGAAGCACTTTTGAATAGTCATTACATTTTTTTAATCTACCGCTCATTCGGAAAGCTGTCTCATCACAAAAAGAACGAGCAAGAAACTTGCGCGTTGCTCTTTTAAATAATTTTATTATTACTTTACATTTTTAAGTTTAAGTGTGTGAATACAAACCACCAATTAGCACTAATTCTATTAAATACTCAAATAGAAAAAATATTGAATATATAACCAACTGGTTAAACAATTGATAAGAGGAAATCAGTCATAGTGATTAGAGCAGACCAGTCCCTACAAACAGCACCCGTTCACGAGTATGACGGATGAGCCAGCCATCATTGCGCTCGACCATATTTTAGGGAGCCCAAGGACCCGGCCCACCACGCCGCCACACTGTAGTCCTTGGGTATACTGTAAAACAACGGAGGAACATCTTAGGATTTATGGCAGATGATGGGTGCATAGTATGCCAGGGAGGGAACCCCGAGCAATTCTCGGGACTTGTTATCAGATGTAAGTTTAAAGGGACTTTTGTCCGGTGTACGTTAACATTCATTTTCACTGCCCGTGTTTTTCTACCTGCCCAGTCATATCTGGTAGGAGCCTGCGTGCTGGTTTATATACATGTTCTAGTATAGACCTCACGGCAGTTCTGGATAGGCTAAAATCTTTTACAAGATTGTAAAAAGATTTCGCTGGTATACCTTTCGCTCTTATTTCGACTTCATATAAATTAACCATTCTTTTTTTCGGACTACTCTAATGCTGTTGGCTCCAACTGGCCCTTACAGCTTTTCCGGACCATATAGCTATTTTTTAGTAATTCCTTTAGAAGTTCGCTATATTTATTTGTTTCTATTATTTGATCTTTAGGTATATTTGTTTCCCATGGTATAGTGAGCACTACCAGTATTATACGTTTAGTTTGTTTCGAATATAGTTCTATCAAAGCCGTCCAGCCGTATGGTCGTGATTGACTATGACTAGCATCATACTAAAGGTTAGTACCCGCTACAAAACTACACATCTTAGTGGCTGTACTTTCCCACTCATACATAAACGAAATATTCTCCTATATAAAATGAAACATTATATCCTGAGGAGATCAGAAACCATAGCTCCTATCTTGTCTAAGTAGAGAATTTTGGAAAAAAGGGCGAGCTAATAGATCTGTACAGGTCAAAAAAGTGCTAATAATAATAAAAACAAGACTAAGCATACTTTCTCCTTTTATTTTTTACCTCTTTATAAACTGTCACATTCGTATATCGTAAGATATTCCTTATCTTGATATGAAATGTATGATACAATAGTTATTGTTTGATTACAAGTATTATCATAAACAAGTATGCAATATTTTAGAACTTATCGGCATATGCTAATGTATATATTGCAACAGATATGTTTATATAATACTAACTGATCCCGCTACTTCGTCCGCGTGGAATTTAACTTTATTTTCTAAATAAAAGTAGCCTAAGTTACGGCTTACATTAGCTCCCTGCCAAAAAAAGTCCCGTCTAAATCGATCCAGCCATTTCAGAGATTAGCCGGAATTTATGTAATATTATGCGATTAGAATATACCGATTTTTAGATATGATGTGTGTAATAATTTATTGTATATGAAGACATTTTTGGTTGAATAAATTACCAGTTTGTCTGACAGAGGGGACTTGTTAACAAAATCCATTATATACCTACAGGAATTATAAATTCTTACAAGTAAATTAGTTTCTTCGCTTTCAGTTTGATCCCATTCCGAAAGAAATTCTATTAGAAAGGGTTTAGTAAATTCGTTTCTTAAAAAATAATTAGAAAAACATATTATTAAATGCTGTTTATGGTCCCTAGAATAGTCTCAATGACCTGCTTACCTAACTTTGTCAAAAGAAGAATACAAAATCGTAACAAAAAAATCTACCTGTGATTGCTAACAATAGACGTCGGTTCTTCTGTACCACCAAATTAATTCCAAGAAAAATGCGTAATGACGTTTATTTCTGTCTCTTTCACTCCACAAAGATGTGCATAGGTAGGGATCTCTTATCAAGTGATAAAATTAACACATGTTGATTTTGTTCACTGACCTGCCAGTGCAGAATTGATAGTGGTGGAAGACGGTAGTGATCAATTTGAAGTGTCAAGTAGTGATTAGTGAATAGTGAGTGATGGAATAGTTGTAATAGAGTATGGTGTTAATCAAATTATAGTGACTATTTATGTTGTATAAGTGTGATTAAGAATAAATCCATGATGTTTTGGGGATACTACTATAATAAGAACTATGTAAGTGTTTTATCATTTTTATACTTATTACCCTTTAATTAGGGAAGAAATTAGAATTTTTCTACGTTGTTCTTTGATAAATAAAAGATATTAAACAAAAATTAAATGTGTTATTACATTATCATTACATAGTATAAAACAAAGTGCCTCTCGCTGTCTATCCGTCCCTATGTATGCATAACTCTTTAAAACAAATTTTGATGCGGTTTTTTGTAATAGATAGTGATTCTAGAGGAATGTTTATATGTATAATACCTGTACACCCGGGCGAAACCGGGGTAAGTAACTTATGATACATAAATTCTTTAGTATAAACTTACAATAAATAAATTTTAGTTCTACTGAAATATTTACTATATTAAGCATAAAAAGTTTTATACATTAAGTAGCTGAAACCTACCACTTCATGTCTGTCGTTGGTAGTCGCAACTTCTCAAAAATCTTTACATAGTATAAAGTGTAGTCGCTTCGGTTATGTGTTCGCTTAGATCGTTTAAACTACGCAATGGATTTTAATGTAATTTTTAGCAATAGATTGAGTTATTCAAGAGCAAGGTTTATAACTATAATATATGAATAATCGGACGAACCAATTCCCAAAATGTCAGCTGTTTTCGAAACACATTCTTTTTTTAGTCTGAATAATAGGACTGCTTTCTCCTCAAATACGTGTTTGTAGATAGAAGTATATAAGTTTTTGTAAACCGAACTGAATGAAGCACATGAGAGCACTTTATTTTTTGTGAAACATACCACAATACAATATTGAACACTGTACACAAATCGATTAATCTTTTCTGAAGTTAGCACAAACACAAATGAAAGTATAGACAAACAAACAGAAATTGTAATAATATATTGCTTTTATACAATTTTATTGTAAAATAGAAATAATATTCTTTTATAGTTTGAAATGATTAATATTCAATTCATTCATCTGATTGAACGAGAACTGAACGCATCACTATTACTTTAAATATGGCAACATTATTTTACAAAGTGACATTAGCTACTGTCAGCTAGCTTCGTCTAATTAAAAATACGACTGTAGGATTGTAGATTACTTCCACTCTCTTACCCCATACGCGTTTAGAAAATAGTTGAAAAACGGACCGAAAATATTCAATGACTTAATTCTTAAATTGAAGTATAAACTATATTTTAGCGTAATCAACTATGTATATGTATAATGTAACACAGCATACTGTGGCTACCTGTAAATATAAGAACAGTTAGTTGTAACACCATTAGTATATATAAAAACAAGCATATCTATACATATATAAATATAAAAAAATTGGAGTTTCTGTTTGTAATATTGAAAAAACCGTTTTTTACTACATGCATATGAATATAAATACGGTACATACACCAAAATAACATCTTTTACAATTATGTCTGTCTTCTTGTTCCGGCTAATATATAATCTCTGAAATGGCTGGACAGATTTTCACGGGACTTTTTTTTTGGCAGGTAGCTGATATATTAAGAAGTAACTTAGGCTACTTTTATTTTAGAAAATTAAAGTTAAATTCCACACGGACGAAATCGCGGCTACAGCTAGTTGTATATAAAAGCACGATTTATTATATTGGCTGTATTTTATGTTGCTCATTCTAAAAAGTAAATATATACTAGCAGTCAGTGAATTTAGATCGTAATTAATATTAATTTTAAACCTTTTTACGGTACTATTGACTATAAACAAAATTTTATATCATGTTTGTGTTCGTGTATAATCAATGGTAGTAATCATATTGTTTTTTTTAAGGATTATCTATTATATTTACTTTATCTTTACAAAATGTCATACTCCTTCGTCTGATGTAATCGCTAACATTTCCCTCCGATTGTTCCTCCAATTCAGCCGAGCCGAGGTTCCAACCCCTCAGGGTGCTCCTCAAACTGAGAGAAAGACAGAAAGTCGTATCCGTCGGTCGGGAGTTACAGCTGGCTTATACAACTTCACTGATGATAGGGGGCAGGTGTAGATGGCACTCCAAACCCGCGGAATGACCTATGGAGCGGCGGAAGGCTTACTCCCGTCATACATATACGACTTTAGTTTAAGGGCACTACTAGGGGGTCCGAACCTTGGCTAAGGCAGTCATAATTTCGTTCCCCGTTTGAATTGGACGGGGGATCTATCGGGGAGGGGGGTGGGGGTAGCCCAGGCTAGTGTAGGAATCAATGCTATGTGAAATATGAAATAATTTTGGTAAATAATTATTTGTTTTCATCTATAGGTAACAACAGTGATACCTCCTTCTACTCTGCCCCCGTCGATGCCTGTCGCGTTGGTGAATCCGGTCGTGGCGCCTGTTATGAGCGTCGCGCCGGATGTGGCCAACATTCCTGTCAAACAGCGCCTCGGACCGGTCAGTTCAATAACATTTTATTTAATTGTTTTGGGAATTTACCAAATAATAGATCTTACTAAGATTATAAACGCGAAAGTTTATGGGTATGGATGGATGTTTTTTACTCTTTCACGCAAAAATTACTGAACGGATTTTGATGAAACTTTACAGTAATATATATTACAATAATATATCAGAATAACAGGCTACAAATTTAAAAAGATATTATGTAAATTGGGACATATAATGATAAATGTTAAGTAAGTGTAATGCAGACGAAGTTGCACGGGTCAGCTAGTACAATATGAAGACAGAATGACGGCCTCAGTGCTACAGATGTTCAGCTTCATGTTTTCTCGCACGGCACAAACATTTGTATTCATCAGTATGATTGTATACATCTAGGTGTTTTCTATGTATAATATATTAGAATTTACGAAAAATATCTATGTATTTGTATCAGTTGTCTAGTTATACATGTTAAAGCGAGCTTAACTTGGGACAAGAGGGGGTTGTGTGAATTGTCTTGAGATTATTATTATAGAATCAGCTTTGCTTGTGAAACGGTGCTGCTTGTAGGGATCCCTAGACCAAAGTCTAGGGATGATAGACAATAAAACATTGATGTTTCCCCTTGATTTGATGACTGATTTCTTGACATTTTGTATTTGGAATTATTTACTATTTTGTCGATATTATAGAAGACTTAACATGAATATCTATAATTTGTAGGCTGGTCTTCTCTGATCAATGTTTTTATTATTTTATTGATCAAGTAGCTATGTATTTTATTTATAAAATTATGTTATTTATTATTTTATCTACACAAAACGTTGAAAGTTGAATATCATTCATTTAAAAGAGCAACAGGCAAGTTTCTTATTCATAATAATTGCTTGCCATTCCAAATGAAAATAAGTTATCATATTAAGTGTTTATAACTTTATTCGACTTGATATCTGTTTATAATAACCCAACTTTTTTATAATTAAGTCTGTTGTTCTCGTGTCTGACTACCACAATATAAACGTTATGGAACGAAAGGATTTTTTATAATAATTATATTGTTTTAATCAATGTCTTTCATCATTCGAAGGTCGTAGAGTAGATCCTCGCACGGTGCGTAAATGTGTATTTATCATCAATATGACTTATATGTCTGGTTGTTTTCCTATGTTAATATCGTGCACAATTAAAAAAAAAAGAATTTTAATTATGGGTAATGGTCGATTTGTAGCGCTTATCATTATATCTTCTACAGGACTGTAATTGCTCAAGTTCATTATATTACGTCGTTTGCCAGAGGAATGCATCGATATGTTTGTTTTCAGCCCGTGAACAAGCTCGGGCGGATAGCGCCCGTCAGCGGCGCCCTGGCGGCCGCCCGCAGGGACCCGCGCCTCGCGCGCCGCCCCCCGCCCCCCGCACCCACCGCGCCCCCGCCGCAGCTCCCCATCGCACCCAACGTGTTCGACATTAAGCCCCTCGAGCGTGTCACGAAGCGCAAAAACGTGATCACGATCGACGTGCAGCCTGGAAGCGTCGCGCGACCGCGCGACCCGCGCCGCCGCGACCCGCGGCTCGAGTCGCGCGACGACCGCCCCCGCAAGGAGAAGTCGCGCGACGACCACCGCCCCAGCAAAAAGTCGGACGACGCCCGCAAGCGGAACGACGTCGACGAGAAGTCGCAGAAGGCCGACCCCGCCGATGACTCGATAGTCGACTACTTTGGCAAGCTGCCCGACCTCAAAAAGATTAACAAGCTTCCGCCCATCCCTAAAATTAATAGAAGCGAGGAGGGGGCGAGGGACTCGCCGGTTCCGACCAAGAAGAGGAAGGAGTTACGCGCGGAGAAGAAGCAGAAGCGCGAAGACGCCGTCAAGAGCAGCTCGAGCGAATCCTCCCCAGAGAAGAAGTTACGGAATAAGGAGGCTCGTAAAAAGAAGGAGCGCAGAGCCGACGAGGAGGCGGAGAAACCGCCGGAACCGGAAGTGATCGCGTTCAAGGAGCTGAAAAATTATCATAAAGAACGCTACATGCGAAGGAATAAGGAGAAATCCGAGAGCCCCGAGAAATTGCCCACCGAGACCCAGGAGGATAACGCCGTCCAAAATAAAGAGTCATCAAGTAAGATATCATTACATGTTAACCGAATGCGAGGTTAGATCTTATAGATATAAAGGCTAGTCATATATCTGTGATACTAGATTATAAGAGAGAGCCAAAAGAATGACGCTTGTGTGAAAATAAAATATTTTTCAACTCTTGGAGTATTCATATTGACGTGTTCGCCGGCTTGTTATATAACCCTATACTGTTAAGGTCTTTATGAGAATCACAAAACCAAACATTTAATTATTCTATAATGACTATTATAGTTTTAACACATAAGGTTCAAGTTCATTATTCGTATTTGCACAGTCATAGAATTTATCACATTTACAATTTCAGTTTTCAATACGTAGGTACACCTTTGCACGATTTTTTACTAAAGGGCTTTTTTACGATGGTGTCATATATTCTAAATCTAAACTGTGTGTGCCTGTGATACTTGCAACTTCTCAAATACGATATAATTTATAATATTAATAATTTATTTATATGCACATGGTTTAGTACTAATATCTATGAAATAATATCGAATTCCCGCAATATTATTACATTGACAAGAGAATGTGTGTAATTTGAGTTTGGAAACAATCATCTCAATGGACAGTGCTTCAGTTTTTGGACAACACCGCTTCGAGAAATCAACAGTGGTTAGAACTATCAAGAATATTCTAAAATGGCTTAAAATTATATGATTCCAAATGGGTGGTATAATTTTTTATGCATTCCGCAGATCTTCAGATGTTTGAAGTGCTTGAAACTGTGTAATGGGAAACAAAAATATAGTTATACATTTAAATTAACTTCTGCTTCAGCATATAAAATCTTTTATAGTATTCGTAAAATATGTAGTTAGTTCATTTGTTTATTCTTTCTAAGCTATTTAAATTTATTCGTTAAATTCCAATTTTTAAGTTATGTATAAGTAGTATATACTATACTACTTAAAAAGGGAATTAAGTCGAGTTTCTAGTAATTTAAATTGAACTCTTAAGACTCGCTCGTACAGTTAGTAAAATTTAAACTGAAACTACAGTGCATTATATATTTAAAAATTAATGTACAATCTGCTGCAACTCCATTGTGTAACTCTATTGCAAACAATGCTGGTTTAAAACAGATTGCAATTACCAAGTTAGGGATTATATATAAGCTGATCAGTTGCAAGATGTGATTAATGCTTTGAAATGCATAATCTATAAATTGGTAATATTATTCTGTTTCAAACAATATTTGTTAACAACAGTTACATGATCTATTGTATGAAGTTATTACGTACATTTAAGGGTACTGCATATGGTAGGGCCTAGGCTATGAGGTAGGGTAGCCTAACCTACTGCTAACATTTAGACTCTGCAAAACAATCTAATCTGAAGAGCGGAAAATCTATTTACAACATGACAGTAATGGCCCTGAGCCAATAAAAAGTATATGCGTATTAATTGACCTAGAAATTTAACAGTTCTATATTAGAAGCTCGAACAACTGACATACTTTCAGATGTATCTTCATTATCATTTGAAAGATTTTTGTTATCAGCAAGCTTATATAAAGAACAGGAATTCAGGATTACATTTCTTTCGCTCCGTTACCTCGATATCTTAACCAATACACGACACTGTCCTCGTCTGCGAAGTCGATGACCCCAAACACCGTCCAGCACTCCGGACATAAAATTGCCCCTCCAATCGACCCCTTTTCCGTTCAAATGCGGATCGAAATTACGACTTGAGATCGATCTTCGAAATCCTAGTGGACTTAGAGTGAAATCGTATCCGCCATGCGGGAGTTGAGCTTTTATACACTCCATAAGTTCTCGGGTTTGGAAAGTCTTTTGAACTCGCACCTATTTTTAATTGGTAAAGCTGTAAGGGCAACAGTGTTAGAAATATTTCGAAAAAAAGGGAATATATACCGTTCTTGGCGTACATATGTACGCCAAGAACTAAAAATGTGCCCCCAAAGCATTATGGTTCTGTCATTAGCTAGCGTACGGTTTACCTGTGTATATGGAATTTCTCAATGCGATTTCTGTGTTTGTCGACATTTATGGCAATTTTACAGTGTTTTTTATACTTCCATTATCATGTATTTATTTCTGTGTTTGTCCCGTGCCATGCCAATTAGATCTCACAAAGAAATAAGTTCCATATTTCTTAGATCCTTTTAAACTAAAGTGTATAACTTTAGAGTAACTCGTAATTTCTTGTAAGGATTTCGGTAAACCTTTAATTCTTAACGTTATACCATAAGGCCTACAAAATTGCCCTGAGATTTTTAGTGTTATTTTCTTTCAAATTATTATTATGAAATTTGTTTACAAAAGATATTGTAATATTATCAATTCTCAAGACAAATCCATAGGCAAGTTTCCTTAAAATATTTCGATCGTTATCTTTACATCCAAAATGGCAGTATCGGTATAGAAAGATAAGATAAACGTTAAAAAACATAAATTAAAACCTAGATATCTACATAGTCCATAGTACATTATACATGGGTAAATAATTTATTAGAATCTTATCGGGTATCAGTTTACCATTAGCCCATTTTATATACGTAATAATATATTTATATTCACAAAATAATGTTTCTAATTAAAATGTCTTTAGGCATATTTGCAGATAAAATGAACGATCGCTGCACGACAGTTAAATACCGAAGATTTATTTCAAAATCAAATAAAAAAATATTTATTAATGTAGGACATTTTAGCCGCTTATGAACGTCAGACCAAACCAAAACGAATTTACCTTTTAACAAGGCCGTCCTTGCAAAAAGTAAAATATCCCCTTTAAAAGTTTGTAGTTTTCATTTAATTATTTAGATTGTTTTTTTAGAGACTGACAGATTCATTCGTACACGCACGTACATCGACTCGCTATCATTTCACATACAATTGTATTTATATTAATTTTCCCATTATGAAATTCTTTATTACATTCATTTTTATTTCCAAAATTTATATATATATACTAATATTATAAAGCTGAAGAGATTGTTTGTTTGTTTAAACTCGCTAATCTCAGGTACTACTAGTTCGAATTGAAAGATTCTTTTTGTTGGATAGTCCATTTGTCGAGGAAGGCTTTAAGCTATATAACATTACGTTACGACCAGTAGAAGCAAAGCAATAGTGAAAAATGTTGCAAAAACGGAAAATTATTAATATTTCAGGGCTTCCGTAGCGTGAGCTGCGCGAAGTCGCGGGAGCAGCTAGTATAGTATATTTTTGCAACAAAAATATGTATTATATTTAATGCAAATATGTGTATGTATTATACTAAACAAATATATAGAAATATAAACGTGTGCATATCAGTATGTGTGTAACTGTTACGAAGAGTCCATTATACTAAAATAAAATAGTAAATTTGACTCTTACGCATTTAAGTCCTCTATTTAGGCCCTTGTACGTGTACCCAGTCGTTATATAGATATGATTTTTTTATTTATTTCTCGTCTCTCAAGGGCATCCTACTTTTATATACGATTATTGAAAATCTCTTTTATTAATCTTATAAGACATGGTTAATGTTTTAGAATAATAGCCTTATTATGTTTATACCAGTTTAAATAAGGTTGTTCAGGAAAATTAATGACTTAATGTAATAACAGAATACATATATTTTATATGAATTCTCAGTTTTTAATTACCAACTAATATAATATATCAATACGTAATAGGTATATATTTGATTGCTACAAGACGTAATTACAGTGCATGAAAATAGTGTATACAGTCGTATGTGATAGATAAGAAATAATAGTTTTCTACATATATGGGGCCTAACTAACATAGTAATTAATAATTTAGGACGTACAAAAGATTGTGTTTTTTTATTGTAATCCTAGTGATGTTTCTTTCACACCGATGTATTGTATTGTATGTTTGATTTCATTAAGATCAAACCGTTTAGTCGTGATAAGGCAACGAACAGACGTTTTTAATATTATAATATTAGTGTCGAGTGACATTCTCTATACTCTGTAAATGACTTTAATTAGTCTAAGGAGATCATCTATTATTGGAAATATTGAGCACAATTTCTTACATATTATTTAATAGGAATATTTTCTATCTGATATATCATTAAAACAAAGAGTTGTTGCAAGTAGTCCCAAAGTAATGGGCACGGTTGGGGCAGCAGTTATACTACACTTAGTTTGTGCCTAACATTCTCAAATCTACTTAGAATGTTTGAATAATCTATCTCTACTTCTTATCTGTCTGAATAGATAGCTAAATATTATAAAACTAGATAAAAAATCGCAATCCTCTGAAGCAGAGGAATAAATATTCTCATAAAGACAAAAATATTCTCATTGTCCTAATAACCCTATTTTTATGGCACTATTTTGTCCTTTTCCTTCGAATTATCATCATAATTTGAAAGACAATGATAAAACACTTTAAAATTTAAATTATATAGTAGGACTTTTTAGTTGTAATAATTAAAATTGTTAAAGCTAAATGACAGTTAATAAATGTGTGATTTAGATTTATGTAAAGTTTAAATTTACGAGGAGCCAGTTTTTTATTAGGAGGAAACAATGAGAAATGTAACAAATTACGCGCAGTGACAAGCTTTTTGGTGGTAAATTACATGACATAGGTTCATTATTCACGTAACAATCTCAATCAAAATGGTTTAAAATAATATTCCATTTTTTTTTTATTATTTTAAGCTTCTAAAGAACACTCGTTTGAATGAGTATGATACTTATTCAGTACCTACCCCTTCAGAGAATTGCAGTTTTTACCTTAAGTGATTAACATACAGGCTCTAAGCCTCAAGATTGAGGATGTGAATACTTTACGATACGTGTAGGTTAGTAACTTCACAACAGCCGTGAGTGGTCGCACCAAACATCGGTTTAGTTAAATGTGACCATCTAGTTCTTATAACGGTAAGCGTATATTTTAGTTACTGGTAAGTGTACGACGGTGACAATTTCACAAGGAACGGGTAAAGGTAAAAGGTTTCAGCATATATCTGATATTCAAATATAGACTTTAGATTACATAAAAATTTAGTCCATTTTCCAGATGTGCCGGAAATTGATGAAAACAAAGATGTGGACCTTCGAGTTTTGCATCCAGTGGATGTGAAGCCGGCTGTGGTCAGCCAGAAGCGACCCTCAACGGAAATGTTGCCGGAAGTTAAAGCTAAAAAAAATAAACACGACAAATTTGATATGTAAGTATTTTTTTTATTATCGTACATAAAACCTTCACGCTAGGTTTCTTGTGAGGAAGGTAAGTAGGTACAGAGTGTTAATCTATATGGACTTGTTATTCAAATATGTAATATATAAATTTATCAACAAATTCAATATTAAAAATAATTGTCTGTGTGGGTGTTTATAATTATTTAGATTACTTAGGTTAGACAACTTTTATTTGTGTCACTACGAAAATGATTAGGTATGCACACTAGCTATTTTATATTACCTTTATTTTAATCAGATCTGTTAGCCCATCGTGACAAATTCACCAAGTAACGGAGTAACGATGGTTTCCAGGAAGAACAGCAAAGAGGTCAACCTGGCATGGTACATTGATAGCTTGGGTCATCACCACATTACTAAAAATCTCTCAATTTACCTAATTGATTACAAGCATATATATGTTAGATTTATATCTTATTTGTCTAAAAAACAGTAGATTTTTTATGTTTTTAATACAATTTAATTTAATAGTCTATTATTATCTATTTAATACTTACATTCCATAAATAAAGATTAAAACCTTTTTATTCAGTACACATTAATATAATTTGTAAGTCATAAAACTTGAGCCTCTTCGTGAACTCGATTGCATTGACTTGTACCTAGTTTAAAAGCGACTGAGGTAAATATCTTATATTTATTATTGGAACTGGAATAATACTCGCATTTTGTATAGAGTTAAGCATACATGAATATACACCTGTTCAAACGCAATTATCTACTTGGTAGTTGCAATGTAGAAGTGTATTGTGGCTCATGTTGAGATGTTAAAACTAGTAAGTCACGATAATAGTGTAAACCATTCAAACTTTTGAATATACAGCTATTTACTATACACACACATACATACATTAAAATTGTAAAAGGGGGGTCTGTCTGTATATTGAATATTTAAAAAAATGTACAGCTTGTCATGTTAGCTTCAAAAATAGTTTTTAAAACTTTTGTCTAGTAGTCCGTACTTTCGTGCACACCAATCTGAAACGACCTAAGCAAAGTGTAAACAGTTTGCGATGACGTAATGTAGCCCTTTCTCAAAACAGGTACTGTTATTTCAATACAATTGGGTCCAATACACTTAATATTAATAATCTTGAGCAATTAAAAATTGTAACGACGAAGACAAGATTGGCCAAATTTCGCAGTACCGCAAGTTTTAGTACTGCTTGAGTCCAAAATAAATCTTGTCGTACTGTGAAATTTGACCAATTACGGGCAGTAATTGAGTCTAAAACTCGTTCTTTTTCAGACTGTTCGGTAACGAAGATGTGGACCTTCGACAATTGCCCCAAGTAGAGGAATTGAATGTTCCACCGCCGCAGTCAGTTAAAGATTCACCCAAAGCAGTTAGTAAAATGGACGAAGACATTCCTTCGCCACACCAATCGCCAAAGCAAAAAGACTGGAATGAGGTCAAAGAAAAGAATGATGATACAAAGAAAACCCCATCGAAGCTGGATATAGCTAAGGCAAAGTTGGCGGAAGCAACTAAAGGCAAAGACCGATTAGGAAGACCGTTGCTCTTCAATAAATCTCCGAGTAAGTGTTTGGATTGTTTTATTTATTAGTTTTAACGACAGGTATTAGAATATGTATGTTATTGGAATTTTAAATAAGTTAACGGCCCTAATGTAAGTGTTGCCTATATACATGTACTTACGTACGTGGTGTTCCTCATGATTAGCCATTTTTGAAGACTAAAGTATCATACCTTTTTGCACTAATAATGAAATTTTACTTCAAATGAAACAAAGCAAGCTATTTGCAGGAGAAATAGACAAACGCAGAAAACTTACAAAGTCTAAAATTTCTGTAAAACTTAAACTTACAGAAATTTTTGAGCAAAATGCAGAAAATATCCAAATCACGAAATTTCCTGGAAGTGCATAATAAAATTTAGCAAGTAATGAAAACAAGTTCTCTCAACCACAACAATCTGTTGTTATTACTCAGTCATTCATTGATTTTTTTTCTTCATTAGGTGTGGAGAGGGAGAGACGTCGTACTATCAGCTCCGAAGATGTAGATTTAAGAGCAGAAAACACAAACGATTTTGACACAGAGGATCATAAAAAGACCATCTCAATTATAATGCACCAAGCTAAAGAGCAGTACAGTGATGGGCAATTAGACAAAAATCAATACAATACATTGATGTATCAGGTACTACAACTGAACGAGAAACTCAAACTGAAAGAGGCAAAACAGAGGGAGTCACTAGAAGTATCCAAAAGAAAACTCAAAGCTCACACTCAGGACGAAAATAATAAAGTGGCCAGCCCCAAATCGTCGCCGACTGACCGAAACAGATTTGGAGATATCGATGAGAGGATTACTCCTGTCTACATGGATACCCCACCGGATAGTCAACAGTTCCGTCCTCAAGACTCTGACATGAGAATGAATATAAACCCCATGGACGGAGGCGAGGCTCCGAACTCCACCGGTTTATTGCCACTGCCTCCTAACATGCCTCCGATGTTTCCACCATACATACCTACATGGAGAGGGCAGCCCAGGCCGAGAGTGGAGGAATATGTACCGCGGAGATTCCGTGGTGTTGCGCCGCCATTCTTTAGAGGAAAATTCGACAAGAGAGCGATGAGGCCACCGTTCGACCCGCGGCCTCCTTGTCCTTTACCGACGCCAACACTCGGCATGTGCCAGGGCGAAAGCCCACTCTTGCCATACGAAAGGACACAGTCCCCACCTCCACTCGGCGCGCCTGGAGTTGTAATTCCCTCAACGGATTATAGAGTCTTAGAGTACATAGATCAAGATCCTGTGAAAACGATCCAAATAGACGGAGTGTCAAGAGAGATTAGATTCTATGGTGAAACAGCAGTCATTATGATGGAGTGGGACGATCCTAGAGAAATCAAATTCTTGCCCGGGTGTAGGAGAGTCACGTTTGATAATAAGGATTCTGTTGTATTGTCTTTTAATGAAGGATACAAACAAGTGGAGATTGATGATCAAGTCTTCAACATCCGGTTCGGAGCGCCGACAAGAGAGCTATTTATAAATGGAAGGTGGTACGAGAGCTTTTTCGGCGGTCAGCCTATTGGAACGATCATCGATGGTAAACCTAGATTAGTACAATTAGAAGGACCTCCTCCCCAAGTGGATATAGGAAAAACTAAACGCACAGATCTAGTTGCTGGAAAAATTAACCTTATCGTAGACGCCACACAGATGTGTCCCTTGTACTTAGACGCTAAAGTGCAGAAGTTCCATATAAGTGGTCACGTGTTCACAGTTCGTTTTGTTGATTCATTAAGAACTGTTCTCATCAATGAGCAACCGTTCAAGATTGAGTTCGGTGAGCTGCCGAAACCAATAACAATAGGCAACAAGAAGTTCTTCATCAGATTCTCAGCACTGCCGCGTAATATAAAGGCTGGTCATGTACAGATAGCTAATATGGAAGGTGCACGTGTGGAGCCATTTGTACAGCCGACACTCGGTTTCAAAGACATTCACGATCAGAACTCTATGGAGACGGATCAAGATGTAGTTCAGAGACCGGTGAAAACGCCAAGTCCCGAAGTTAACAGCGATAATAATACACAAGGTAATTAAGTTTTTGTAATATCTGACGAAACTTTTGATACTATCCGTCCTGTTTTAGTACAAAATTATAATTTAATGAAGTAGTAGGTGGTAAACTGTCCGAAATCAAAACGGAAATTACAGCTACGGTCGTAGACAGTAAGTAACATTTTTACACAAATTGGAATAGAGTATGAAATAATAGAAGTTTCTAAATAAAATGAATTTTATATTGTTTAATTCTATTCTAATATTTAAATACTCTTTACGGCCTTGTCCATTCTTAATTGAGATTAACTCTCTTAATCATCTATCTCCAGCGGCTTCTTGCCTGGATCGTCATTAGGTCTATTTACAATTGAATAATTAGAAACATATCTATACTATTAGAAATGTAAAATGTGTCAAACTGTTGCATACTTTTTCGCAAGTAAATCACAGCTGTATCGGATTTTAATGAAATATCACTAGGACTAACATAGTCTATCTTTAAACTAAAAAAGGAGGTGTAGTCGCGGGTAGTAGCTAGAAAATTAATAAATAGATAACCCAATTCTTTTTTATTGACTCCAACTATATTTTCAGGTCTGGACATGTTAGCAAGCGTCATGCCGTCATCAATAGCGCCGGCCTCTGCTTCAGAATATAGCTTAGCAGAACCGCTGTTTGCGAAGGCCGACAAAATACCAGGTCTTGATACTCCAGCTGATGAGAAACCAGCTAACCCAATACTACCAGTGCTTGCCAATATTAATGTTAACGATCTATTCGCTAAACTGGTAGCTACAGGCATAGTGCACGTTAATAATGATGTGAAGACTGAAACTAAGGAAGAGGTTAAGGAAGAAGTTAAACCCAAGCCGAAAGAAGATAAGACTAAAATCCATAGAGTAGACTTGCTGAGGAGTGACACCTTGAAAGTGTAAGTTATATTTTATGCATACATATACTTTTTTAGATACAGATTATTATATATTTTATAGAATATAGTAAACTATATTTCTGGCATTTTTCATGAGCAATATGTAAAATTTTGGCTATCAGTTCTCACTGTTTAGTATGATTATAATTAATATCTTATTAGTTTGCTTGTAAACATATTTTATATCATTAGTCTACCAGCCATAGCTCCTGTTTTAATCATGTAATATGTGACAAGTAGGTAGGAGAGTGTGACGTCGCGGGGGAGTTAGTGAAACATAGTGTTACAAACCTAATGTTATACTATGTCACATCTAATGAATTAAGTATGAAATACGAAACTTGCATTATAAACGAAGATAGTGGAACTATAACAAAATATGTGATGTTTATTTATTTATTTACTTAAACAACTATTATTTACTTATATGTTGGGGAGTTAGTGTGACATAGTGTGACTTAATATCACATTATGTCCCACTAACTCCCCCGGGTGTCACAAATGTGACGAGGATAGCGGATGGGAATAACCTCGATGACTGCTTATCCTCCACTGGTACTCGGCTAGCGTCAGCACATGATGGTACATAGACAAGGCGAGTAATGAGTGTATGGTCGACTTTAGGAAGCAGGAGGCGCTGGTGTGGCGGCTGTACGGCGGCATGCAGTGCTCGAGCTGCGGGGCTCGCTTCCCGCCCGAGCACACGGTGCGGTACTCGCAGCACCTCGACTGGCACTTCCGGCAGAACCGCCGCCAGAGAGACTCCGCCAGGCGCGCGCACTCGCGGCACTGGCACTACGACCTCTCCGACTGGCTGCAGTACGAGGAGCTCGAGGACCTCGAGGAGAGGGGTCAGTATCTACTTGTTACTTTACTGGCACTTCAGATAGGACCACCAGCGGGACTACCGGTACGAAGAAGGAATGAAGGTGCACTGAACACAGCATCTATAATTATTTATTTACTACCCCGTTTCGGAGTCGCCCGGCTCTGCCGACGAGGCAGAAAGGAAGGTCCACTAAGGAGAACCAAGTCGTCCCTATATGGCTTCAATATGTTGATGATATAAAGGCAATGTTTTAAATTACATTTATAACTTTACCCTACTTTGATGTTTGATCCCTAAATGTGTGTATATTTTCTTTCATATCAATAAATTAGTAACGCGATTAAAGTTACATGTATTATGTAATGACACAAGTTAAAAAGTTACCGTAATATTAAACAGAAAAACAAATATCTACGAATTTCAGCATAACTACTTAGCACACAGGTTACTTCATTTGTATACATGATTGTGATGGTTTGTTGGTTTGGGTTTTTTCTATGTATTTTCTAAGTATTTATATCATTTGTCTAGTACCTATAAAACAAGCTCAGCTTGCCACTAGATAGCGCTGTGTGAAACATCCAGGATGATTATTGTTATACAAATTATTCGTCATATCCAACTAAGTCTAAGCAGTAGGTATATAGCACAAACAAATTCATAGTTCTGGAATTTATCAACCGTGATCATGTCACACCTTTTAAATTATATTATTTTGCTAATACAGAAAAGAGCTGGTTCGAAACGGGCGGCGCGGAGGGGGAAGCCGCAATCGAAGGCCTATTCACGGAGCCGGCGGAGGAGGCGCCCAGCGTGGCTGCCGGCGCTCCCCAGGACCAGCACTGCGCGCTGTGCGGCGACCTGTTCCACCAGTTTTACAACGAGGATAAGGAGGAATGGCATCTCAGGAACTCTGTGCGACATAACGACAACAACTACCATCCGCTCTGCTTCGAGGACTATAAGGTTAGTGATCAATAAGCTTGAGTTTTACTATGAACCAAAAGTTTCTATGTAACAAAGCGTATTATAAAATTAATGAGTTCATAAATTATAATTTTTCTCACTGTTAGAAAAATTATAATTTATCATTTATAAACTCAGCGCCTATATTATTATTATATATATGTCCGCAAAATACCAGCGTCGTGACATATGCCGAGCAGAGACCAATTTGATAGCATAATAATCCAAATTGTAGTTAAAAAATGTTTTTGTTGTATATTTTATATGTATCTAACTACGCACCCAACGCTCAACGCCTGTGGCTCGAAGGACCAATGTTAAGTCCTGAATAGCTAATAAAACTAGTGGACTGTGTTAATAGACATGATATAAAAACTGTTATGAAATACAGATAGAGGCACATTAAACTTAGAATGGTAGTAGTAAGCTGGTAAATGTCGATGCCGTTCGGACAAGAAGTGCCGGTGTCCGCCACCGGCCGCAGTTGCTGATACACAGCCTGCGGAGCGGTGCGTTGAATATGCATAAAAATTTTTTAAAAATCAGTCATTCCTTTCCCGACCTGTTTGGTAACGAAAATTGTGACATGAGAATTTTATATATCAGATAATTTTTCTTACAGAGTTAAGCTAGCCAGTTGTACATCTTTATGTAGTATAATTTATGTTTGTAATTGTTTTGTGTATAATAAACAATAAATAAAATAATTTTTCTGCACGTCTCCAGGCATCACTGACCAAAGAAGAACCGGTCCAAGACTCGAAGGAAATTGTGACCGACATCACCAAAGTAGAAGAAGCAATTGAAATCAAAGACGTGGACGATATCATGTCGCAGTCTGACAACGAGTCCGTCGTGGAAGTCGTAGAACCAGATGATAAGGAGATGAGCGAACCCGTAGAGGTACGTTTATAATTTTTACCTTTTTCGTGAAAGAGTGTCATTATTTAGCGGTTAACTACCTCGATTTAGACTGATTTTAACCAACAACTCGAGAACTGTGTATCGAGAATTCTCGAAACTCGAGAAAATAATGCCGAGAAAAGAAAACACTACTAATTATTTATTTGTATTCGTGGAAGAGTGCCATGATTTAGCTCTCGATGTAGACTAAACCGAAAAAAATGTATCGAAAATTCGCAACAAAAAATGACGAGATATTCAAAAGCCTAATATTTTTTTATTTGTTTTCGTGAAAGACAGTGTTATGATTTAGTTAGACTACTTTTAATCAACAACTCGAGAAATGTTATCGAGCATTCGCATGAAAAAAATATGCCGAGAAATAGAAAACTAATAGTATTCCATAAATTATATAAGTGGGTGTTGTAAGTAACGATAATTGGGTTCAGATCATGGACGACGAGACGGAGGCGCCGCAGCCCGAGGCCGAGGAAGACGACGGCGACGAGGACGACGTGGTGCTGAAGGCCGAGCCCGTGGAGCACGTCGACGTCGACGACGACGACACGGACGACGAGACCGTCGCTGAACGCCAACGACTCGACTCGCTCGCTGCCATAGACTTCGCCAACGTCAAAGTCAAAATCGAGCCCATAGACCCTGGTCAGTATTTCTAGAATTCATTTTGCATAAGACCAACCCGTCCCATAGATCTCCCGTTGAATTCTAAAGCGGAACAAAATTACGACGGCCTAAGTACAGGTTTGGACCCTTAGCGGGAAAATTAGTCGTATCCGGCGAGAGTTGATCTTCAGCCGCTCCATAAGTCCTTATGTGGGTCTAGATACCATTTGGCGACAGGGTGAAGCTGTAAAGGCCAGTTGTAGCCAATGACATTAGAGTAGTCCAAAAAAAACTTATCCCTTCCTTAAATTTCATTGATGTGAATCACACATAGCTTGCAAAGCATTTGTGTCCGTATTTACTTAACTCTATAACTAACTAACTAACAAAATGTACAAATAAGCCTGAAAATAGTTAGATATACAAGCTGTATAGTTGTACAGTGGGCCGAGAACTACACTAATGAAGCTAGTTCTTCAAATTAGTTTGCATCTAAACTTTGTTTTGCAGATGACGAGCCAATAATAACTGCAGAGGAGTCAATCCCCACCACAGTGGACACAACGCATGTCACAGTGATGTCCTCTATCGACGGAAATGTACAACTAGATGCCACGACAGCTCCCGTCGCCTCCCTACTAGGCGGTATTCGCATAAACATATCTAAAACAATACCCTCCTTTGTAACCAACATACAAGACGACAAACTGCTCGAGGATATAAGTATGGATGATGAACCACTCCCCCCCGGTGAAGAACCGGAATTGGAGTACACCCTGAAACCGACGCTGGAAGGTGTCGAGTTCGTTAGGAAACCACCCGTGAATAAAGGCAGCGAGTTGTCTGGCCTTTGTTCTATTATGTAAATTGTTATGGATAGACTAGTCAATCTACTGGTGTTTAAGTTTTAGGTTCGATTTGTGAAGTGATTAATATGAATGCAGTGTTTATGGATTTTAATTTCTGCAATAAAAGTCTCATTATAGATTTTTCTATAATAAACGATTTACGGTTACACAACAGTGTGATTCTATCTGACTCAGTTGAACTATAACTGAAATTATGTAAATTACAAATTGAGCATGGACTTTTGTAAATTATTTATGTGCTTCTTTGTAAGACAGTGCCACTGTTTTTTTTAACTATTATACTTAATATATAGTTTGATAGGAATTACTAATGCTTCAATAAATTCAAAGGATCAATAAGAATATAATTTATTCTGAAACTTAAATAAAATGGCTCAATCTGAAAGTAGTCAGAAAACTTGAAATTGATAAGGATTAATCTTATATTCTATCAACAGAATTATAAGGGTGAGCAGATTAGACAACTCGTAAAGTAAATTGCGTTGAATCTATACCATTCCCATTTATTTAAATAGTTTGGGGATCTAGCTTTGAAAGGATTGCTGAAATTATGTATATATAAATAATTTATTGTTAATATAATTGATACGGAAATCGCCATACTTTAATAAGTCGTATTGTATACTTATATGTATATTAGAGCCAATCGCATTATTACATATTGAAATTTATTACATTGTGGTTGCAAACCCAAAATAAATGTTCAATAACACTTGAAACTTCCCATTAAGTTCTTATAATACGAAACATGGTTTCAATGTACTCTAATAGGATATATTTCTGTAGTTATGTGTATTACCAATTTATTTAAACGAAATGTGATACTAAGTTAAGTTCCTTGATATTTCGTAGTTTTGCATTCTCATATTGAATAATCACAGTCTGTGAATTTTACTGTATATAAGACATATTGTAATTATTTTGTGTATATATAAATTGTAGTGTAGTTACTTTATATAATAGATGACTATTATATACTGTTTATTGTTGAAGAATCTCGTTATTCTTTGTTTGCTGATTTCTGAAATAAAAATTGGTATCGAGTTTGCTTTTTTATTTTTACATCACAAATCAAAAGCTTTTATTAGTGATTACATTAAATATAATACTGCAAATAAGCTCGTAAACTATGGTGTCTATATTTTACAATACTGATTCTATTTACATTTTAAAGAATATATAGAATTAATAAATGCTTAGTTTTATTTCAAGCTTTGATTTGTGCATATCGTGCTCCAGGTATACGGATGTATTAAACTTATATATATATATATATATATATATATATATTCACGTCGAATATTGATAAAAGGAATAGAAACCTTGTGGTTACCACTTAAAGATTATTTTGCAGATAACTGTAATGCAATTTCAGATAAAAATTGTCTCAGATCAAGTTGAGGAAAAACTATTACAAATCATTAATCTGATTGCTGTTTTATTATGTTTGCATTGCATTAATTTTGTATACTATTACACTAATTAAGAGACTATAGGATTGTTAGAAACAGACTTATAACATTATCTCTCAATCAATGTAAAAAGTCTACTATTTTATTATTAACCATATTTTCTTTTCTTATTCTTTAAATCTTCTTTAATTTAAGATTTAGCATCTCAATGTTTGTATTTAGTTTTATGATTTGTAAATAAATGTTTACATTAAAAATTAATTGTATTGTGTTTTCTTTAATATACATAGTAGAGTAATAATAATAATGACCCTGGACAGTTCAGCACCACCTAGTTCCGAAGCAGAGCTTGTATTATGGATACTAGAGAACTGATGAAATCCTATGAATATGTATTACATAACAAATTAGATAAATAACACATTTATAACAATATAATTTCAGCAGAAATATATAGTAGTTTTGATGTCTGTTTTGGCTGCAAAATAAGATTGTGATTTCTTTAATATAATGCACCTAGTCCCAAGATAAGCAGAGCTATGAAATATATAAGCTCTTGCCTCCTGCTACCATACATAGTTTGCTAGGACATATATTTTTATAATACACATTCATACTGCACTTTTAATTATAACCATCGTTGTCTGCACCGACCCCAGCACCCTATACACAGTCCCAACAGAAAATGAAACTAAGTTCTGTTTTCAAGAATTCATTTATTTGCTTAAATTGAAATTTCCTACAAAAGGTCAGTGTCACCTGACTTAAATATTTACGTATTCTTGTGAAATCTAGTATATATTTCACATACTACAATTATGCGGCCACCGTGGAAACGGCAGTGTATCTTTGATGTTGGTTATGCCACACATAGTCTGCAGTAATCTTTCCAAACCCAATCCATACCCACCAGTTGGGATGTTACCAAACTTTCTCAATTCCAGGTACCAGTCTAATTTCTCTGATGGCAGTTTTAATTTTAATCTGTCATAATCATCTTCTCTGAGACTACCACCAACTATTTCACCTGTTATCGGTGCTAGTAAGTCTAATGCTTCCACCTAAAAAAAATACATATTATATTTATCAAGGTAGACTTAGCAAATTGTCTATAAATACAATTTACATTTACCAAGGAAATTTAGACTGCAAATTGTCTATAGCTACCTCTTTTTAATCTAGTTCAGTCACCAAGCAGGTTGTTTTGTAATCTGTGTTTTAAGAGAAGGGTGAGAAATACATATATTTACCAAGGTTGACTTTGGAAATTGTCTAAACCTACCTCTTTTTAATCTATTTGAGTCACCATGCATATTGCTTTGTAATATGTTTTAATATACAGATAAGATATAGCAGTGAAATTACAGGGTATGCAGGAATGACATATTAGTGCTCATAACATTAAAGTTCAAATTCAAATTAAAAAATCATTGTACATTTTAGCTGCTTATTAATGTAATTTTTTTTATATTATTTTTCCTACCATCCACTATACCGGTTACCATAGACATAAATTATTATGAGATTATTAATATCATCATTCATTGCAATAACATAAAAAAATATCATGACTAGAATAAATAAAAATGTTAATGTAAGTAATATTTCTTTAGCTATATTAATTTCATTTATGATATACTATGCAAATTAAATAATTAAATTATTTTCATTCAAATATTGTAATTTTGGAATCCTGTTATGCTAATATAATTTTATTTTTACCTTACTATTATCACTCTGGCATTCTTTCATATAAAAACTTTTGAGATCTTTAGGCCAGCTTACAATAAATATGGGAGTACCATTACAGTAATCAACCAGAGCTAATTCTTGTTCTTTATTTATTCCTTTCTCAGTACTAGCTACCTTCTTTTTCTTTAAAATATCCTGGGCTTCATCATATGTGAGGGTGACAAACTTTTGTCTCAACCATGACGGTTCTTTACAATTCTCCTTGTCTATCACAGATAAATCAGCTTCATTTGTATTTCTCGTTTCAACAAAGAGATACTTCAATAATTCTTCAATATGATTTTGTAACTGTTCTAAACTGTAACAAAATGCCAACTCAGCTTCTAGCATGTAAAATTCAGATAGATGGAGTCTCGATCTTGCATTCTCAGCTCGAAATGTCGGCCCTAGAGTGTAAACATTGCCCATACCCCTGCAAATTGCTTCTAAGTGCAACTGACCCGAGACTGATAAATATGTTTTTGAACCAAAATAAAGTGTATCTTCATTCTTGCCCTCCTGCATCATTGCCTTTACAGTGTCCTGACACTCTGGCTGCACTTTAAACATCTCACCAGCCCCTTCACAGTCATTCGAGGTTAATATTGGTGTATGTACGTTTAAATATTTTTTGGAAGCATAAAAGTCATGTATATGTCTTGTGAGTGAATTACGAACTCGCAATATAGAGGACACATAGTTTGTCCGTGACCGTAAGTGTATATACTGCCGGATGTACTCTGGCGGATGTGTGGTCCTAGGATTGAATGGATAACCATCTAAAACAACACACGCTCCAAGGACCTTAATATTTTCTGCTAACAGTTCTAACTGGCCTCTCGGACTTTTAGACAGTTTCCCTCTAATATGTACGGAGCTGCCGCAAGTTAGTGCGTCCGTTTTTAATTCTTTTGGGATGATAATCTGCAATTTTTGCGCACAGGAGCCATCACTCACATCGGCGAATATCAAATGTTTTTGAACACGTAGATTTTTGACCCACCCCTACAAATAAAAGTATAATAATTTCATATAAATAAGTAAATTTTTAAACAGAGAGTTTGTACAAATCATTTAAAAAATGTACCTTAACTTCTGTATCTTCCCCTACAGTTGCATTCTCTAAAACAGATGCAATTACACTATACGGCTTTTGAGTAGCAATTTTTAAATAATTTATAAGATTGTAATTACAAGCTTTTCTACACAACATAGTGAAAATAAAATGTTTTCAACCTAAAAATAAATTGTTTACTAAATTTATACAAGAAAATCATAATATAACCTAAAAAGTTTCATTTGACATTTACACAGACTCTCAATTTGTAGAGAGTAGTGGCATAGAAACATAGAAACAGAAACATTGACAATGTGAATTTCACTACTGTCTTTAGTCTTAAGATGTGATGTGTGTGTGTTAAGAAAATCCTAATAATAGTTACATACTATTTCTCATATTTGGCATACAATGTATTATATTTGAATCAGCCAGTAAGATTCATACTCAACCTTTGAGCTTTATAAGTCAATGTATTAAACCGCAATTTCAATGATGACCAGTCATCCGTACCTCTCTAGGGAGGTGAAGGTTGGGGCTTCGGGGCGAATCACTTTGCCCCGGCATCGAACCGGATGACTGGGTGGAAGCCTTTTAGGGCGAGTATAATGGTTTCAACCCCTTGAGGGGTACGGATGACTAGTCATCATTCAATTTGTGGTTTAATACATCGACTTATAAAGCTCAAAGGTTGAGTTTTTTTTTGTTTGTTTATTCGTTTATTTTTTATAATGTTTATTTTTATTGGGTTCCTACAAAATTTCAAGTAACGAATCACGAAGATGTTCATATAACAAATTTTCAAACAGTATATATTAGGTATTATTTTTTAGAATATTATAGCTGTATCAATATTGCACCTTTGCTTACCTGATGTAATGACGTACATGAAGTAAATAAATTCAACCTCTTTGGCCTCTGCTCTCTTTCATATGTGTCAAAAATCTGTCATTTTCATTTATAAAATCATGCAAGTTCTGAACGTCGCTTTGTGAACTTAAATATTTGTTTAATTTAATTAATTATATTTTGTAACTGTGGTATTTATTAATTAGTTATCAATGTAAGTATAATTATTATTTATAAAGAAGCGTGTTTGTATAGTTTACTTTTGTAAGAAGTCATATAAGTTGTGATCGCCGTAAGTGTTCGTGTCAATTAATAATTGATCATAGAAACAGGTTTTCCTCGTATTACGTACTTCATTGTATTATTACGCAAAATAATTTGGTACCAGTGTCGTTGAGGTATACGCATTTGCAAATATAATTGCACTTGACCAGAGTACTCATGCATGCCCCAATGATCTACTTTTTTATTACAAAGTGTATAAGTAAATACCTACTTTCTGCTACGTTCAATAGGCGTAAATGTAGTTCATTAAATTTCACTCTCGAACGCGAAATACGTGAATCTATTCTCTGTTTTGTTATCAGTTAATATACCCTTATCTTGTGATAATAGATAGTATTCTATCATAGTATTACTATTACATTTACCATTACTGGATAGATGTCTGATTAATAGCTTTAATTATACTGATATACTATTAATTCTGAACAAAAAGTATGGAATACAGAATTATAATTCTACATGTCATTAAAACCTCCATCTTCATTTTTTCAAATCACACTAACCTTTTTTATAGTGGCCTTCATCTTCCCTTACCCCTATTTCTGTATCACCCTCTTGAGCTACATGATTGTATCAGCAATGAGCAGAATCATTTCTGCTATCGCTGATAAGTAGATGTTTATAGGATGATAGTTTATAGGAAAATAATGTCTGTACAGTAGAATGAAAAGACAATAATAATGTAATAAAGAAAATAATGGTAAAAAGCTTACATGCTACCTGATAACTCTTGCCTATATACAACTCCACACACATAGTACCCTTTATTTAAAACCTTTTTTGTATATAAATGTATATAAAAACATTATAAAACAATTGAAATATATACTTACATGTCCATGGACAACAGTCTTGATTTTAATATATAATAATATATAAAAAGGACCAGCAAATAAACACATTTAGTGGTCATTCGAGACATTTTAAAGCCAACATATGGCAAAATACATATTCAACAGAATATAACTAACCAACCAACATGTTATTAACCCTGATGAAAATAAATTATGTGTATATTCATTAAATGAAAAACATTTGTAAGATACTGCAGTTGAAAATTAGTTATGAACTTTCTTGTAATGTAATGCAATTTATTGCATTAATGTAATGAAAATGATTGTTTCACATACTGGTATTAGTTCTACATATTTAGTAATTTGTGACATGCGACAGACTGCTGTTGATTAAATAGAAAAATGTCATCTTTCTAAATTAGAAGCTAGTATTGCCTCCTTTTATATATGTCAATTAAATTAACCACACCGTCTTAATCATTATCTAAATACTTTTAAAATAATATATAATACTTTTGTGTAAATTTAAACCTTTAAATGAAAAAATAATTTAACTAAATTAAAAAAAAACTAAAAAAATTTACATTTTGAATATATTTTTCTATTTAACCAATGATATGTCTGTTGCACTGTTAGTTAATTTTCTGAATGACTATTTTTTTGGGAATGATAATGGAATGGTGCATTCACATGCACTAATAGTTTCCGCTGGTGGGTCATGATAATATGTACATGAGGTCAGGTCAGTTATCCTATCGTATCAAATTCACAGGTCCCCCTCATATACCTTACATGGTATATTACAATGGGGTCATCAGTTCACATTACAAACTTTTCCCCTCCAAATGACTATTACACTATACATTATGATACATTTAGCTATAGATTATTTGTTTATGAACAGAAAATGGCTGACAAAGGACCACAGGCTGGAGACACGGGCCCACCAAAGGGAATCCCCGCACTGAAAGCCCATGTGGCAGCCAACAAAGTGGATGTAGCGCTATGGGGGATCCGTGTACTCACTGTCCTCTTCACAATAGGCTATGTTATGCCAATAATTAACAAGTAAGTCACATTCTTTTATATACTATGCCTACACTTGTACATTTCTGTCAGCACTAGAGACCCTTCCATTAGTACCTCTCCAGATAATATAGATTTAAGGTTCCCGACTCCGCATCGAATGTACGCGTTACTAATAAACCATGTAGCACAAATACTGTATAATAAACGAACTTTTTTTTTCTTTTTTTTCATAGAGTTCTTCTTTTTTATTTTAAATGCCCGCCACCAATTTCGATTGGTGATTTTGCCAATGTCATGGTTTGAGAGACACAGTGTAGTTTGTAGCTGTGGCTTATTTTTTTAATAGAGTTTGTGCTCATCAGCTTATTATTATTTAAAAAAAAACTAACTAATGTATAATAAATAGTACAATTATTTCACCTGTATACTCACTACCTATATACAACAATAAATTATCTAGCGACACCTCATCTCATCCTATATAACGTTACAGTGGTGAGGTGATAACCACTATGGCACAATTATATATTAAACTAGCTGTTCCCGCGACTGCGTCCGCGTGGAATTTAACTTTTCTAAAATAAAAGTAGCCTAAGTTACTCCTTATTACATCAGCTACCTGTCAATGAAAGTCCCGTCAAAATCGGTCCAGCCATTTCAGAGATTAGCCGAAACAAACAGACAGACAGATAAAAATTGTAGAAAATGTTATTTTGGTGTATGTACCGTATTTATATTCATATGCATGTAGTAAAAAATGGTTATTTCAATATTACAAACAGACACTCCAATTTTATTTATATGTATAGATATAGGTTGCTAATACAGTGTTATTAGTATGTATGTTATGCAAAATCTTTGCCTAAGTTAAACAGATTTGATTGTCTTTTTACAGTTGATAAGTTTACTTAAGAGTTGGCTCTGTAATATTTACTCGGATCGGCAGCCATGTTGTTGTTTATTTTACACAATTAAATTTATATTTGTCTGTAGTCAATTATCATTTCATGGCACAACCAACAACCAATAATGTTGAATTTTAGTAAACATAGTATTTGCCATGGAGGAGGTTACAGGCTGGTTTTTGTGTAAAAGTTGCCTGTCAAGGTAATTGTCAAAGATGTCTCATGAATTGAATCCCCACCTCGATACAGGCTAATTGGTTGGTTGAAGATAGAGTAAGGAAAATATGGGGATTTCATTGTATTCTCCACTGGTGCCTAGTCAGCATACTGCTGGTGCAGTCATGTGCATCTTTTCGCTATCTGAACATACATCCTTTTGTATTGCTGTGTATGACACATAATGAATGAAATGATATTTATTCAGTAGAAGAAAATGACACAAACTTATTAATATATCGAAATATGTTTTTATTTATTTATTAGGAAATTTAGAAATAAAAAAACGATACAGTAATACTTAACTAATGATTTAAATAAATATATAACCATTTACATTGTTTTACGCATATATAGAACTAGAATGCTCGTTTGTTTTAGTTGTAACTAGCTACTCGCCCCGGCTTCGCACGGGTGATGTATTATATATATAAACCTTCCTCTTAAATCACTCTATTTATTAAAAAAACCGCTTCAAAATCAGTTACGTAGTTTTAAAGATTTAAGCATACATAGGGAAGGACAGATAGTGACAGTTGTTTTATACTATGTAATGAAGACTTAAGTTAAATAACTACTTATAGAAATAATCTTTATTCAAATAAACTTAATATAAGCACATTTGAGTAGACAAGTTTTTGATTCTACCGCTCATTCGGAATGCAGACTCATCACAAGAAGAATGAGCAAGAAACTTGTGTTTACCTAAAAAATACAAGCTGATATATGGTCTAAATTTATAATAGCGCAATTGTATGTGATTGGTCAAATAAATAAGTTATCTATCTATCTATAATCCATTAGAAAAATAGACATTTATGTTGGTAGTAATAAATTTTATAATCCGTGGTTAATTTAGGTTTGATACTAGAGTGATGGTGGACAGTTTACTCATTTATTATTTATCTATGGTCCATTATTTATCTTTAAATATTTATCGCAATAATTATATAATTATAATTCTGATAAGTGATTTGCGATACTAATTTATAATTCACTAATCATTAATTTATTGTTCTATTTTGTATGTATGTATAAATAATCAAGCAAGACTAAAATAGTATCTTTAAGTACATACATATGTGTATAGTAATATGACCTGTATAAATTATTTATATGTAATATTTTAACTAACTGTTCCTGTGAATCAGTCTGCGCGGAAATTAACTTTATTTTTCTAAAATTAAAATAGCCTAAGTTACTTCTTATTACATCAGCTACCTGCCAAATAATGTTCCGTCAAAATCGGTCCAGCCATTTCAGAGATTAGCCGGAATAAACAGACCGACAGACAGACAGATAAAAATTGTAAAAAATGTTATTTTGGTGTATGTACCGTATTATGCATGTAGTAAAAAAACGGTTATTTCAATATCACAAACAGACACTACAATTTTATTTATATGTATAGATGTATACAAATAAATAAATTTGAAGTGTTTGTAATTTCAAATTAACTTTTCATTAAATGTATTTATGAATGTAAAAATTGGTATCAAAAATTTAGTTTTAAAAATTTTTTGTCTTTGCCTGTGTGACAATCTCTGAAACGACTGGACTGATTTTGACGGAACTTTAACTTGCAGATAGCTAATATTATAAATTTTGAAATGTTAATGTTAATAAAAAAAGTTTAATTCCATCCTGATTCGTCGTGGCTAGCAACTAGTTCGTATTTAGTAAGAAAACCTTAATACGTTAGGTAGAAAAACTGACACAAACTTAAATGTAATTGAAGATTAAACTCCTTTAATTTGGATGGCTTCCACCAAATGAGGGCGTTTATTTTGCCACGGTCGTGGTCAGGGAGACATAGTGGTGTGGTTTACATGGCGTGTTATCTTGACTATATTCATTAATGTCAAGACTTTCATCTTGGATGAGAATGCTAAAAACAAGTACAACGCAACTGTTAGCCTACAATTAAAATAAGTACTAAATAAAATACATGTATAGTATCATCACTACATAGTATAAAACAAAGTCGCTGTCGCTGTCTGTCCGTCCCTATGTAGGCTTAAATCTTCAAAACTACGCAACGGATTTTGATGCAGTTTTTTTTAATAGGTAGTGATTCGAGAGGAGGGTTTATGTAAATACATTTACACCCGTCCGAAGCCGGAGTAGCTAGTAATATATAAAAAGGACTGACTGACAAGGAGTGGAAATGCGGGGCATAGACATGTATAATATATGTATATGCTTGAACATCGTTTTCTTTGTCAAATGAACATAAATCTTATATATAAAATTCTCGTGTCAGTTTTCGTTCCCATACTCCTCCGAAACGGCTTGACCGATTCTCATGAAATTTTGTGAGCGTATTGAGTAGGTCTGAGAATCGGCCAACATCTATTTAATTCCCCCTAAATGTTAGGGGTAGTCCACCCCTAATTTTTTTTTTTATTTTAAGGCAAAACAATGTTTGCCGGGACAGCTAGTGTGTATGTATAATTGTATCTATTTTGTCTATAAAGTTCTGTCAATGTGACAAAATATATTAAAGAAACATTTACTGTAATGTCCTCTGTATCTTAATAATAAATCCAATAAATCTAGTTGATATCACCCAGAATATCTCCCAATTCAACATTTTTTACAGTGTAGGTCTTACAATAGAATAGAGTACAGATGCTCGCAGGAGGCCTGCAATTTACAATTTTCCTTAATGAATTACAAAATAATCAAATCGAAATTATCTTCATTCATGTAGATCTATCATATATTAAATCTACCGTCAGTTCGGAATACTTTCGAGGTTAGAAGAACTAACAAGAAACTCAGCTTGTATTTTTTTCCAAATATGGTTGTATATGTTTACAATAATACAAATTCATTTTTAAATTAAAATTTTGGAAAATAAAGTTACCACCAGCATATGCTGTAGCAATTTTGTCAAACGAAAATAGTCTAATCAGTGTTCGTAACCCGAACATACCAGTCCCCACAATTCCCCAGACCAGTCTCCAGCGCCATTTCACGAGTATGACGCATGGCTGAGCCAGCCGTCATACTCCGATCATTGCACTCAATCATATTAGAAGGAGCACATCGACCCGGCCCACACCGCCGCTACAACTTCGAACTTTATAGCGAGCATGACTGCTTCAAGTTACTTCCACTACGTCACGTATAGTATTTACAGCATAGGCTGTAACAATTACAGTTTTCATCCATTACAATATTTAAGTTATATTATTTAAATTACAATATGTAATAATGAGAATATTGAGTGTTACGTCAATTCTCGCAGAGTAACAGTGTTTTTCGTGGTATATCTATACCAAAGAGGTTAAAAACAATGTTTTCAATTGTATATTAAACTCAGGACATTTTCTTTGTAAGTCATTTAGTCATAACTAATAATGCTAAGCACTCACTAGTGAATTTATTGATTTATTGATTATGAGAGTGGAAAGAGTTGTGTTTATTCATATATTTTATTAGTTGCCGCGGCTGATGTGTCATGGCTGACGAGTAATACTTATAATGTTGCATAAGGTCATAGTTATTTGTAATTAAGTAAATTACGTGAATATTGTTTAATAAATTTATCATTACCGAATAAGAGGGATTTTCTCAATTCGAGGATTTTTTCCATAATATAACAAAAGCAAGATATCGTTCCGAACTGACGGTAGATTGGACAATAAGAGCTGTAATTGACCTACATGAATAAAGATATTTTGAATTTGAGACAAGAGGTAAAGTTCTTTTTATGTAATTGGCTGAATCTTTATTTAGAATTAAAAAGAATAAGAACAATTTTTTGAGGCCAATAAATTTACATAAGAGACAATACACTTAAAGGGTACTTAACGCGGCAGAAGGACCAGGTTCAGCATATACGGCCAGGATGCTCGTGTGCTGTCCTGGTTTTCAACCATTGGTAGTAACCAATAGTAAATAACTATTCAAAACTGCTTATATACTTTTTTAATGTATGCGTGCACCGGTGGAGCATGATAAAATGAACATGGTCAGGTCAGTTAGTCCATCGTGATGAAACTTGGTACCCAGAGGGAATCGCAAAGTTTATTGTTCATTCTAATTGGCTGAATCTTTATTTAGAATTAAAAAGTTGTAACCCGCGACTTCGTCCGCGTGGAATATAACATTATTTATCTTTCTAAAATAAAAGTAGCCTAAATTACTCTTTATTACATCAGCTACCTACCAAAAAAGTCCCGTCAAAATCGGTCCAGCCATTTCAGAGATTAGCCGGAACAAACAGACGGACAGACAGACAAAAATTTTAAAAAATGTCATTTTGGTGTATGTACCGTACTTATATTCATATACATGTAGTAAAAAAAGGTTATTTCAATATTACAAGATAGATTAAAAAGAAAAAGAATAAGGATGCTTTATTGAGGCTAATAAAATCAAACAAAAACTACTGAAGGGATTTTCACAATTTGAGGGTTCTTTACATGATGTATGGACATGTCATCAGTCCACATTACTAACAATGCCCTTCCTCCCCCTATGGATGCTATTATAATGCTGCACTGTGGATCGTAACAAATTGTCCAGCCTAGTTTGTATATTTTATTTACTTATTTAAAATATACAATCTACAAATTATTTTATTTACTAAATACATACTTCTTGAGACTTATTTATTTGCCTGTCTGTTTGTTTCGGCTAATCTCTGATATGGCTGGACCGATTTTAACGGGACTTTTATTGGCAGGTAGCTAATGTAATAAGGAGTTACATAGGCTACTTTTATTTTAGAAAAATTAAGTCAAATTCTACGCGGACGAAGTCCCGAGTACAGCTAGTCATCCATAAAATTTATAGCTTTGTTCGTGTGTAGTCAAATGGGTTGAAGCTGAAAATGAGTGTTTTGTTCCTTGAACAATGTTCCACGCAAGCTTCGACATGTTGGACATTTTATTTTTTGCTCCACACGACACACATAATAACACAATTTTATAAATCTTATGTTGTATTATGTATTGTCTATTCTTATGAACATGTTGTGTGATACAAAAGCCGCTACGCTATCATATATCAAGAAAGCAGTATGAAAATTAAAATTATAATGTTGTCCGCAAATAAAAATAAACGATATATCTATCTATCTATCTATCTATAGTGAACTATGAATGATGTCCAGGAAATAAATGTACCGGTGACAGTGTCCTCACGTCGTTATGCATTACCACGCTGAAAAATTATACACTTCATTAATATTTTGTATGTGGTATTTATGAGATATAAATAATTATTGTGTCTGTTTATCTGGCTGTAATAGATAATTTGATTGATATAAATACTTTAAGGAATTGCTGAATAGATATTGATACTCTACATAGATTAATATTTGTTTACTTATATATAGACTGTCTAATTATTATCGTTTATGGTCGTTCAGTTTAATAGCCATATCCCGCGGCTTTTATCGTATTAATAGGTTTTCACTAAATGCATATAAAACGCTACTTGCATCAAAATATTATATAACTAGCTATTCCGGCGACTTCGTCCGCGTGGAATATAACTTTATTTTTCTAAAATAAAAGTACCCTAAGTTACTCCTTATTACATCAGCTATCTGCCAAAAAAAGTTCCGTCAAAATCGGTTCAGCCATTTCAGAGATTAGCCGGAACAAACAGACAGACAAAAATTGTAAAAATGTTATTTTGGTGTGTGTACCGTATTTATATTCATATGCATGTAGTAAAAAACGGTTATTTCAATATTACAAACAGACACTCCAATTTTATTTATATGTATAGATTTACTTTATTCAATATTAGGCCGTTTCATTAGTGATACAAATTTCTTACAGCTAATATTAGTAAAATAAAAAAAGTTTTCATCTTTTAACTACTGAGTATGTTAAAAATACATTTTGTTTCTAAACGCAACATGGTGATACATTATACAGCTCACGGAGTCAGCTTTGGGAGTCAGGACAGCATCAAGCTGGATACAGATGATTAAATAAATAAATTATGAAATAGGCCTAAGATAAAAAAAAAACAGTAAGAAGTATACACATGTGTTTGTCCACAGTCCAGTGTCGGCGTTCTACAAAGCTTTGCTGGCAAACGCTGCGATATCCGCCCTGAGGCTGCACCAGAGGATCCCGGCCCGCGAGATCTCCCTGTCGAGGGAGTTCCTCACCCGGTTCTTCTTGGAGGACAGCGCGCACTACCTCTTCTACTCGTTAATATTTATGAATGTTACACCCAATTTGTGTATCCTTTTATAATACATATATATATATATATTTATTTATTTATGGATGATAATGGAATAGTGCACCCGCTTGCGCTAACGATTTACGCTGGCGGGGCACCAGTGGAGGAAGATAGGATGAGCATGAGGTCAGGTCAGTTAGTACATCGAGACAAATTCACCAGGAATTTATCACAATGGTTTCCAGGGGCAATAAGATTCTATTGCTAGCAATAAGATCATCAGTCAATATTACTGACAATCCCTTTCACCCCAATACATATATATTAGGTCTGCCTGCGAGTTCGTAAGGTCATAACTAATTTATGTTTGTAGAGTAAGAGCTACCAACCCTAAATTAAGTTAAGTTAAATGTAGTAAAATTTTAAATATAGTTAAAATAATATGTAGTGAAAATAGGTGAAATGAAGTTCAAGTAATTGAAAAAAATATTTTTTTAATCAAATTGTATATGTTGGGAACTGGGAACTATTAAAATTGGCACGCGAATTTTAAAAAATCCCAATTATATTTTTATAAAAATATATGATATCATATATATTAATTAGGAGATTACAAAAAATAGAACATGTCTTGGGAAAATAGGGCGGTTTGAAACTGTAATATAAAGTAATGATTTTGTTATAAATTAAACTACGGAAACCTTTCCACAGTGGTTGTTATTTTATTGTGGTGACAATGATATTAGGTTATTTGTTCTATGGTTATATTTACTAGACTTTAATTACGACGGTTACTGTAAAAATAACGATATACATGTGTGAACGACTACTGTGATCGATATGTTTTTTTAATTTACTAAGGTCAAACAATAACTCATTGTCATATTGCTTAAATCTATTTTGTTAGAAATTTTGTAGTAAATTACTATAGGGTGTGTTACAGAACTCATGTTCTTACCACATTATTTTAAAATTACATTTGTAAAGAAACTTAAAACTTTGAATTAAAATGTAAGTAGGAATGTGTTAAGAACTTAAGAATATAATGAATAATACATAAGTATTAATTTAATATTCCACAACTGTTGCTATAGTAAATCAAGGTAAACATTCATGAAATTAAATATTTAATAATAACTAGTGCCAGTGACTGCGCATGCGTGGTTTATAGAATAACAATCTTATATATTGTGTAATGATAAAAAAGGAAAAACGTTTGCTACAATAGATCTGTCAAACCACTTTTTTTTTTTGGACTACTCTAATGCTGTTGGCTGCAGCTGGCTTTTACAGCTTCACCGGACGATAGGGGGCGAGTGCAGATGACACTCCGAACCGAAGGATGCCTTATGGAGCGGCTGAAGGCCAACTCCCGCTAGACGGATACGATGTTAGTCTCAGGGCACCGCTAAGGGTTCGAACCTTGGCTTAGGCCGTAATTTGAACCCCATTTCAATTGGATGGGGGATCGATCGTCTGTATCACACTTACTTGACATTTATTACTATATATCGTGCAATTTACATATATTTTTAAATTAAAACCTCTAACTATATACCGTAAAGTTTCATCAAAATCCGTTTAGTAGTTTTTGCGTGAAAGAATAACGAACATCCATCCATTAAGTAAGATTAGCCTGCACAACCATGCGTACAGAAAAATATATTTGAAAGTGCATTCAATTTTTTTTGTGTATGTTTTATACGTACACAAAAAAAACATAGAGAAAATTTCTATGATTTTATTATACTCCATCATCATCTGCTTCTTCCTTATCTCATTTATTTGAGGTCGGTGTAATATATTTTTCTCTTCCATTTATTTTGTTACACATCTATCTTTTTTTTTTTATACATAATACAACAATCACAAAATAATCATTGTAATCCAACGCGGAACATCGAGGCATCGTACCCAAGATACTGGCAGCGTTGCCTCTTTGAATGGCCATACTCAGTCTTTGGGCAAAGTAGCTACCAGCTCTCTGGTCAGCATTATTATACTACATGTGTTATTAATTTCAACATTATTTCCTCAACTCCTGCACAGTGATATTGTTGCCAATCTTCTTATTTGCGCTGCTCCACGCCGCCTCGTACTCCCTAACGATTCTAGACGTGAGTATTCAACTTTATTACCATATACATAACGTCCAAAATACAGCTAATAATAAAACAGCATCATGTAAACCCAAATTATTAGTACAAGCTCTGCTTTTACTTGTACTATGGGTAACTAAACAACTAACAGAAATACTTAAATATATATTCGTTTGTAAATACATACATAATATATATAGAAAACGGGTGTTTTTTTAATAGTATTAAATTCCAGGCTTGTTGCCTTAATATATTATACTTATATGTTTACTACACTACCTATTTACAACAGAATACAGGAGTACTTTAAAACTAGGGATTCTACATGTTATTCTATATATAATATGTATGTATTTACGAAAAAAATCAATGTATTTAACAGGTATCTAGTACCCATAAAACAAGCTTTAGGTAGCTTAACTTGGGTTTAGATGGCGCTGTGTGAATTGTCCTGAGAAATTATTATACAAGGTTTTGTTTTATTTATGTTTGTGGCAATTTCAAAACGGATGTTTTAGATTAGACTATTAGAAACATTTGACAAATATTCTTAGTACCTAAGAATATTTCAAAGTCAAATGTTTCTATTAGTGTTAAATCAATCAAAAGTTAAATTTTGTATCCTATAACATTTTCTAGGTTTGCTGGAAGAAATCTCTTTCTAGAGATAGCTCGCCGTTGTACATTACATTTATAGTATCACTATTTTTCATTTCTATTTGTGTGTACAATAAAGAATGTGTCGAGCGGGAATAGAACCCGCGACCATTGGAAGTAAGGCGGTATGTTAAACCGCTAGACTACCGAGGCATTCGAACGCTTGTATATTTACTTACCGTCGATCTGTCTACACACTTACCTTGACCTCAACACTTGTGTGTGTAGTTGTCAAACTGTCATGTTTCGTCACATGTTTATTTGTATTTAGGGTTGCCAACCTTCTGGATTGCCCGGGAGACTCGAATAATAATGGTAAACCTCCCCGGCCATCCGGAGTGCAATAATTTCTCCGGATTTTTCCTGTTTGAATCCCTGTTTTGAATTTTAAAAAATGGTCAGGATTGTTCTTTCTATTTCTGTCTCTGATGCTTCATACGAGCGGTTATTCGGCATGATGGAGCAAGGAAAGAAACCAAATGAGTATTTCTTTAGTAAAATCAGAGTTAAAATCTAATGAACTTTATTTTAACTTCAAAAAAATTCATAAATATAAAATTCTCCCGGGTTGATTCCGTCGAGAGTTGGCAACCCTATATTTGTATTGCATTTAATTAAAACAACTATTTACAAGAAAATAAGAGTAGATGGGCGAATCAAGTTATTAATGTCACCTTGTGTCCTCGTTACACTGATATTATTAAAAAAAAACTACCTTTTACCCGCGACTTTGTATGTCTTTTGAGATGAAACAGCTTGTGTCTGTCCTTGAGATTCTATCTATATACATATGAAATTTCATATCGTGAATAGATAACAAAACAAAAGGCACATTTTCGCAGTTATAATATGAGTATACAGATGGGGTACGGGATAGTGGGTGTGAGTGTGAGTAATGGGTACTAGGACCCCATTGCTAGCAGTCTAATAATAATAATAAAACTCTTTATTGTGTACACGGATGAAATAATAAGAAAATACAGTAAATAGTAAAATAATTACAAAAGGCGGTCTTATCGCTAATAGCAATCTCTTACAGACAACCTAGAAGAGAGGACTTATGTACATAGAATAGGTAGGTGGCACACATAAGACACTATTTACTATACTACTAAATATACACACTTACATTCCGTGTAATCTTTATGTATATATAGTGCATTCTAATTTATTTTTATATATAAATTAGTATGCACTAGTATATATGATGAAAAATAATTCTTTTATTTTTATAACTGTAGTACAGTTGAAAGACATGCAGTGTTTTTTTTTAGAAATGGAAATAATTATTATTCAAATGAACTAAAAAAAAAAAAACTTAATATAAGCAGTTTTGAATAGTCACATTTTTTTTATTCTACTGACATTGAAATAATTAAATTAAAGAAATTTTATTTGCACAAATTATTATCCACTCAATATTCTTATGGCACTTCTCTTCTAGGGATAGAATAGAATAGAATAGAAAATCATTTATTCAAATAAACTTAATTTAAGTACTTTTGAATAGTCATAACATTTTATTTTATCTACCGCTCGTTCGAAAGCTGTCTCATCACAACTCCACTTTCCTCGCATTGTCTCTAAATTATTTTATTACTATATAATCTGTGCAATAAAGAACATATATAATTTTATTTATATAAATTACATAATTGTTCTAAATTCCACATACATTCCACATACATTTAAACATAAAAATTGTAATAAATGTAGATTGTAAAACTTGGAATTACAAATGACACGCTTCTCTGCCTTTCCATTGAGATGGCGACCGTTTCGAGCGTTACTGTTACTACACTTGAGTACCGAAATGGAGAGAAAGTGGTAGCGTGCGAGTGGCATACGACGCCGCGGAATTGTCCACACGTACATATAAGAGATAATACTTTCTTTTGTAATTACTACGTTTAGTTGAAAGCAAACAAATTTATATCACTTAATAATGGTTACATATCTAAGGCGAAAAAATGATGTCTTTTCGTAGTATAAAAGAAAGAAAAGAAAATCAAAAAAATAAATAAAAATAGCCCCTAGTAAGTATAATAGTTTGTAGGTTAAAGAAAAATGTTAGAAAATAATATATATATGTTAGATAGAGTGATTCAAGAGGATCGTTTATATGTATAATACATGCGTGTTATAGTATGGAACAAGCAGAGAAATTAAAATATTTATCCGTGCGAAGCCGCGACGTATCGTTAGTTCTTTATAAAAGAAACATTTTTCCAAAATTTTACTTCATTACTAAAATTTACATTTTAATAATAAATAGTTATTTGTCCCTTTCCTTCGAATCGAAAATTCTTTATAATTTGAAGAGGAGAAACAATGTTAAGTCTTTAGTTTTTTATGCACTACGTATATATACAAATAGAAATAATATTATAAACCTAATGTAAGCACTTTTAAATAGTAATATTTTTAATTCTACCACCTATTCGGAATGCCTACTCATCACTAGAAGAATGAGCGAGAAACTTGCGTGTTTTAAATACATAAATGTTCTGTATTGACAAAGATATGCATATATTACAAACTTTAAACAATTGTTCCACTTCGATCACTCTACAGTTAAAGGGACATAAAACAAATTGATTAAAGACATCAATCAATATCATATCTACTGTTGTACAGCTTTAGATAGGTAGCACACGGATTGATATACAATCAGATACATTTGGCCTCCTATATTCAATGTATTCTTACAATCTTGCCCCTAAAACGGGTCTCGTTCACAATACAAAAATTTTTATGGGTTCACATAATTGTGGTCCCATAAAATAAATATATAACTTACACCATAATAATTATGGTGTAATTTATAAATTAAAAGTATCTCAGTTGTAATAGATCGGTGGTCTGTATGGGTGTCTAAATGATGAAGACACGTAGTTTATGATAATATAATATATTGAAATACAATTGTGAATTATCTAAAGACAATGAAAGAATAATTGAAATGTATCAAATAACATATAAAAAGAACTATTCTAAAAATGTAGATTTAAAAATAATAAAAATATCAAAAGCGGTTGTGACGGCCGGTCGCCAACACAGTTTATAGATTAAACTTCGTATTTATTTATTATCGATTTTTTTTATTTTGTTTATCGTTTAAAGGAAAGGCAAAGGGAACTTATACAGCCAGGTCTGTCATTGAATGACTTGACAAAAAATGATTACTATTTTTTAAAATAAGTTTCCCAAATTATCATAGGCAAATACACAAAAGTGCCAGTCAGATACAAAAAAGAATTAAAAACTTTCTTAAAATAATAACAATTAAATTAAAGTATAATCTGAGGATTTATTATAGACTGTGGTCATCCTAAAGCAAAGGTTGAAGATGAATCATGGCAAATTCAACACATCATGGCGAATTTCGTCATTATGAATTAACGACGATGTTTATCAGAGTTTTGTAAAGGTTGATCTGACCTCATTGCCAGATTTTTTATTACTTCTCTACAAAGAGTAGTAGTAGGTTTATATAAAATTTGTAATTTATTCTACACTTTCGTTATATTAATTTTAACATGAAGATTGTTTTTTTTTAGATTTTTTAATGCACTTTATACATATAGATTATTTTAAATGTCGATTTTAATATTTCATCTACTAATTTGAGTATAGAAAAAATATTAAATTTCATTGTTTGTATACTAAGTTTTACAATCCGTTCAATTATTTGCGATTCAGTAACAAACATCTATTTTATATATCTAAACATCTTTACAAACTTTTCTAATTTAATAATATTATTTACAAGTTAATATGACAGTAAAATACGCTGTTTGTAGAGAATGATTGAGATATTAAATATTAATGAAAATCACATTGTTCTAATGCCAATAGTTTTGTATTGTTTCAATAATTGCGATGCGCAAGAACTGTTCCATAGTCACTTATTGGTCGCCATTTTGTTGTATTTACAAGCAAGGATTTTCTTAATGCGATAATTTTAAGATAATATAAACTGATTTTGATATTCTTGCATGAAATCGAATAGGTGTCGTAAAACTATGACTTATGTATATCGATAATATCAATACAATAAACATTTTCATTCTTTTAATTTTATTTATAAACTCTATTGCACCAGACACAGAAAAATATCAATTAATATATATCGCTAAGTAATCTCTTACAGACAAACTTTAGGTAGACGGAAAAGATATGAGAAAAGAGTAGGTAGTGCACATAACATAATTAATACATACTCATGAGTACAAATATTTGTACCGTGCGAGGAGTTGAACCCGCGACTCGTCATATGGGCCAGTCAGCCCATCATAACAAATTCACCAGAAATGAACCACGATTATGTCCAGGGGGGATCGCCTAGTCTATATCTGACCAGACTGTTACATTGCTAAGCAATCACCAGTCCCCAATATTCAAATCAAATCAAATCAAAATATCATTATTCATGTAGGTCTACTACAGACTCTTATGATATGTCATAATCTACCGTCGTGCATTCGAGCTAAGAAGAAATGAAAAGAAACTCGGTTCTTATTCATTCCAAATGTGCTTGTACATGTTTACAAATATACAGATTCATTTTTAAATTTAGATTAGAGAGAATAGAATGACCACCAGCATATACCAGAACAGACATTCTGGTTCCTAAAAGTTTTGAGGACTTTAGCAGTTCCCAGAAGCTAAACTAATAAATTCCTTCACCTTCTGTTTCTATATTGTCCGAGCGTCACTGTAATTTGTGCACCAACGTTTTGCAGACCCTGGGCCAGAACTCTATGTGGGTGGCGCGACTGCTCATCTCGCTGGTTGAGTTCCAGTCACGGAATATTCTGCGGGTGGCTGCCCTGGCTGAGATCCTCGTGTTCCCGCTCATCGTTGGAATGGCACTATTGTTAGTATCTATTCTATCTAAATCTATATAAACTTGTAAATGAAAGTCACTGACACTCATTATTTGAATTTGGCGCGCATTTGCAGTAAATTTAAGCGTCAGAAAAGCGTCGAGGAAGTATCTAGATGTCTGTAAAAATTTTGCTAAACAATACTATAATTATAATTTATGTTTATAATATTGTGAAGTAGAATAAAATGTTGTTAGCTAGCCGAACTGGCATGAAACGCAATTGGTATTTTTTTCTTATCGGTTTAAATCTTTAAAAATGACTGCAACACAATACTCAATGTTTTATTACGTCCCCACAGCGGCTACTGTGGCCTGGTGACGCCGTTCGTGTACTACTACTTCGTGACGTGGCGCTACACGTCGCGGCGGAACCCTTACACGCGCAACATGTTCCGTGAACTGCGCACCGCCGCAGAGAAACAAGCCGCGCGCCCCGCGCTGCCCGCGCCCATCAAGTCCGCGCTGCTCGGAGGAGTGCAGCTCGTGTGCCGCATGGCCCCGCCCGTGGAGGCCACGCCCCAGTCAGTATACACACACACACCACGCTAGCAGGCGGCGTGCGGCTCGTGTGCCGCACGCAGACCGCGTCCCAGTCAGTATACACACACACCACACTAGCAGGCGGCGTGCGGCTCGTGTGCCGCACGCAGACCGCGTCCCAGTCAGTATACACACTCACACCACACTAGCAGGCGGCGTGCGGCTCGTGTGCCGCACGCAGACCGCGTCCCAGTCAGTATACACACTCACACCACACTAGCAGGCGGCGTGCGGCTCGTGTGCCGCACGCAGACCGCGTCCCAGTCAGTATACACACTCACACCACACTAGCAGGCGGCGTGCGGCTCGTGTGCCGCACGCAGACCGCGTCCCAGTCAGTATACACACTCACACCACACTAGCAGGCGGCGTGCGGCTCGTGTGCCGCACGCAGACCGCGTCCCAGTCAGTATACACACTCACACCACACTAGCAGGCGGCGTGCGGCTCGTGTGCCGCACGCAGACCGCGTCCCAGTCAGTATACACACTCACACCACACTAGCAGGCGGCGTGCGGCTCCTGTGCCGCACGCAGACTGCGTCCCAGTCAGTAATTATACTTCAAACCAACTTGCAACGCAGCTGGTCATATTTGAAATATTGGGACATAACATCACAAAATCTTAAACCCTGCGGGACCTGTGGGTCCCCTGCTATAGATGATGGTGAAAGCCATCGGTACACACGAAGTTTGTGACCTCTGTCATCTACCTCTTTTTATACAATGTTACACTTGGTAGAGAAAGATATAATTTCCTTTTTTTCCCTGGTCAATAGTCATGTGGTAAGAGCAACGGCTTGTTCTACATGCTGACATATTTTATTGTAATAGGAATGGCAAAGTGGCTGACAGTCCTGATGACAAACGGATACTTCCACATCACTAAGGACATCACGTTATCATGTGACAACCGTGATACCATTCATGTGTTGCCATTCCAAAGGACTAAGATGTCATGCTTCTAGCCTGTAATTTCACTGTCTTATTACACTTCACTACCGAACCACAACGTACAAAACTGCCTAGCAGCTGAAGTAGGTGAATTGAATAGTTTTTTTTTAATTGATGATAATGGTATGTTGCCCTAGCCTCTTCTAACGATATACGCTGGCAGGGAACCAGTGGAGGATGATAGGATGAGCATAAAGGCAGCACATTAAACCCTTCATGGCAAATGTACCATAAATTAACTACGATGGTTTCCAGGGGAACCGCATGGAGGTCAAGCTGAATGATTAACTAGCTCCCATTACTAAAAATCCCTCCCCTCTAGGCGAGTTGATAGGAAGATACTTATTGATAACAATAGTAATGCATGGCTCACGTTCCACAGATAACGGCCGTGACCTGATGGACTGGGACGGTAGACAAACATTGTCCCCGGGCGCCGCTCGTCCACCAATCGAAGTCAAAATCAGAACTATATCAAGATGTCACAATATATTTAAGGACAAATTTAATATAAAGCTTTATTCACATCAAGAGGCGCGGTGACAATTTACATTGACACAAATGTAGCGTCCGATCTACATTAAGTTTTAAATACAGTTCGTTTTATTTTTATTTTAACTTTTGGCCAAAAGCGAAATTTATTAGGGTCCTTCTCTTTTAACGGACTCAAATGAAGTTTTGTTTGTATATAGTTGTTCTTTCTACTTAGCCTATAAGGGTTCTGGCTTGATGATAGTAAATGATCGATTTTAGCTATACAGCTACTATTTAAAACCTTTTTTATATATACATATTAAAAAAAACATAATACGGTTGAAATATACTCTTACACGTCGACAGACAATAGTCTTGGATTTAATGCATTCTATAATAAAGTAAATAGCAAAACATACATTTAAGTGGTCCTTCGAGCCGGAATATTTTTAATTTTTACATATAAAAAAGGTTAGCTTATCTGCAGTAATTTCATTTATGATTGAATTAGTCTTAATTCATCTATCTATATTGAATAACCGAATTTATGTTTATAAATTGACTAAACATTTAAAACTTCTAAAAATGTTTGTCCTGAATACAGTAGAATATAATGAGATTTATAACATCACTGCCAACTTATGTTACCTTATTTTAAATTCAAATTCAAATTGAGAATAATAAATATTTATTATTATTATCACTCATGGATGGGTTTCGGTCAATTACTGCCCAGAACTTTTTGCTCTCAAACTAGCTGAATTAATAAGATCATAAGGACGCTACAGGAAAATGTATACTAACAGAAAACTGACAGATTTAATGAAATTGATTGGCTTTTCTTGAACATTCGGGCGTATTGTTAAGAGTTTATGAGTATTTTATATGTATATATACAAACAGCACGCTCATGTAATGCACTATGGAATATATATTATTTATATATTTTAATTGCATAGAAGAAATTAAGTTTCAAGAATACTGTTGTTGAATGGTTGTCGTGACTTTTCCTTTGTGTGAAGTAAATTGTATTTTTATATAGAGGCCAAAATGTTTCTAATAAGATATATTTGATATTATTTTTAACAGGAAACTAATAGCCTTCAAATTGTACCTAAAAGTAACGTCGTATAGAGTACCTCCTTTTATTGAAGTTGTGTAAAACAATAGATAACAATATATAAATTATTAAGTAATTAAAACTTAGATTCATAGTTAAAGTTTAAAGAGATTTAAAGTAACAAATGTTTTATGGTTTCGGTATATTTTAGAATTAAAGTTTTATACGTAAAATTAGTATAATTTTAGTTTGTAACAGATATTGTCAACATTTAATGCAATTTACCTAAGGCAGAGACTATTTTATTCCTTAACATGTTATATTGTAAAAATAAAAAAAAAATATAATAAATATATTTTAATTATTGAACAATATGTCCTTTTCAGCCAGGCTATTGTGTTCATTGGATAGACAGTGACAAAACACTTCAATAGTTAAAATAGAAGGTTGTAGGTGTTATTATTAGTATGTCTCTGTCCAAGGTATCTTCCTGATTTGTCGATACGGTATCGGACACTATCTGAACTGGATATAAATTTACACAGTAGAAGCGTGGAAATCTACTGCAAGAAACTGTTTGAATTTATTAGACAATTAGTAAAATTGATATATAACTTGGAGTAAAACGATACCGTACTAACAAAATATGGAAAAAAATAAGCTGTCTGTACCGTGTCCTTTTGGTTGTGAATATTGTTTTATAATTTAATTATTACACACTACAGCTACAATAACTCCGTGTTGTGTTTAAATAAATATAAAGAAAAGGTGTCGCTTATGAGGGAACTTTAAATAATTAGTACAATGTACATATAGAAACGAATACCAGAATTAAAATCCAGCAATAATATTTGTGATATTCTTAAAGGCAGACTATTTATTACTAAAGACGAAGACGCCAGAATTTGCCGTCTCGTTCTATATTCGCTTGTTCACTAGGGCTGGATTTGCATATTTTTATCATCGCATCACTTTGTGTCAGTCCTTGTGCACTAATCTAGCCAATACACAAATCTCTGCATTTTACAAGTATAATCGACTTCTGTTGTATTCTAACAGTATATTTTACCTTGACTATGGGACAAAATAAGGTATTATTTTTTATTTATTTATCACTTCTATTTAGATCAATGATTTGGTCCAATTTTAGTTAAGGAACAATGATTTATGTTAGTGTGGTAAGTTAGGGAGATTGTAAGGCGTGTGCCGTGATTGTTAAGGATGTATGTATTGATGGGTCAGCAGACTATCTGTATTGTAAAAAGGGTTGTCAGACAGTAAAGAAGATTAACCCTCTTATTCATATTATAAATTTAAACCTTCCTGACCTATGAACTTCGTTTAAATTTTAAAAAGGCACAAATGTAATTGTCTAAACGAGACAACACCTAAAATAGGTTTATTAACAATTATGAATAAGAAGGAACTGGTTAAAGATTTTGGTACTATTAATTTAAAGTGCAAAATTAATGTATTCGTTTCACCCTTCGCACACTAAAGAGAGATACTAAACAATGTTTATATTCTTCTCTATTTTTGATGTATAAGATCAATATTGGTCTATAATCAACCGAATTTAATTTTATCACATAACACCAAGTATAGTTTTTTAAAATACCTTTTTGTATCTTTGCATTTAATATAATTATGTAAATATTTGTTTAGTTTTCAAAAGACAAAATATGTGTATATGCTTATGTTGTCCATTCCATTTGTATCGTGTTATTTGTTTGTATTTAACATTCATGGTGTTGTGTGCACGGTGACTTTTTACATTTGCTCGATGGATGCTGACACTTTGTATTTAGTAATATAATAATGCACTTGGTTTGGGGTGATTGTAGTCGTTATAAAAATAAAATGTTGGTAAAAATATTGTGTTTAATTTGAAAGTCATTAGAATATAGGTACCCATTATTTATTAATTTCCATCGAATGTCGGTTGTCTGTCGCAGCAACCGAAAGTGAAGTGGCGATATGCGCGTGCCAGCAGTATTTTTTCAAATGTGTTTCAATCTTATTCTGTTTCAAATAAGGATTACAGATCTGTGACAAGACGGTAATACGGTTTAAGAGGGGTGCACAGATCTGTGTCAAAACGTTCGAAGGGTTAATGTTCATAAATAACATATTATATAGCGTTTTAGTATCTTATGAATGTCAACATTTTTATTACTATCCCTACCGTCAAATTTTAAAAGAAATAATAATTTAGTACATACTTGGATCCATGGTCAAATTTCATTTATAGCTACTAGCTGTCTCGCGACTTATAGTTACCAAATAAAAAGAAATATTAAAAAGTCATCGTTCTGGCTACAAAAATTACATGACTTTCAGTACAACTTTAATCTCCTATTTTATTTTACCCCCTTAAGGTTACCCTTAAGTTATTTTTATAAACTTTGAATAACATTTATTTATATTTAATAAAGATCTTAAATATAAGTCCCATGTTTATAGCTTTAAATGGCGATACTTCCATACTTTCATATCCCCTTTCAACACTTCGCAATAAAAAATAGCTATGTATTTTCTCAGGGTCTGACCCTGACCGATCTGTTTCAAATTTCATTTAAATCGGTTCAGTAGTTTTGGCATGAAAGCGAGACAGAGTTACTTTCGCATTTATAATAAGTAAGAATTTGGAATAATTATTAGTGGTATAAATGATAAGACGGTGTTGAAGTAATTATTTATTAATTAGCTTATAGTTAAGCGACAGCGGGCACGGGCTGCGGCAGCGGTGCGGGCGCCAGGGAGCGGACGTCGCTGGTGGGCTCGAGCGGCACGGGCTCGTCCTTGGGCTCCGTGACCAGGATGTGGTCGGGCTGCGGCTTCTTCGGCCCATTCTTGCCTTGTTGGTCCCACGGCAGCATGATCTTTACCTGTACGCAAAGCATATATTTGATTATCCATACTCATGGATGCAACAATATGTCTCCCTGTCTGTTACATTTTTACGGCTAAACTGTTATGTGAATCTAAGGCTACAGTAGCACGAGAGGTGAAGGTGAGTGTTGACGTACATTGGCCAAGGGGCCCCTGGAGGGAAAGGAATTGTTAGTAATGTGGACTCTCGACCCCATTGCTAGCAATATACCATATCAGGTTGATCTCCATGTGTTTCCTCTGGAAATCATCGTGATAAATTCCAGGTGAATTTATCATGATGGGCTAACTGACCTGACCTAATGCTCATCTTATCCTCGACTGGTGCCCCGCCAGTGTAAACCGTTAGCGCAGACGGGTGCACCATTTCATCATCATATACAAAAAAAAGGGCCCCCTTTAAACTACACCTGGGACACAACTTCCGGGAAACTGCTCGAGTTTCCCTTCCTGCCACATGATGGACTCACGCTGGTATGGTAAATCTATGGAATGCTATCTTAGCATTCCGGCCGTCTTTGAGTAAAGAAGTGATAATTGATGAAGTAATATGTAATATAATATCCAACAAGCACCGTAACAAGAGCCTGTATGGTACAGACCCTCCAATAAACCTGCTGTTATAATATACCACAAATAATTAGACCACAAGCTATTTATAAACTTGCAATCCCTGAAATGTGGATCAAAGGAACTCTATTTTGATACAAAACAAATATGAATGAAGAACCTGCACATTTATTTACTTATTACTAGCTGACCCCGGTCATTGTAGGATGCACAATTTAGTGAATTAGAAATATAGATTCACACAAATGTAATTTAATGTTTGCTAGGTTTAATTTTCAACCTAGTAAGTAAATCACTACATTGGTCAGCTCAAAAACACGCACGTGATATATATCAATTCAGAGTAACCGTTTAGCATCCGATCTGTTGATGGTGCATATGCTTGTTAGCCACCATGTAAAGTAAAAAATAAAAATTAGATAAATTAATATATTTCTCACCTTAATACCAAGCACTCCTTGCCGAAGCAGTACATGCCTGGTGGCTGTGTTCACGTAGTCATTGCAGGGGTCACCAGAGTGGATCATGAGGCCGTCAACGAACTTCATCGACTTGGCACGCTGACCGCGGAGCTTTCCGGACACAACCACTTCACAGCCGCGAGCACCAGATTCCATGATGAAACGGAGGACACCGTAACACGCGCGACGGACGGCGAGACCTGGCAAATGTATACACAATGATATAAGTCTTATTTTCATACTATAGATGGAATTTAATTATACTCATATTTAGTTACTGAACCAGCTTTATTTTTCCATATAATTACAATTTCTAGTATTATTTTAAGTATAATTCATTTTAAGGTTACTTTCCATGTATGTAAAGTACTGCTCAAAACTTGTTTATGTGGATTGTTAGTAATGTGGAATAATGTCCCCATTTCTAGCAATGTATGGCAAGGTGATCCCTACATGATCCCCCTGGAAATCATTGTGATAAATTACTGCTAAATTTGCCATGATGACCAACGGAGCAAATGTGGACTCATCGAGTAACAAGTGGCTAGGATGAGCAGGAAAAAGCTGAGTAGGTTGACAAAGAAAAAGATGGTCTGATGACATTAAAGAAGTGGTGCAGGGGATCAGTGAAAAATGTTTCAAAAACATGGAAAAATATTCATGTAATAATAAACTGTTATGCAAACGAAGTTGCATGGGTCAGCTAGTTATAGATATATTTATACTTAAGTTAAGGCTCAATATATATATAACCATGAGCATTCTATTAAAGTTATTAACTATAGAGTACATTTGAAATAATAATAATATTGCTACCTACCTATACTAATACACTAGGCAGTATTAATATATGTAGATAATATAATAATAATATTCTCAGGGCAATTCACACAGCACCATCTAGACCCAAGTTAAGCTAGCTAAAGCTTGTGTTATGGGTACTAGATAACTGATACAGATAAATAAATATTTTTATTTGTAAATACATACATATTATACATAGAAAACACCCAGACTGATACAAACAATCATACGCATGAATACAAAATTTTTGTGCCGTGCGAATAATCGAACCCGTGACCATCAGTCCTAAAGCGGTGTGCTAGACCGCTAGACCACTGAGGTTGTGTCGAGGTGTAGATAGCAATACTATTATTATTTACACCTAATACTGGTTTAATTCATGCACAACGGCACAAATGAGAGGCCAATTGTGGAAAATGGAGTCCAACCTACACTACTGGTTTAATTACACAACTACTGCTTAATTATAATCATATACACCAGTAAGTAAATTTTTGGTCCCTAAATTAATTAATTACAACATAAATATGAGACACAAGAGTAAATACAACAGAATGCTCACAGAGTTATAGAGAGAATTCATCCTGTTTTGGGTAGATATACAAATGAAACAATCAATAACCTTCTTCATTCACAAGTTGAATGAAAATAAGAAATTATTATTATAATACTCATTGTGTGTAATCAAACTACCTTTGTTTTTGACCTAGAGACACTGTATACTTTTATTAAGTAGATTAGCTGTACTTGTGACTTCGTACACATGGAATTTAACTTTATTTTTTCTAAAATAAAGGTAGCCTAAGTTACTCCTAATAAGGATGTGGTAACATCAGCTACCTGCCAATAAAAGTCCCGTCAAAATCGGTCCAGCCATTTCAAAGATTAGCTGAAAGAAATAGACAGACAGACAAAAATTGTAAAAAATGTTATTTTGGTGTAAGTACCACATAAATATTCATATGTATGTAGTAAAAATCTGTTATTTCAATATTACAGACACTCCAATTTTATTTATATGTATAGATGTATAGATAAATAGTATATAGTGTTAATGGAATCATAAATACCTCCAATAAGCTTGTATCTCAATGATTCAGCTTGTGCAATAGCACAGAGACCGCGAGTAGCGACCTTCTCGGCATATAATTCCACCGACTGTTCAGGAATGTTGAACCTTTTTTGCACCACTGAGGTCAGTTCACGAATCCTACGGCCCTTCTCTCCCAAAACACTCTGGGTCCTTGTGGCCATAATAATGATCTCTGAACGCGTTGGAGTGACGCGCACCTCCACACCGGAGTAACCATCTTCAGCTAGCTCCCTGGTCAGGAACTCGTTAAGTTCCGCCTTGAAAACTCCGTCTCCAACGAACTGAAATGGTACGGAGAGGTTATGTTGTCATTATCACATGTAACTGACGAAAGTGGTCTCCAAGTTATTTTCTACACTTATAAAACGTAAATTCTGTCGTGAATTGCGCCGTAAAATGCTTTTATATATTTAAATATTGTTTATATGCACATATTTTCTTTATCCACTAACATCACAACATTCACCAGAGAAAAACAATAACTGTTTCGAAATATATATAAATAAGACTTGCGAGAATAAGGATCCACGAGTATTTTTATATTTTTTAATGTTTAATAAAACATACTTTTCGCTTTTTGGAAATGTTGGTCACCGCCATGATTGCAAAAGGAGCTGAGAAATTCTAAAAGGCCGGATATGGCAATGTCAAACGTCAATGTCACTTAGGGTGTGTTCAGAACTAACGTAATATAACATACAGTTTGAAATAAAGATTTCGAAAACTTTTCAATAAAAAAATTATATAATTTTAAGTACTATTCTAAATTATATAATGTAATTTAATTTGGTATATTTCTAAATTAATATAATTTTGCATAACAAAATTGTTTTGATTTGAAATTGGCAGTTTGTTGTATCAAAATTCAGAACGTGTGGTAATGTCGGTGTTCATAAATATTAAATCTTTTGGGTACGTTCTAACTTCTTTAGGTCTACGTTTTAAATGAGTTCTGACTTTTAAAGAATGGTGGAATATTGCTGAAATTAAACTGCATATCAGCACGGTGTGAGTGACTGGCATAGTCTTTCTGATCTGTGGGTGGCAAATCAGTTGTTGACTTTAAAACACAGCTAACAATTTACATTGGTAACATGTAAATTGCGTGTTAGTATTACTTTATTTCTCAATTTAAACAAGAATATACAAGTATATGCTCCTAAATGTGGTTTGTTTCGGTTTCGTCATAGTTTCAATATATTTACTACTACTTTTAAAATACCAAAACTCAACATGATCGTTGTAGATAAAAAAAACAACTTTTTATTCAATGCAATTAATTTATTACTCAAGATCTTCTCGTTACATACAAACGCACCATATACTTAGCATAACAATAATTTATTACTATGGACATATTGCCCTGTATAATTCTGAAAGTAGTGTTTGCAAAAAAACTAGTACTGCTTATTCGCAACGATAAACTGAACGATAATTGATGTGTTACTTATTTAATCAAAAAGCGTGTGCCTCAGGTATTATTTATACTAATAAAGGATGTGACACATTTAACTACTAAACTTCGACAACACTAATAAATAACATATGTAGCAGGTACCTATTGTTAAATGACGCAATTAAAAAAAAACAAATGTATGATATACCGAATCGGTACTCAATAAACGTTATTATCCCACTTTACGATAACAAAAATAACATTAAATGACAACAAGTTGTTAAAAATATAAATAAATAACAATTCTACAACCGAAAATGTGAGTAGTTATAAATTGACAGTAAGACACGATATCGCGTTGCATTATTCACATCTAGATCTACATGTCGTGCTAAATAATCGACCACGAATCGGCGATCGATCGGATCTAGTTGTAAATAAAAAATTACCTAATCTATTAACAAAGGGACACGGCGTTGTTTTTGGCAGTATGTTGTTATACTTTTAGTTCGTATCTAGCAACACGCCGAGTAAGGATAGTTACAAATGAATTATCTAATAAAAACAGTTAAGTACAAATATTAAAGTTATTTAAAGGCAGCATTGCGCCTTTAATTACATAAAAAAAATTCTACTAGCTCTAAAGCTAATGGAGCTACGTCTCAACTAGTACTAAATGTATAATTTTATTATTATCAATAATAATGGATACGTTCAACAATGTTTTTTATGTTCTAAAGATAAACTATAGGCGTTGAGTTTACTCTGCAGTGCGAAGGCAGTGTACACAGACTGGTAAAGTGTATGCCTAAGCTGATACGCCTAAGACGTGCTAAGCGTGAAGCTATATGCTTGTAACCAGGCTCTTATTTTGTAATACACAATCATTTCGCACCTGAAAGATATTCAGACTGACAATTCTGCGATTATGTATATATTTGACAGTTGCAATTTCAAAGTACTTACGAGTTACGGGTACGGTTTGCAACGTCATCTGTTTAATGGATTATAAATAATCGCTAAAGTTAATTTGTTTCAAGTGTAAATTGATTGTAACTACTTTAAATAAGTCTCAGAGATTATACATTTTATTAAGATTAATAATATATATAATCTCTCGTTAAGTATAGTTAAATATTAGCGTTATAACGCGTGCGGTGACTCTTAATATCGAATACAAAATAACTGTATTACCTACGTTACTGTTCACGGATTATGGCGCAAAGTTAATTACTACATATTTAATTTACAAGGAATTGTCAAATTATAAACTTACAATTTATTATTAATGCTTAAAAATTGAATTTAACTTATAATTAAATGGACATAGATTAGTTACACAAGGTGTAGGTACTTATTATAATAAATAAATAAAAAACGTTTATTTTAATTAGACTAGTTAAACATTTACAACCTAATATTACTATGTTATCTTAATATTAATGGACAGATTGCGTGTAGCGTGTTTGGTTAGTGTAATATGCGTGGCGCGTGTTGGTTTTTTTATACCTACCTATCTATGTAGTTGATTAGTCCGTTTTCTAAGAAATAGTTTAAAAAAGTTTAATTAATTCAATTCAAATCACATTTGTCAACCGTCAAATAATTTGAAAATCTTTTTGTACCACGTGACTTGCGCGGTTACAATTTTTTGTGCAGTGTTTGATGCGCAGGTCACGTGGTCTAAAATAGTTTTCACACGCTTTGCCGGTGTATAAAAACTATTTTCTTAGGAAAACGTTAAACTTATTTCGCTACTTGGATAGGTGGGTAGGTAGGTGCTATATGATTATGAATATATGTGAGGTGCTATAGAACCGTGCCAGAGGGAAACAGATTTCTTTAGTATAAATAAATACAATATTAAACGATTGTTTGAAGGTACTTTCATGTTCTATTCGTACAGTCACTCAGCTCTTTATATACAATTTTATTACATAATTTGCAACACTTTAAAAAGGAAATAAATATGGTTAATGTTATATTATAGGTATTTTGAATATATTTCACTTTACGTAAAGAAACTATAAATATGTAATTTATAGTAATCATTGCTGCTGACGGTACCAGATTTTATACGTAATAGCTGTGATAAAAAAGTAATTTTAACAATCATTTAATATTAATAAATATGTTTTTAAATAAGCACAGATTAGTTCTTGATGACTTTTGACGGATTACGATAGAGTTATGCAAAAATATTTATTACCTATCTATGATTCTGCAGTAGAATGGGACAGAAAGATTCGCTAACGAATAGTTAATTCTTTACTAAAATAACGAAGAACTCGTATTTAATAAGCGATTAGACTATATCTATACAGTAGGACATAATCTACAGATAGATTAAATTACAGGGATCTAAGATAGACGCTACAGTGGGACGTGAGAATAAGGGTTCAAGACCGTACGGTCCTCTATATAAAATTCCTTTAGTCACGAGACAAATAAATAGTATTTACCTAAATATGACGCAAAAGTATACAAATTGTTTTAAGGTTAGGTACAGTTTTTGGGCGCCATTTTTATTTTTGTACATATTGTGGCGCCATTTTCAAATACTTTTTTTTGACTCATGGCTAAATGAACAATGTATAGTCACTACTAGAGTAGAATTACCACAGATATAAATACTTATAGATGTCGCAAGTGTATGAATTTCAATTTGCATGAATACTTAGTGTGTCTTTACTAAAATATGGGACTTGATGTTAATTTAAATTATTGTTATGAAACTTTAAGCAATACTGTATTCTGTGACTCTATACCCTACTCTACTAAGCCTTACCTATCTTTTTACTCTTTATATTGCTCCTAATAAAGGTTATAAAGGAATTCCAAATCTCATAAGATTTGTTAGGTGGTGTATAGCTCATTTTTGAGATAAGTATCGGCACGCAAAGCACAATTGCGAAATCTATACATAACTATATCTGTGTGAGTTATTAACAAAATATTTTCAATAGATTTAACTAGAAATAAATTTCTAAGTTAACATTAAGCCTAGAAGTATGTGTATAGTGTAGATACATTAAGCTTTTTATGAATGTAGTTATATTGTATTATAGGGTACATATGCTTTCACTGACTTGCCTCTCAATATCCTGATATTTAACATTTGGCACAGATATAGGAAATAGTCGAGAAGGTATATATAACTATGTCTATTTGTGCATTTTAAGCCTAAATCACAGAACGGAAGGAGCGGTGCCAGAGTACTATAGTAATGCAAAAATACAGATAATTAACTTGATTTTACAATAAATACAACATTACCACGATGTCTTTGTATAAGTCTATTCGCGACGTGATTTCTGCGAATATTATTGTTATGCGACTCAGCTGCCATTTTGATATAGCGACATACAATTTAGAATGTTAAATAAAAAAATATATATTGTGAATAATATTGTAGGATGTTATTCGAGAACTTCCATTCTATTTTGAAATAATTGAATTTGATCAGAACTTTTTAAACAATGAAAGGCATTCGAGCATCGGACTGATGGCAAACAGTTATCGATGGTTACGGTTTTGAGGTCGAAGGTTCTATGTTGCTATACCCATTGGACTAGACCGTAATTATTTTTGTAAAGACACTTTAAAGTCGCTAATTTCATTTGACTTTGTAGTTGAACGACTACAAAGTGTCTGCGCTTGCGCTATAAACAATGTACATGTAACTAACGTTTTTATAATTCCTGTTCAGAAGAACAAAAATTTGTAGTGTGAAAAAAAAAATTACGTATGAATCACTTTCGTGAACTTGTTTGTTTAATGTTACTAATTATGGATATTTATCACATTTTTATTATTATAATGTTAATTGGGCGGATACGTAGACTTTTAATTTATTATTACCTTGTTATAAATCATGAACTGAAATGTTGTTATATGAAAAAATACTTCCTAGTATTCCTCTTATTTCAGCTATGGGAGCTGTAGAGGGCCAGTGCAGGCTATATATCTTCAGAAAATAAGCAATTATTAGCTTGCCTTTCGAGTAATAACCTTAATTTGACATAATGTGGTACAACGAATATAAAAATGGATTGGTATTTTTATATTCTAGACGAATTCAGATAAAATATATAAATATTATAACAGTATTTTAGTTGATTCAGTAGTATATAGGGATATTTTAAAATCTTTTGGTGATGTCATTTAATGTCTCAAAAAATAGAATAATTTCAAACAGAATAATACAAATAAAAATATAATAAAAAGAATATCAGAGTATAATAGAACATGCTATAGGTAAATAAGTATTATATAGTACATAAGCATTTAAAATAAGAATAATAAAGAAATAAAAACAAAAAATAATATCAATAAAACCATTTAATAAAAACCAAAAACTTAAGTACGTAATAACAATGTCGATTTTCAGGTAAGTACAAGAGCCCATCACCACAGATTACTTGGAATGCTGCCATTTCCACATAATACTTTACGTTTGTTAAATGTCATACCACCTTTAGAAGAAAAAAAACATATTGTCATAGACAATATTTCTCATAAGGAGGTATTTTTATTTTGTAAATATATTTTAATTATTAATATTAATTTATAGTTATTAAATAATAATAAATGGTGGTAGCATTTATATGTAATTAGGTAAATAAATAAAATATTGCAATGCACGTCAAATATTATTAGGTAAGTACATCGAATCTCAGATAAAACGTTGAAAATCACAACAATGGACGTCAATTTATGAGATCTTATTATGAATACTTTCGAATTAAGTTTATAGAGAATTATAATATACCTTATGGCACTCTATAAATAATACAGGACAAATCATTATTATAATACAGTTACATAATATATAAAGAATTCATTAAAATTATAACCTCATAAGAGTTTAAATACTTCAATTGGAATGTAAATAGATTTATAATAATTTGCACTTAAAATTAGCAGTTTGCCGCCAAAATATAGGTACTTAAGTACATCGATAATTAAATATTGTACTCATGAAATAAAATGGCTTTATTAGTACAATTGTATTTTTGGAATGTTTAAGTACATTTATTATATTGAGATCGTTAATCTCCAGGAATAAGATTAATTGTTTTAATGCTATTTTATTTCAATGAGACGACTTGTAAATTGGTATTTTTAAATACATTATTAAAATAATTAATCGGATTGTTACACGAATAATTGTATGGTAAATAAGATATTTGTTTACCTTTCTCGACGTTTGTAACGAACTTATCGTGACACACAGTGCAACGCAGTCGAAACGCGAGTGGTAAATACCTTATTTACCTTACAATTATTCATGTTATAACCCGATATTAATAATGACATGTAAATTGCTTTTAGTCGCAATGTTCACAGACATATAATATATATAGTAGGTACACTATTCATATGAATTGTGTCCAGTATTTTATACATAACCCTTATACTTCAATATAATCACGCATTTCACAATTTGATCACTGAGGTGACCACTTTTTGATTATATTACAGGACATTGTAATTATCGCGATTGAAACCAAATTTTGTTCTACCATTTGGACAGAGTGTGGTAGGTAGCTGCCTACTGTTACAATATAAAGTAACTACATCTAATAACCGCGACGGTGGCACCAATAGGTCAACTAGATTTATACTATACCAATGTGTAATTGAATGATTTCAGTTACTAGATATATCAATACAGAACGACTATACAATATTATTTTTTCGATGAATTTAGATAAAATTCGGGAATTATAGGAAAACAGAATATACTCTATTTGATGAATATAGAATACAAAATTTGACCACTTAGAGGAACTATGGGAAAACAAAACTTAAATATATAAGTACGAGAGTAGAAAATCCCGAAATAAAATGTTAGCTGCACACAATAATAATATGATAAATACAATTAAGATGGTAATGTTTAGAGTGTGATTATAATAGTATATTAAGATATAAGTGCGTTATAACGGTTATAACACACAAGGCGAACTTTCAGCCCGAGGCGTAGAGCGTAATAGAGCTGAGTGTGTTAAATACGCACGTATATCGCACGACATTTTTTCAACACAAACAAAAAATGTTGTTTTGTAAGCGTGTTACGTTTAAGAGAAACAAATAAATTTGATCCTAAAATACTACAAAATAAAGTTGATATTGCATCGTCTCTACTCCTGGTTCCGTATTGATATATGTAGGGCTGTACTAATATATAAAACTAGTGTGTGGCGCCTCAGTACCGCTGCTGGTACTCGTGGTGCCACCGATTGAAGTCTATATGGAACACAACCAGGGAGCCGTTCTCGAGGCCGGCCAACAGGAACCTGCAAAGTAATGAACAAACATGTTATATTATGTACCAGAGCAACATAAGATTGTGAAGTGTGTTTAAAAAATAGTAGGGTGTAGGGTCTTGAGTGTATGGTTTATGATGTGGTGTAGTGAAGTGGAATCGGGATATTTGTGTAAGTGTCATTACACTATTCTGAGCTGACAGGGTAGGGAATGTAAGTGAGTGGACGGTAGTGATTTTGGGGTGGGGCCTTACTTCTGGACGTACGTGAGCTTTACTTTTACTCGCAGCCGGGAGTGAGTATGGTGTAGTGTGAGGGGTCGTGTGTGTGGACAGGAGTGAGTGTAGTGTAGGGTGAGAAAGGGCTTTTTATTCTGGTCGTAGGAGAGAGCGGACGGGAGTGTAAGGCAGGGTGGGGTCGCATATCTTGTTGTACAAGCAGATGGGAGTGTGTGGATGTGTAGTGTAGTGTGGGATGGGTTCTGTAGTGTGAGCGGAGCGGATAGGAGTGTAAGGAAGGTTGGGCCCTAATTTTTGATCGTGCGAGCAGACGGAAGTGAATGTAGTGTAGCATGGGGTGGGCTCTTACATCCGGTCGTGCGAGCGGACGGGAGGGAATGTAGTGTAGCATGGGGTGGGCTCTTACATCCGGTCGTGCGAGCGGACGGGAGGGAATGTAGTGTAGCATGGGGTGGGCTCTTACATCCGGTCGTGCGAGCGGACGGGAGGGAATGTAGTGTAGCATGGGGTGGGCTCTTACATCCGGTCGTGCGAGCGGACGGGAGGGAATGTAGTGTAGCATGGGGTGGGCTCTTACATCCAGTCGTGCGAGCGGACGGGAGGGAACGTAGTGTAGCATGGGGTGGGGCCGCACTTTGGTCGTGGGCTCGGGTGGGAGGTAGTGTAACGTAACGTGGGGTGGGGTCGCACTTCAGATCGTGCGAGCGGACGGGAGGTACTGTAGTGTGGAATGGGGTGGAGCCGCACTTCCGGCGCGAGCGGACACGTGTAGTGTGGCGTGGAGTACTCACTTCTGGTCGTGCGAGAGCGCGAGCGAGCGGACGGGCGCGCCGGCCGGCGGGAAGGCGTAGAGCGGCGCCAGCGTGAAGGCGCGCCACACCTCGACGACGCCCGCGTCGCCGCCGCACAGCAGGTACTCGCCGCAGCGGGACAGCGCCAGGCAGTGCACGCGGTCGGAGTGCGTCTCGTGGCGCAGGCGGCGGCCGTTGAGCGTGTAGGCGGCGAGGTGTCCGCGGCAGTACGCCGCCACCAGCACGCCCTCGCGGGACAGCGCCAGCTGCCGCGGGCCCGCCGCGCCCTCCGCCGCCGGCAGCGCGCGCACCAGCTCGCCGAACGTCGTGTGCACCAGCACCGGGCCGTCTGCGCGGATCCAAAAATATCGATACCGATGTGAACTGTGCGCTCTTTATTGTTATAATTACATGGAACGTAATTATACGAAGTCGATATGGAAATACATCAGAAGTGTCTGTGACTTTATCGATCACACGAAAATATTAAAAAATATTTATTTAAAAGAACAAAACGTGAGTCTCGTTCGTTCTTGTGATGAGTCTGCGTTTCGAATGAGTGGTAGAATAAAAAAATATGACTATTTAAAAGTTTTTATATTAAATTCATATGAATAAAGAAAGTATACTGACTGATAGAGCTGGAGACGACGAGGCCGAGCTCTGCGGAGACGAGCACGGCGTTGAGCGGCGCGTCGTGTCCCGTCAGAGACACGCGCGGCGCCGGCGCCGAGCCCTCGCCCACGATGCCGCCGTGACGAGCGGACCTGAGGACGAACACGTTGTCACGTCATCCGGTCACATCTGGCGACGTGCGCGTCGTCACGTCGTCACGCCGACACGGCACGTGACCGTGGCGACGTGCACGCGTACCGATCGGATCACTTTTTTGTCGTACGGATAAAAATAAGGTAGGTATATACTTTGCGTATATGTCATATCATTGTTATTATCAAACTAACATTTTTTATTTAACATTTATTTATTTTAGACATTTAACTAGTTAATTCTAAATTATGCTATGTACGACAAATAGAGACTAAAATGTCCTACTTGAGTAAATTATTTTTTATTTGATTTGTATGACCAGATATTGTTTCTGGGGTTTGGGCTATTGCCAAGTAGACATATAGCACTGCGACCTGGAGAAATTGCACAACCGAGTCAACGCCCTCGTTGGTTTTGCAGTTTAGTACACAGTTTTACTTCCGATGGTCGCGGGTTCGATTCCTCGCACGATGTAAATACATATGTAGTCATGAGTATGATTGTTGGTATTAGTCTGGGTGTTTTCTACTTTTAGTAGTTTCTCTTTTGTTGTATTTACTTTCTCATTATACATGTATGTATATTTATAGATTTTTATACAGTACTTATGTCTGGTACCTATAATACAAGCTCTGCTTAGTTTGGTACTAATTTAGATGGCGCTGTGTGAATTGTCCAGGCTGCAGTAGCGTGCTAGAGCTAGTGAATACGTTACCAGTGCCACAGAAGTACGGTGCAGTCCTCGGAGCCCGAGGCGATGTAGCAGTCCGACGTGATGTTGCACTCGGAGCGAGACACGCACGTCACCACGCCGTAGTGGCCGAATATTATTTGTACTATCTTGGCTGTGCACGAAACAAACATGATTATTACATAACATTTATGATCTCCTGGTACTTCAAATTAATAATTAGTCGACGAATGCCATGGGGAGTCACAAAGTTACCATGAAATCTAGGTCCTCTACCTATTTAGTCTTAGTGTACTATCTTGGCTGTTCACGAAACAAACATGATTATACATAACGTTTATGATCTCCTGGTACTTCGAATTAATAATCAGTCGACGAATAACATGGGGAGTCACAAAGTTACCATGAAATCTAGGTCCTCTACCTATTTAGTCTTAGTGTACTATCTTGGCTGTTCACGAAACAAACATGATTATACATAACGTTTATGATCTCCTGGTACTTCGAATTAATAATCAGTCGACGAATAACATGGGGAGTCACAAAGTTACCATGAAATCTAGGTCCTCTACCTATTTAGTCTTAGTGTACTATCTTGGCTTTCACGAAACAAACACGATTATACATAACGTTTATGATCTCCTGGTACCACTCTAATCGACAATCTGTTGACGAATAAAACATGGGGTGGGGGTCATAAATTACGTGTAACAAACCATGAAATCTAGGTTCCCCACCTCTTAGTCTTAGTGCACTAGTGGCATGAAACAAGCATGATTATACATAACGTTTATGATCACCTGGTACCCCTTATCGATAATCAGTTGACGAATAACATGGGGGGTCACAAAGTTTGTGTAACAAACACCTCTTAGTCTTCACGAAAAAACACGATTACACATAACGTTTATGATCTCCTTGCCACAGATATTACACAGGTATATCTATTATATAATTCGGATTGGAGATTTTAATTTGGATACTCTTAACGTAGCTAATGTAGAAAAAATAGAAAAGTATAGTTACCAGTTTCGGTGGAGAAGACCCTGAAGCTGTTGTCCCAGAACCCGGCGGCGATGAGGAACCTGGAGTCGACGGTGGTGACGAAGCAGTTGGTACGCGCGCGCACGCGCTGTGAGAAATTGTCGCCCAGCTGACGCCGCGCCAGCGCCATCGCGCCGCCCGCCGCTGCACGCACCATACACACACACACCGTTACGTACTCGCTTTTTAGTGTCCCCCTCCGATCGATTCCTCGGCCCCCTCCGACCGATTCCCCGTCCCGTTCGATCGATCCTTCGCCCCCTTCCGATCGATCCCCCGTCCCCTTCCGATCGATCCCCCGTCCCCTTCCGATCGATCCCCCGCCCCCTTCCGATCAATTCCCCATCCCCATTCCAATCGATTCCCCGTCCAATTCAAAATTATGACGGTCGGAACCAAGGTTACCGAGCGGAGTTCTCGCACTAACTTGTATCCGTCTAGCAGAAGTTGGCCTTCAGCCGATTCATAAGTCCTTTCGTTGTTTTGGGGTGCCATCTGCACACGATTTTTATCGTTCGGTGAAGCTGTAAAGGCCAGTTGCAGTCTCTGCTTAACCCTAGTTTCATCTATTTCAAGGAAGCTTCTTTGCTAAGTCTTGCTTTAGTTTGGTAAAATATAAAAATAAAATGTGCTAGCGTTGAAAGTAATGATTAGACAATGGAATTCCACAATAAAAGGCACGACATCATAGAGCCTGGAATGGCAAAGTATGAGCTGTATCATAGATGTCACGAGATAACATGATACCCTATGTAAGTAAGTGCAGTACATGTAAATAGGCGACTGTCAGATGGGCCGTCAGGTTGTCCTTCCATGCTCTAATTACACGGTGTAGTGACCAATGGTAGTAGACTCACCCCAGACGGGGTCCATGAGGAGCGGGTGCGCGGGCGGCGCGTGCGCGAGGTGCGGGAGGTGTCCGTGGTGGGGGTCGGCGGCGCGGCCCGCGTGCACGCACCCGCCGCCCACCCAGCGGTGCGCCGCGAACGCGCGCGCCGCGCTCACCTGCGACACCACACCATACACCACTAAGTTACTAGGACCCAGGATTGGGATTGTTAGTAATGTGGACTAACGATCTCATTGCTAGCAATGTACCATGACAGATTGACTTCCACGCTGTTTTCCCTGAAAACCATCGTGATAAATTCCTGGTGAATTTGTCATAATGGGCTAACTGACCTGACCTCATGCTCATCTTATCATCCTCCACTGGTGCCCCGCCAGCGTAAACCGATAGCGCAGGCGGGTGCACCATTCCATTATTATGCGTAAAATACTCATTAGAAACCATTGCAGTTAATTCCTAGCGTTTTTACTATGATAGGCTACCAAATCAAATCATAAACCAATTCTATTCCTCGTAGTTCTTTTGATAAGACAGCTTTCCAAAACAAAAAGTAGATAAAAAAATAAGCATAAAATTTTAATATTCTAAAGTACAAAAATTTTTGTTTATTTAAATAAAGATTTTCTTTTCTATATTTCTTTCTTTTCTATTCATGTAGGATATTTTAGACCCTTCTAATCGATCTCCCGTCCAATTCAAACGAAATTACGACGGCCTGAGCCGAAGTTCGAACTCCTAGCGGTGCTTTTAGACTAAAGACGTTTGCGTCAGGCGGGAGTGGGCCTTAGCCACTCCATAAGTCCTTCTGATGGCTCAAATCTAGTCTCTGCTAAAAGTAATGCAGTGCTGCTAAATCATTCAGTATTCAATAAAAGCAGCATGACTCACCGTGACTGCAGCGGGCATGGCTAGCTGCGGATAAGTGTTTGCGGAGACGTGTACAACCGCCGCGTTTGAAGGCAGCTTGAGTCTGAGGCAGACGTCATCAGGCGCGGCCGCGAACATGAGCGGCGCCAGGTGCATAGTGGAGGCTCGCGGCGGGTGCGGCTCGCTCAGCAGCTGCGCCGGCGTCTGACCGAAGCTGCGGATCTGGTCTTCCACCGCCGCCCGAGTAACCGGCTCCGTGATCTGGTCCAATCGGACTCCGCCCTCGTATGTTAGGTAGTAGAACACGTTTGTTGCTCTCACCGCTTCGGGCCCTGGTGACAATGGTAATGGTAAGTTGAACAGTTGAGAAAGCTATCAGAAAGAGATTTTGTGTGACTCTTCTGCATTTATAAAATATTCATTCATTTAGTCATCTTTAATTATTCTGTATTCATTATATATTCAATCTTTCATACATTCAATCATCATTCATTTATTCATTAATACTCGTATTTTTGGCATAAAGTAACTTTTCGAGTTGTGTTGGTTGGATGGGTGAAATAAGACATAAAGAAATAACATTTTTAACCAAATTACGGGTTCAAATAAAATTTGTGAGTATTGTTTTTTTATTAATTTCATTTTATTTATTCTTAACAATTTACATTTTATGTAATTATATTTTAATATATTGAATTACATTGCATAAATTATAATTAACTAATAAATTGTTAAAATTATTTCAAAATATATATTTTTTTAAAATAGAAAGATTCAATTTATTACTAAGTATATTAATTAATTTATAAATGTCCATTACACCCATTTCATAAATTCATTAAATATATAATAGCACATCTTCAATAAAAATCCTTTAATTTCAATTTAAATCCATTTTTATATAATAAACTTTTGAGGTCTCGTATTTGTAATACCAAGTATTATAATCATCATTATTGCTATTAAAAGTGCATGAAAAATATAGAAAAAAAGTCTTACTTTCTTTAAATATTCCATTTAATAGTAAATTAAAAGTAAATTAAATCGATCAAATCTTTCTTCTATTGGTAATTCAATAAAACGTAATTTCAGTCCCAGCAAAACAATACTTAATAATGTCTGATTACTTGCCTCTTTGTTTATATCCAAATATGAGATCGATCCACTGATGCAGCTGACAGCTCACGAACTCCGATTCGAGTGCCATCCTGTTGATCCTCACGAACTCCTCAGCGGATGAGGCCCAGGGAGGAAGGATGACGTCTCCGGACGGCGATTCGGGGATACCGAGCCGGTAGCCCGAGCTGTTCACCAGCATCTCCGGCAGGAAGAATAACTCCGGGATCAATTCCTGGGGAATAATGTGTTTTTTTGTAAACGTAGGATTCCGAACTTTATATAAATAGGTTTAGGGTTTATTTGTATAGCAATACATATATATACGTATAATTATAACTTTAATTTTTTATATAGTTATATATAACATACAAATATTATAATTATACATTGTACTCCGCACTAGTCTAAATATATATATATTTATTTATAGGATACAAGACACGAAAGAATTGCCAGATGTCAATACCTATTACAGATCATGGCTAATCTGTAATAGGTATTGTAGAGTGGATTTGACATATCAGACGAATGAAGATTTAGTTTGATTTCATAAAAAACATTCCAGATCAATCGTATATTACATAAAATAAAAACTATAATGAAATATTGGATAAAAATCATAAATCATATTTGAAGTGGGAATTCGAGCGAACTCCTTTATCAATTTTATTTCTTTACTAAATTTTGTCATAATATTTTTTGGACATATTATTTATTGTAACATTCTATTCTAGTCGTATTTTCAATTATCTCAGTATTTTTCCTCAGAAAAACCTTAACACCTCTCACTCATCAGGTACATCAAATACCTTCAGGAATCATCATGGCAGAAATGAAAGTTGACATACCTATCTGTATATTATTTAAGTTACGCATCAATTGACGACCTCGGTGGTCTAGCGGTCTATCACACCGCTTTACGTCCGATGGTCGCGGGTTCGATTCCTCGCACGGCACAAACAATTGTATTCATGAGTATGATTGTTTGTATCGGTCTGGGTGTTTTCTATGTATATTATGTATGTATTTACGAAAAAAAAAATATCTATGTATTTGTATCAGTTATCTAGTACCCGTAACACAAGCTTTATATAGCTTAACTCGGGTCTAGATGGCGCTGTGTGAATTGTCCTGAGATTATTATTATTAGATTATTATTATTATAATAGCTTCTTAAATTGGTAATTTTTATAGCTTTCAAATAAATATATTTGATAAAGGTGGAACGATTGAGTTGTCTTAATACACTCTGAAAACAATTCAGTTATTTAATACTAGCGACACGTCCCGGCTTCCTGCGGATGCGGGCTTTATTCATACAGTCCAGATGCGGTCCGTGGGCCGTATCTTACAATGACTGCTCTACATTACCAAAAAAATTTAATATACCAAAGTTAGTACATCATTTGTACTAACTACTTTGTTTGTTTTGTTGTATCTGACTAATCGGAAATGTATTTTTTATACTAAATTTGTATTTAAATTTCTAGTTCTTTTATAGTATATTCTTGTATATACTTCAATCTGTCTTCTGTCTCGTTTCCTAATATACATTTCCATATTCCAAGTCTTTCTCTATATTTTTCCTTTCACCTATACCACAGATAACATAATATTATATACCTATACACAAATAAAATAAAACTATATCATAATTAACACTGATTAATTCCATTATACTACATTACATAGTATAAAACAAAGTCGCTGTCGCTGTCTGTCCGTCCCTATGTATGCTTAAATCTTTAAAACTACGCAACGGATTTTGAAACGGTTTTTTTAGTAGATAGAGTGATTCAAGAGGAAGGTTTATATATATAATACATGTACACCCGTGCGAAGCCGGGGCGAGTAGCTAGTTATATATTAAGTTGGTAGGTAGTATCTGAGATGATTAATAAAACACCCATAAAAATTGGCCCACAATTGCATCAACGAGAGATGTGCAGAAAAAGTACAATTGCATTGGTTAATAATGAACATGCATATATAATAATAAAAACCTAGAGGTTTCTCAAGAGATCATTAACCTGTAGCCGGCGGGCATTGTGTCGCGAGGCGCGGATTTTGCCTGTAAAGTTGGTCAACATTCGCGCTCCGATGGCCGCGATGATTTTCAACGAAACGCAATAATGTCGCTTGGCACGATAGCTAAACTATATACGGTTGTGAAAACGGAAACGTAAGGCTTCGATATCTTATTTAAAAAATTAGCCACCCACCCCGGTTTCGCCCGGGTGTACATGTATTACACATAAACCTTCCTCTTGAATCACATTATCTATTAAAAAAAAATCCGATGCGTAGTTTCAAAGATTTAAGCATACATACGAACGGACAGACAGCGATAGCGACTTTTTAGCGACGTTCTATAGTATGTAATGAAGTTGGTAGGTACATCTGTTGCTATTGAGGTATTTAAGAACGAAAATAAATAAGAAAATTTCTTGTTGTATATCTATAGTTATTAAGTAAATCAACTAAGTAATTTGCATGAAACACGCTAATTCATTTTAAAGATTTCCTAAGAATGGATTTAGAGCGTCTAACTTCAGAATTAACTACTTGAGAATTATAATGAATAAATAAATAAATATATTATACAAGTATAAACTTGAGAACTATAACGCGACTACACGATTGGTACACCTAAGTCTCGTGGCTTATATATTTAAAATTGCAAAATAAAATCGCTGTAAGTTTATAACTTATTTCTATAACAATCTATCATAACACGAAATCAGGCCCAAGTTACACAGAGCGAATCGGCCCAGATGTGATGTGATCAGTTTATTTGCGAAAACATAATTTGCAGTGTCTAGACCTTGGGCAGAGATGACGACAAGGGACTGTAGGAAACGTTGTCGCTGATCTTATTTATTTGTAATTTAAAGCCATATTCCATTGATAGAGGGTTGAAAATGATATAATAAAAAAAAATTGAGAAAGTGAATAATAGGACTCTATTCTAGTAATAAAGGGTTGAAAGTAATATTAACAAAATATTTAGAGATATTGAGTGAATAATGGGACGGTATAGTACTGACAATAATAAAAAGAAGGAATGAAAAGAGCGTGCTTTTAACAATTTGCATATTTAAAGATTAATTTAGGAGGGATGAGGATTACTAACAGTAATAACCCCATTGCTAGCAATGTACCATAAGAGTTGACCTCTATGCTGTTCCCCCTGGAAACCATCGTAATGAATTCCTGGTGAATTTACCACGATGGGCTAACTTACCTCACTTTATGATCATTTTATTTAGGGCAACAGTGCTGAATAATAAAATAATCATGAAGTCAGGTTAGGCCATCTTAGTAAGCGACAATTTACCACGACGATTTCCAGTGGGAAACCTGTGGAGGTCAACATGACAAGGTACATTGATAGTAATTGGGTTATTAGTCCACATCACTAACAATCATCTTTACCCCAATATCATCAATACACTCGAAGTAAGACGGAAGATTGCATTAATGGAATATGTAGTCAAAGTCATGAGAGGTGAAAAATGTAACCAAGCGGTATTAACATCGGTGTCCATAAGAGCGCCCAATAATTACGTACAAGCAAGAAGACGAAACTTGTTTGATGTTCCATGGAGAAGAACGGAGCTGGCCAAACAGGCTCCTATTTCTCTGGCATTGAGTCTACTCAACGGTGTTGTTAGTCGTTTTCCAGATCTGACATATTTACTAGTAATTTGTTGGAGTTTCGTAGGATGGCAGTAGATTATTTAAGTAGTATGGAAAAGTAAGATTATTATTATTGTTATTATTTTTATTTTATTTTTTTTTTCTTGTGTAATTAGTGTATGTATTATTAGTAACTAATGTTTTATAAGTGTGTGTATATATATACAATCATCATATTTAAAGCTCATTATCATCAATATTAGATAAAACATCAAGGAAGGAAGTTAGAGAGAGAACTACAAACACATTTGTTTTAGAAAGATTAATTTTAACCGAAATAATCAGGTGTTAGTTCCTGATTAACTCTGCTGAAAATAATTACGATTAAGTTGCACTTTGCCGTGCTTACCTTGACATCAGAAGTGTCTCTTTGGCAATTCTTCCACGATAGTGCGATGGATGAGAACAGCCTGTTTGGGTGATCGAACTTGCCTCCTTGCAGCGCCAGGAACATTGTCGTCATCGGTTCCTGGAGAGTATCAGTATAAAATATATTAGAAATAATCATATATATTATCATTATATAGTACCCGGCATACATATTGCCATATAAATTATTATCGCTATTAAAAAATAGGGGTTTATATAGAGGAGATGATATCCATATTATATGTTCGGCTTACGTACTTCACACTCGTGCAGCGGCAGCATTATTTTCATACTGTATCGATTCACTCATTATCAAAATTAGTTCACGTTTGGTCACTAAACATACCGTGTGTGCTCATTTACCATTATTACATTACTGATTTTTCCATTCATTACCATAAACGAATAAACTTTATATTTTAGTGTGTAACCATTTGACTCTTTAATTATTAACATATTAAATTAAATGTACAGTGTAACAAAGTCGTACGTCTAAATGGTCCTTCGAGCCGGATATTCTTACATCCATTTTTTCGATCTTCCTCGGCCATCAACTCTCATATATAACATATTTATACATATAAATAAAAATTGGAATGTCTGTTTGTAATATTGAAATATCCGTTTTTTATTACATGCATATGAATGTAAATACGGTACATACACCAAAATAACTTTTGTCTGTCTGTCTGTTTGTTCCGGCTAATCTCTGAAATAGCTGGACCGATTTTGACAGCACTTTTTTTGGCTAGTAGCTGATGTAATAAGGAGTAACTTAGGCTACTTTTATTTTAGAAAGATAAAGTTAAATTCCACGCGGACAAAGTCGCGGGGGTCAGCTAGTACATAAAAATACATTTAACAATTGACACAGATATAACATTATAAAGCTTAATATTATACTTATTTATAATCTGTATGAAACACAGAGCATCATTAAAGTTGTATACTTTTTTCCTTCGCCGTAGCCTGTCACATTAAATCGAGAACGTTTGAATGCGCAAGCGCACGTGCGCGCACTACTCCACACGACATTATGCGATTGTTTTGACGTTTCGCTTTAGGAGTTTTCTCGTTAATGTAGGTACAGTCTAATTTATTATTACGCACCGGACAGTTTATGGCTGGAGTTTAGAACATCAAGTTATATATTCTGTCTCATTTCATTATTGCGTATTATGAAAGAAAAAGACACAAATAGTGGATCGGTTAATTTTCTGCTCGTAGCTTCTCTGTCCAGAAAATAAGCATGGCGATTCAGAGATTCCCTCTTTGAATAGTCATGCTTATTTTCTGGGCTAGTGTCTTGGGAATATGCCTCGATATGCTGCATTGGATCATAATTATTGTTTATATTTTTAATACGTTAATAGCCTTAACCTACGGAGCAGAATGTTGGACAACGAAAAAAGTTCACGAACAACAACAGCACACGAATGAGATGAAAATGCTGAGATGGTCTGGTGGTGTGACACGCCTGGATAAAGTCCGCAACGAGTACATTAGAGGTTCCTTCAGAGTAGCTCCTATCGTGGAGAAAGTGAGAGAAAGTCGCTTACGCTGGTATGACCATATTCAAAGACGCGAAGACGACTTATCTTCTGACTTCTAGACTACATGGTTAAAAAAATGCTCAAGATACCAAACTCGACCAGAGGTAGGGGCTACTCGCCACTTGGTGGAATAATATTAAGAAGCAGATGGACCAGGACAATCTTAATATACAGACAAGCCAGAACAGAGTTCTCTGGCGCAGATGTACAGGGAGACCCGACCTCAGATAAACTGGGAACATGGGTTGGACAAAGAAAAGATGTTTTTAATACGTTAACTTATTAAATAGAGAATCAAAATGTTCCTCAGACAGTACATATTTCTTTTCTATTTTACACTTAAGGGGGTAAAATAAAGAAGAGATTAATTTTGATTGGAAATTTGTCATTCTTGAAGCAATAACACTTAAACTTTTTACTTTTGTTTGTTGGTTTGCATTAAATACTATTTCTTTACTTGGTCAAGGTCACACGCGGACGAAGTAGCGGGCACAGCTAGTTATTTATATTACTAACCGGGTCTTAACACGAATAATTTTATTGTTAATAAAGGTATTCATGTCTCTCAACGTTTCGTATTCGTGTTAAGACCCGATTAACAATAATGTATATTAAACACGAAAGTTTAAAAATAACTAATTTTATACCTTTTTTCTTCAATATTATTTTTGTATAGTGTAATAAATGTACGATATTTTCAATCAACATTTTCTGCTTTGATAGTTATACTGTGATCAATTGATTCTTTCATCGTATGATTTGATTTGTTTTATCTGTTTGATTTTTATAGCATTGTCATAATAAAATAAATGCGATATTTTCAATCAACATTTTCTGCTTTGATGGTTATACTGTGATCAATTGACTTTTATCTGGATTTATAGCATTGTCATAATAAAAAAAAGCTATTACCGATACATAATTCCTATAATAAATGTGTTTATTATGGCATCATTTTTGTTTTAAATCAGTATAATAGTTTATGTCATATAAAGTAGAAATTAAATCATAATAATATTGGTCTAGATTTCAATCAATATAATACTAGAGGCATAAATATTACACACAATTTTAGTGACAAACAGGCATTCATGTAAATCTTCTCCTTCTTCCTCGAAGTGACAATTATGACGCAGACACTGATTGAAAAAATGAGTATCATTTGAGTGTATCCATAACAAAGTAGAAAATAAATCTTATATTTATTTACATTTAGCTATTAATATCGTTTACATTTCTAATTAACATTTTTTTAACACAATTTGAAATCATCAATATTACACACAATTTTAGTGATAACAAACAGGCATTCATGTAAATCTTCTTCTTCTTCCTCGAAGTGAGAATTATGACGTAGAAACTGATTTAAAAAATGAGTATCATTTGAGTGTATCCATAACAAAGTAGAAAATAAACCTTATATTCATTTACATTTAGATTTCAATATCGTTTACATTTCTAATTAACATTTTTTTAATACAATTTGAAATCATGAATATTATACAATTTTAGTGATAACAAACAGGTATGCATGTAAATCTTATAGAAATAGAAATAGAAATAATCTTTATTCAAATACACTTAATATAAGTACTTATGAATAGTCAAGTTTTTTTATTCTACCGCTTATTCGGAATTCAGATTCATCAAAAGAAGAATAAGAAAGAAACTGTGTTGCTCTTTTAAATAAATATTGATTTACTTATATTTAATCAATAACAAGGATTAGGCATGCGACAATCAACATAGAAATCGCTACGCACTTAATCTCTGTTCAATCAGATAACATTGTCTTCTTCCTCTTCTTCCCCGAAGTGTGAATTATGACAAAGAAACTGGGGATACGGAGGCATTATGTGAATGGTCTTACCTAACGCCTCCGTACCCCGTAGTTTCAGAGTCACGGAGTCATGAAGTGATGAACGATGACTTTTGATGACGTGATGAGATTTGATGATGTGATAATGCGGTAAAGTCTAAAATAAAAGTAGCATAAGATACTCCTTATAACATTAGCTATCTGCTAGTGAAGATCCTGTCATAGACGGTCCAGCCCTTTCAGACATCAGCACGAACAAATAGACAGACAGATTATATATTTTATATGCATTTAGTGAAAAGCTATTAAAAAAATATTTATATAGTTAACAGAACTAAAGAATCCGTTAGTACACAATACATCTTGGTTTCGCAATTCAGTTGATTTTTCTGTTTGTATACAATCATTTATAAAATTCAGAAATATTTATTTAATTTAAGAGTATTCTTTCAGATTGAATCTTTAAATAATATAATTTTTTTAGTTTAGTATTTAAATCACAAAATCTGCAAAAAATAAGTAATACCATTATGTCTTTGGTCACTAGAATAGTCCCAATGAACTGCATGCGTTCAATTTTAAATAACATAAATACTCTAGTATAATAATAAAAAATAATATGTTCAAACTTTGTTCAGATGATGAAAGATGATGGTGATGATGATAATGATACCATCATTACGTGGTATGTGGTGTCCCTATGTATGCTTAAATCTTTAAAACTACGCAACGGATTTTGAAGCGATTTATTTAATAGATAGTGATTCAAGAGGAAGCTTTATATATATATAATATATGTACACCCGTCAGAAGAATGAGTATCATTTGAGTGTATCCATAACAAAGTAGAAAATGAATCTTATATTTATTTACATTTAGCTTTCAATATCGTTTACATTTCTAATTAACATTTTTTAATACAATTTGAATTCATGAATATTATACACAATTTTAGTGATAACAAACAGATATGCTTTATGTATATATATATAATATATGTACACCCGTCAGAAGCAGGGCCAGTAGCTAGTAGTATATATAAACTAGCTGTACCCGCGACTTCGTCCGTGTGGATTTAACTTTACTTTTCTAAAATAAAAGTAGCCTAAGATACTCCTTATTACATCAGCTACCTGCCAATAAAAGTCCCGTCAAAATCGGTATAGCCATTTCAGAGATTAGCCGGAACAAACAGACAGACAGACGGACAAAAAATGTTATTTTGGTGTATTCACCGTATTTATATTCCATATGAATATATGTAGTAAAAAACGGTTATTTCACTATTACAAACAGACACTTCAGTTTTCTTTATATGTATTAACTTTTTGTTAACATTTAATTAGCTTTAATACATGTTTATAAGCAACTGACAAGTTTACTGTTATTATTTCTTCAATTTTCTGATCTCTATTTTATTTGCTTCATTACCTGAGACCGACCTTTGTATTATCTTCAATCGCATTAATATACAAAAAGATATCAAACAAAGGCGTGCCTATTTCCAATGCCATTAAGCTTCATCAGAAACGGGTCTGTTCATCAGGTAAGTGATGCAAGTGATACAGAACTTGCACGATGTTAACACGATGGTTCAGAAAATAACTAAATAACTTAGTATTAAACCAGTTGTATAAGTGTAACAATTAATGGCACACTTCCTTAATATACAATATGTGACAGATCAAGTTTTTAATTAACGTTATATATAAATATAGATATGTTTAATACATATCTGTGTATCTTGAGTACTTATGTAGGTGTCTATAAAGTGTGTGAATAGAAACTACCAATTAGCACTAATTCAATTAAATACTCGAATTGAAAAAATATTAAATATACAACCAACTGATAAAGCAACTAAATAAGAGTAGCAACTAAATCAGTGGTAGTGATAAGAGCAGACCAGTCCCTACAAGCAGCACTCGGTCACGAGTACGAAGGATGAGCCAGCCATCACTGCGCTCGACCATATTTTAGGGAGCCCAATGACCCGAACCACTATGACACAAAGCCAAATAATGCTGTTGAAGTTTCTTGGCAATGATGAATTTTCTCTAATCATAATAAAAAAATAAGGGGATATAGTAAATGTTGCTCTTGAAAATAGTGACGTTTCTCTCACATAAAGAAATGCTGTGGAGATTTAAGTAAATGATTATGTAAATCATGGTTATACACACAATTCTGACGAGCCAGTTAAGCACGAACGCAGCCGTCGAGTAGTGGGTTCCGTAGTGGAAAGGTGGAGTGGACTCATGCTCCCACGTGTTGTACCGCTCCTCGAAGTATGCTCGTCTGCTCGGATTCAGAGCACCGATTGGCTGCAAGGAAATTTTATGATCTTTATATATAGAAATTACGTGTCGCGTTGTTTGTCCGCGATGAACGCCTAAACTACTGAACCGATAATAATAATAATAATAAAACTCTTTATTGTGCATAAAAGAAACAAATAATTACAAAAAGAAATAAAAAAAGAAAGATATGCAACAAAAGGTGGTCTCATCGGTCAAAGCAATCTCTTACAGACAACCAGGGAGATAGAAGCATTGGGTATGATTAAAAGGTTTGGTGGAGTACTATAAAAAGTTCAATACTATATGAATACAATACTGATTGCAAATTTGATTTGCACATTGTGTGCAATTTGATCCAACTTGAAAGATAGGATAACTTTCATCTCAATTTATAGTCGCAATATTATTTTATTCAACAATCTTAGCCACAGCAACGCGGGGCCGGGTCTGCTAGTTGTTTATAGTACTTCCCAAATAATGGCTCCTGTTGATTGAAGATATTCATTAGAATACGTAAATTGTTACATTGCTTTGCTTATTATTATGTCAATTAAGATTTAATATATAACAATATCCCTAAACATATCACACAGCGCCATCTAGTCCCACAGTAAGCAGAGCTTGTGTTATGGGTACTAGATAACTGATATTAATACTCAGATATTTTTTTTGTATATTTATTTATACTAATTTACATAGAAAACACCCAGACCGACCAGTACCGTTTATATACGAGGAATCGAACCCACGACTATCAGACTTGAAGTGTCGTGCTAAACCGCTAGAATCTAGATCATCGAGGCCGTCATCAGATTGAGTCGTCAGTGTTAAAAACAGTAAAAACAACAGCTTCAAACTTTACTTTGGGAATGATTGATCTCTATAATATTAGAACAGATAAAAAAATATTTTTGAGGGTATTGACCACTTACCTTAGACAGGTCTCTGTAGTTGGACGGCTGACTGAGATCCAACTCTTCGCTCTCGTAGTTGGTCAGCACCCACGGGAACACCGGGTACTGGTTCAAATCGTTGTACGTCCGACCTGAACAATGTACAAATATATTAATATATATCGTTATACATTCACGAATATCATTTCAAGTAGAATAGTCAGAGAAAAGAATATATGATGAATATTTTTTATTGTGAAATTTGAAAGCGGTTTACTTCAATCCCACCTGATGGTAAGTGATCAGCCTAACCTGTTACATGCAAGCTCAAATAATACCTATTCACTTATAACTTTCAAGTCTAAGCGATATTGAAACCTTCAAGAAAAGAGCTTATTCCTTCTTAAACGGCCGGCATCGCACTTGTATTCTCCTGGTGTTGCGAGTGCTTATGGGCGACGGTAATCTTATCCTCAGGCAAGCTTTGTCCCCTATGCTATTAAAAACATTTTTTTTGAGGGTTTTGGGCTATTCTTCGTCTGGTGCTAAGACCTGTAGCACTGCGATCTGCATCTATTGTGCTCGTTCTTTTTCAAAGTCCACTACTACACCCGTCAGGGGAAAAAATTGAAGGATATTCTTAGGAGCGATGGTTTTTATCTCATCAGGATAAAGTGTATACTTTTCAAAACATTTTCAAAAAGGGTGGGTAACGCACGGGAATCTCCTCGGCACGGGGACATCCTCCGACCTCCATGGGTTACGGTAATCGTTTATTATCAGATGAGCTATACATATAGCACTACGAACATCACGATATGTGACGCCCGAAATACTAATAATATTTTGCCATTTCTGAAGACCAAGACGTCATTCTGATCGTGAAATGTCGCTGTCGTCAACCGAAACACATCCTACAAAGTATGTCACTTGGCGGCTGAAATACGTGAGATTAAGATACCAATGCAGACTACTTTTAGTCTTGAGTATTTGCCACTATCTTATTAATATTATGAACGCGAAAGTTTGTGAGTATGGATGGATGTTTGTTACTTTTTCATGCAAAAACTACTGGATAGATTTTGATGAAACTTTACAGTAATATAGCTTATACATTAGAATAATATATAGGCTATAAATTTCACGTGTGTGAAATCGCGGGCACAGCTAATTATGGTATAAAAAATGGTGGTCTGATTATGAAACCTAGCACCGTAGTCCCCTTACAATTGACCCACCATGACAGTCTTACTTAGTTCGATTAAGTGAAGTTAATCGACGAATAATGTCAAGGGACATTCGGCAAGGATTTGTTGGGAAACGATTTCTTAACGTCGGTCGGAATAGAGGCCGCGGTGCTATGGTGCCCTCGTTGTCAATTGTCCGCTACGGGAAACTACGATACACCTAAATGTAGGTTTAGTTCATGAGTTCTCAAGAAATACAGATTATTCTCTGTATTTCTTGAGAACTCATGAACTAAACCTACTCTCCGGATTCGCACATTTATATCAACAAATAGAAGAGGTAATAGAAATAATCAATTTTCAAATAATCTTAATATAAGCACTCTTGAATAGTCAATATCACTACATAGTATAAAACAAAGTCGCTGTCGCTGTCTGTCCGTCCCTATGTATGCTTAAATCTATAAAATTACGCAACGGATTTTGAAGCGGTTTTCTTTAATAAATAGCTATAGATTGACAGAGTGATTCAAGAGGAAGGTTTATATGTATAATACATGTGCACTCGGGCGAAGCTGGGCGAGTAGCTAGTTCAAATATATAAGAACTTTTAAATAGTCATTTAATTATTTTTTTTATTCTACATTCGGAAAGCAGACTCGTCACAAGAAGAACGAGTAAAAACTGGCGTATATCTCTTTTAAATGAATGTTTGTCAGCGTTACATATTTAGGATGTGTGCATACAAATCGACAAATTATTTTACACAAAACCTTAACGAATTATACACCTAAACCTTCATCAGAAATCACTTTATTGATGGATGAAATTCGCATTAGAACCCCTTCAGTAATTTTTGACATTAACGTGAACATATAGAGAGAACTGGCGCTTTGTTTTATAAACCACAGTAATATTATAAAGAGGTAAAGTTTTCCATCCGATTACAAATAGGTAAATTTAAGGTAAATTTCTTTTACCAATAGATAGCCACGTTATTTGTGAGTGTCATACTCTTATAAGCTATATAACACCACGCTATCGCATTCGAAGTTGCACGGATCAGCTATACTAGCTAATGCTACTATGCTATATTTCTACATGGACATTCTGTATAAGTCCACCAAAACATATACGAGTATATACTTATGTGTTACAGTGTTATGTACCAGTTGAGTTTCTTGTCGATTTTTATGAACTGAAATATCAATCCGAACTGTACGGTAGGAACAGTGACAAAAAAAATTGACGTGCATATGTAGTAAAAAACGTCCTATATGCATGAATGATTTGGACATGGATACATCGTATCTGTAACAAGGATTAGTCTTGTGGAAACGGTACATACTATGAAAGAGATATTTGTTTGGTTACATCGTTTATGACATATGTATACATAGAGTATGATAAAATATATATCAAACAAAGAGCCGTGTGTCTTGTCCTATATTTAAAATACACACTTGTGAATAAAAGATATTATTGTATAGAGGTCATCGTTACGTCTGGCGAATGATTCTCCAATGTTTAATTTTACTTCTACGAAAGTACCTTCGTTTACGGCCCAAAAACATAATTTCGATCAAAAATTAGACTTATAAAGTAGACGAAATTTCGGCTAGGAATATATTAAAATAAAAAACAAAGTTTATTTCAGCATACAAAGACCCAAAATTCCTTACATACTGTGTAGGGCAGATGTAAATGCAGATAAAATGGATGATAAAATAGACGAATATTCGGCTCTGAAAATATACAGTTGACAGATACTTCAATGTCTGAAACATATTCATTTTCGAACCAAACTAGAACCATACAGTACTTGATTTTCTTTCCTATTGCATAATAGATTGAAAAGGAGTTGTGTGGCAAAATTTATGAAAACAATAAATACATCAATTTTTATCCATGTGTGTCCATATTACAATAATTTTCATCTTAAATTACAGAACCACAGGACGAATCACAAAATGGGTACAAAATTTTGCTCAGTATTGTGCCAACTATTTAAATTACATAGTTCTGTGTGTTCATTCATTCATAAACTTAAGAGCGACGCTCTTGTCGGTGGAGCTCTTGCCACCCTCTACGATCTTCCATCATACTCTTTAAGCTTTGATACGACACGACTCCAATTCTGTCTTTGATTTGTTTGATGTAACTGTGCCTTGGTCTTCCTCTCCGCCTCTTTCCTTCTATCTTTCCCTCAATAATTAGTTTCAAAAATTCATCGTGCCGTATCAAGGGCCCCGACATTTTTCCTCTTCTACTTTCTATAGCATCCAATATCTGCCTTTTTTCTTTCACCCTGTGCAATACTTCTTCATTTCTTACTTTATCTTTCCAGCTGTGTATAGAACATTATTCAAACTTCGAACTAATGGGCATCGTTATATTTATCTGACAGTAAATATTGTTCTTATTAGTGTTAATAGACAATGTCTATTATCTGTGGTCAGATGCAGACGTTTTCTTTTCCATTGTTGTAGTCACGTGGCCGCGTTTACTTTTCCCGCCAATACCTCGGCCCCGCCATTCGTCAAACGGTTGCCAACTTTCATAGTCGCACCGGGACACGAAAAATTGCACGCTGAATTCTTACAAATGGTACGGACAATAAAAGAATTGCGAACCAAACTAAGTGAGGCGAAAGTGAGAGTGTTACAAAATAAATTCGCCGCGGTCAATGAGAGTTTGGCTGCATGGACAATGGTCGCGGCTTCATCAGTGAATGTGTAATGTTAGGTTGTGTTCAATTATATTTTTTATCTGTAGCATTATTAATTTTTTCGCGCCAATATATTGACAGATGATAGTGAGATCTGTGGTAAAGGAAATACATGTGGAAAATAGTTAATAGCATGCTGAAGAAAAAAACGAAGGAAATATTAAAAAGGTAAGGAAATAGTACTATAAATATTGTGCTAATTCTATGGAACCACATTGACTTAAAACGTTTAAAACTATGTAGATGAATATCAAGTATCAAGCGTCGAGCTGTTATACTTATTTATACATCTATACATATAAATAAAATAGGAGTATCTGTTTGTAATATTGAAATAACCGTTTTTTACTACTTGCATATGAATATAAATACGGTACATACACCAAAATAACTTTTGTCTGTCTGTCTGTCTGTTTGTTCCGGCTAATCTCTGAAATGGCTGGACCGATTTTGACGTGACTTTTTTTGGCAGGTAGCTGATGTAATAAGGAGTAACTTATTCTAAGTTTTTATTTTAGAAAAATAAAGTTAAAATCCACGCGGGCGAAGTCGCGGGAACAGCAAGTTCTATATAAATTCTATCTTACTCTTGAAACATATTTAATTAAGAATATTTGGCATAATTACGTTTTGTTTTTTACACAATTATCATTATCATTACATAGTATAAAACAAAGTCGCTACCGCTGTCTGTCCGTCCCTATGTATGCTTAAATCTATAAAACTAAGCAACGGATTTTGAAGCGGTTTTTTTCAATAGATAGAGTGGAATTTTTATATATATATAATACATGTACACCCGTACGAAGCCGGGGCGATTAGCTAGCACAAGATAAACCAGACAGTACAACCAAAATTTATTTAAAAATGCACAGTTTAAACTTTTCAATATTCAAGAACAGAATCTTAAGATACAACGGTACACACATGGGCTCGCGTGCACGATAATTCATAGACAAGAATTAAAAAAAAGTCAAGTAATTACTGAGTAGCTCTCTGATGAGATAATTGTGAAATTTGCATAGTTGACCGCGTGCTGGGAAATGAGGAATTCCTGTTTGATACAACCCATCGCTTAGAGATTATTGATTGCATGGCTGTTTGCTAGTTAAATGAGTACTGCATGATTATGATGTAAGATATTGACGTATTCACGACCTCGATGGTATAGCGGTCTAGCACACCGTCCGATGGTCGCGGGTTTGATTCCTCGCACGGCACAAACATTTGTATGAATACAATGATGAATTGTATGTATTATAATGAAGTAGTATGATTATTTATATTGGTCTGGGTGTTTTTTATGTGTAATATGTATGTATTTACGAAAAAAAATATCTATGTATTTATATCAGTTATCTAGCTAGTTCAATGAGTACTGCATGACGATGATGTAAGATATTGACGTATTCACGACCTCGATGGTATAGAGGTCTAGCACACCGTCCGATGGTCGCGGGTTAGATTCCTCGCACGGCACAAACATTTGTATTCATTAGTATGATTGTTTGTATAGGTCTGGGTGTTTTCTATGTATAATATGTATTTATTTCCAAAAAAATATCTATGTACATGTATCAGTTATCTAGTACCAATAACACAAGCTTCAGCTAGCTTAACTTGTGTCTAGATGGCGCTGTATGAATTGTCCTGAGATTATTTTTATTATCTCTTTTTCACAGCTTAAGCTGGTGATTAATACAGGATGGGACAACAAATCTGACGTCAGTTTATTTAACGTGATGATTTTAATTTTTATTCTGTTCTGTTCTTTAGAAAGCGACGGACTATTGCACATGTATCTAATATAACAGCCTTTTGTAGTGGAATGTAACATATGAACTTCCTGCCGAGGTTATCTCACGTGACTACAGCGTGGGGTTTTTCAAGAAGGGTATATTAAGGTTTCTTAAGGGTCGGCAACGCGCACGTGACACCACTGGTGTTTCAAACGTCCATAGGCTACGATAACCATTTACCATCAGATGGGCCGTATGCTTGTTTGCCACTATAGTAGTACAAAAAAATGTTATTATTATTATTTGAAGTAACCCGTTAACAGTGAGTAAATCTATTGGTTATCCGAGATAAAATCAATAAAGTATTACAACTGGTAGTTTAAAAGTCAGATATCACGCTATACTGCTATTCTCGAAGGAGTAAAATATGCGAATTGCAAACAGATTTTTTATCCATTGTTTATTAGTTTACCTATTGTTACATTATGAAATTAAAAATATATAGTGTCATTGGAGGCACTAAATTATGACATAAATATATACATATAGTACGTTAACAACGCCACCATAGTAGTTAAAAAAAAAATGAATAAAACACGGTTTAGTTTCGTTTTTTATAATGCGAAGAAACTATCTGGCTGTATGTTTGCAACTGTTTCTTACTTTTTCACAAATAAACCTCTAAAGATAGTTTGTAAAATGAGGATGGACATTATATAAAAAAAAATTGACAGTGATAAATAAAGGATAAAAACTTGTATAAACAGCAGACGAAGTACGCAGCACTTTATATAATGTATGATCTTGTGGAGAAAAATAAATGTATCATTATTAAAAAAAAAGAAAAAAAAAGAAGTAGCGGTCACAGGTAACGCGAAAAAGATCAAAAACGATTGAAAAAAAATCTTACAAAATATAATAACTAAATATGTCAAATATATTGAATTAGTTCGCGTGATTTAAGTACATAATAATGTTAACCCAGGACATATCATTGTTTGGAGGAGGGCTTATTGAACCCGTTGCTAATGACGTCATGTGTATCTACAAGAGTCTTCCTTGGAAACCGTTTTTATTAATTCATGGAGAATTCGTCAGTATCTTATATATCTTGACAGTTCGTCTCAAATGAATTAGTTCAATTCATTTTAGCCGAACTGCCAAGATGTCCAATACATATTACATTTATTACGTTTCTTTTTTTAATCAGTCTCGATATAGTTTTAGAATGTGGACTATTATGCTTAATACATTTAAGATCCTGTGCCTGAATATTAACGCTATACACATATGTAGAGCTAAATGACCTATAGACGAAAAAAAAAAAAGAAAATATTATATGACTATTCAAAAGTGTTAGAGTAGTTAGGTATATTAAGTTTATTTAAATAAAGATTATTTCTATTTCTAAAGAACCATTCAAAAGTTTGAGTTTAGTTATATTAAGTTTATTTGAATAAAGATTATTTTTATTTCTTAAGGATAAACCAACACACTTATCTTCTATTTACAGACAGCGATCAGATATTTTTATTACATATATATAGATATGCAGAATATATATTTAAAACAAATATTAGCATTATTTATACAAGAATTTAGTCAACAGAAATCACTGGTGTACCAATTTCTTTTTAGTCTAATGCATCTGCAAACAGTTACACAAGTATAGGAAAAGATATCGGATTGTCAATTGCCACTAATGTGAAAGGCGTAGAGTTGCAACAGTTAATATTACAGTAATGTTGTTAATGTTGGCGTAACTCTGTTATGTTTAAGGTAAGACCGTATTTACCTATCAGCGTCTCCTCTATTCCCGTGTACCTCGTCTTTTTTAAATGTGATAATCGTTTTTTTATTTAATTTACTTATTTGTTGGAATACACTGAAAGTCTGTATTTACCTATCTCGTCTCCTTTATTCTCTCTATTCCCATGTAACTTGTTTTATTTTTAAATGTGATATTCAATAACTTTTTTTTATTTTATTATTTAGTTGGAATAAACTGAAAGTCTGTATTTACCTATTTCGTCTCCTTTATTCTCTCTATTCCCATGTAACTTGTTTTTTTTTTAATGTGATATTCGATTCTTTTTTATTTTATTATTTAGTTGGAATAAATATCTTATTTACCATTATTCCCTCTATTCCCATGTAACTTGTTTTTTTTTCAAATGTGATATGCGATTACTTTTTTTGTTTTATTATTTAGTTGGAATAAACTGAAAGTCTGTAATTATAATATTCAGTATACATGGGAATAGAGAACCCATGTATACTGTTTTTTTTAAATGTGATATTCGATATCATTTTTATTAATGGAATAGCTAATTGACATGACGATCATTATCGTCATGAATGGTCATCCCTGAGATGGGAAGAATCGTACAAAAAAAATCTATATAGCACCACGGACAGTTCTCAAAATATGGATATCGTTGAACAAATAATAACAGTAAACTTTATTTAGACACAACGGTTATTGTATGTACAAGACGGGTATTACTAGATATGTATTCATTGACAGACTTTTCAATAGCAATAGTAATTAAAATGCATACGGCAAATGAACAGACGGTCAAAGTCGCAACAATTTTTTTTTTAAACTTTATTGAAATTTTTATACAATAGGCGGGCTTAATGCTAATAATTATCATGAAATGTGGTACACACGTTCTATACGGCACGAACAATGACATAGGCAACTTTTCATCCTGCAATCTATATGTCGTAGTAATGCGGACGAAGTCACGGGTCATAACTAGTCAAATAAACTTACCGGCAATGGTGTTGAGGAACATGAGATACTCGAAATTGGATATCTCCCTGCGCTGCCACTTCTGCGTCATGTTCGAGTTGCGCATGAGTTGCCGCGGGGACATCATCGAGGCGCGTCTGAAACAACAAGAAAAAAATATTAAAACAATTTATATTTACGATTGTTTTTTTTGTTGGGGTTAATTTCAGGTGCTTTTTTATTTTTTTTGTATTGTATTTATAAGTGTATATATATAGCAATGATGGCTGGCTCATCCGTAATACTCGTGCACGAGTGCTGCTTGTGGGGACTGGTCTATTCAGGTTAAGAACACTGATTAGATTTTTTGTTTTTGCAATAGTATATGCTGGTGGTCACTCTATTCTCCCAAATTTGAATTTAAATTAATCTGTATTATTGTAAACATGTACAACATTTATTTGAAAAGAATACGAGCTGAGTTTCTTGTCAGTTCTTCTAAATCGAAATCATTCCGAAATGACGGTAGATTGCACATATCATAAGAGTCTGTAATAGACCTACATGAATTTGAATTTGGAATGGTGCACCCAACTGCGCTAAAGGTTGATGCTGGCGGAGCACAAGTGGAGAATGATAAGATGAGCATGAGGCTCAGAAATTGTAATATAATCTTTACATTGTATAAAACAAAGTCGATTTATTAAATAATATATGATTAATAGCACAATGTATAAATTTAACTCTAGCGCCATATCCTGAACAGCCGTGATCTATTTCAATTTACTTTGTGCCCGCTGTTTCTGATAGAGACATTGAGTGGATTACGTATACAGTTGTAAATATAATTTACTTCGTTCCGATTGCAGTTGCACGTTACATACAAACTGTTACTTAGCAACAATACTTATTTTAAATGTGATGGATTATACTTTTTCTACTTCAATCAATGTGCCTAATACGGTCCCTTAATCCATTACATTTAAGACATTCTACATCTCTACATTTAAATAACATACATAATATAAAACAATATACAGAAGAGTAAACAATAGAACTACTAGCAAAAAACATATCCAAAATTAAATCTGTTAAAATACTAATAATATCTGTTGGACCTATACTTAGTAACAATACTTATTTTAAATGTGATGGATTATACTTTTTCTACTTCAATCAATGTGCCTAATAGTTTCTCCCGCGTGAATTTTACAATTCTGATGCTATATTACTGTAAAGTTTCATCAAAATCCATTCAGTAGTGTTTGCATGAAAGAGTAACGAACATCCGTCCACACTTACAAACTTACGCGTTTTTAAAATATAGCAAAGTTGTGAATATAACTCTAGCGCCATATTCGTAAATAAATATATATATATATATATAGATATAGAGTTATATTCTTATAGAGTTATATTATTATGGCGCTAGAGTTATATTTACAACTTTTCAATTCCTTATAACCTTGTGGAGTGAAACTATTACAGCATTTTTTTTGTTAAGGCACAGGATATGAGTAGGTTCGTAGTGAATATAAAATTGAGTACGTCGTTCATAGGTTTTATGTAATAACGTTTGCAACACGGTGTTGTGTTTACATTTATGGTTATAAATTTATAAATTGTGCAAACATTCAAATAACGCGTAGTACGATATCGCGACGTAATAACTTAACTCGGTTAAAATGTAACGGAACACAATAACTACGATCAAAATCCCTTCTAGAATACTCTATCAGGTTCGTATTTTACTATTCTCTAGTTTATCAAATTAAAAAAAAGATGCTTTATTTATTTCTATGTAAAATTATTAAGATTAAAAATTGGTAGTATTTCTCTAGTAGTCATAATACTAATTACCGTGGGATTAGGTGGCGCTGTGTTAATTGTCAATATTATGTATTACTAGGTACTCGCCCAGGCTTCGCACGGGTGTACATGTATTATACATATAAACCTTCCTGTTGAATCACTCTATCTATTGAAGAAAACCGCTTCAAAATCCGTTGCGTAGTTTTAAAGATTTAACTATATCTACATAGAGACGGACAGACAGTGATAGAGACTTTGTTTTATACTATGTAATGATAATGATGATTGTGAAAAAAAAAACAAACCGTAATAATGCCAAATGTTCTTAATTAAATATGTTTCAAGAATAAGATAGAATTTATACAGAATTAGCTGTTCCCGTGACTTCGTTTGCTTGGAATGTAACTTTATTTTTCTAAAATAAAAGAATTCATAGGGACGGACAGACAGCGACTGCGACTCTGTTTTAAACTATGCAAAATGATTAAGATTAATTTATTTTATCAGTTCTCTAGTAGTCATAACACAAGCTCTACTCATAGTGGCGCTATGTTAATTGTCCATAATATGCATTATGGTTACACGAGACTTCATTTTATAACCTTATTGAGTATTTATGACTATTCATTGGATAACCGATATGATGTATTATTTAATTAGAGATCTATTACAATAAAGCTTCTACTTTGACATTGTACATTATGGTTGCAATTGATCATAGACACGGCAATACTTTGTACATACTTCAGATATATGTAAGTACATAATATATTATTAAGTTATGTATATAGTTCCTGGATTCCTCGTAATAAAGCAGATTTTAATTCTATTACCACGGTTTCCTTGTTGTATAACTAATGATAAATTATAATTTATCATTAGTTTTATAACAATTATCGAACTATACTCGTATTATGGTTTATTTACAAGTGAAACCGTAGGATAATAATTCGCCGTAAGCAACGGCGGATCCTGGGGGGGGTCATGACCCCCTCTGAGCCCAGGACTTTAGTGTACCACTTATTGAACATAATGATTTTATTTATATATTTTGTCACCATACAGATTTTATTAAATAGTACTTACGTACATTAATAAAATACCTACTTTTTACTTGTATCTATTGTTATCAAAATTAAATTATAAGTTCTTGACTTGACCACGACTATGTGACCATCTCCTGCCGTCAAAGCTGGAATCGCCCTTGGCCGCAAGGTATTAAGTTCGCCATATATACACATTGTTTTTGTGCATTAAGGTTAAATAAATAAATAAATAGTACAGCGGCGTCGGTGGTCTAGCGATTTACCACACGGCTTTACTTCTGATGGTCGCAGGTTCGATTCCTCGCACGGCACAAACATTTGTATTCGTGAGTATGACTGTTTATATCAGTCAGGGTATTTTTATAAATATAAATAATCCTGAACAATTCACACAGTGCCATCTAGTCCCAAGCTAAGCTAAGCCTGTGTTATGCGTACTAGACAACTGAATATATATAATTTGCGCCGTGTCAGGAATCGAACTCGCGAAATTGGAAGTAAACCGTTGTGCTAAACAGCTAGACCATCGAGACTGTCGATTATAGGTTCGGGTTGTGTTATGTATACAAATAAATAACATTGAATGTCTGTTTGTAATTTCAAATTAACAGCTTTTCGCTAACTGCATACTATATACTACATTAAATTAGGTACTTACATTAAAAAATTGAGTAATATTTTTTTGTCTTAATCTCTGAAACCGCTGGACCGATTTTGACGGGACTTCCACTCGTAGATAGCTAATGTTCACGCAAAAGTTTGTGTGTATGGATGGATGTTTATTACTCTTTCACGCAAAAACTACTTAACGGATTTTGATGAAACTTTACAGTAACATAGCTTATACATTAGAATAACATATAAGTTATAAATTTAATGCACTTAAAACAGATAGTTATATTAATAATTTTATTTAATACGATTTTTTTATATATACACAGATAAGATATAAAAACAAATTTCCTGAGTAACATAAACGTAATTCATGCATCGAATATTTTTATTGTGCAGAAATCGAACCCGCGACCATCGGATAAGTCACTAAACCAGTACACGAGGTCGTCTCTATCATATTCATAGTCCATATACGAACACAACACTAGCCCACACAAGTATCTAATAACACCAACCAGAGACAAAACAAGAGTATAAACTTGTCGCGAATACACTTGACCTATATTATCAACTATTATTTATCCGCCATTGAAAGGTAAGGAAGTTCATAAAATCGGGTTATAATGGCGTAAAAATCAGTTAAACGAAATAACTTTCGCGCACTTCCGCGAGTTCACTGAGTGGCGGTAGGGTTGTCAATTGTGTTATTTGAAGCTCACCACTAGGTGAGCAGGCACTAGGTGGACCAGCGTGCAGAAGCTATTCCCTGCACGCCTAGATGAAATCATACAGTTACGAAAACTCTTTTGATATTAATATATTTAAAGTTTTCTTATACTCTATAACCAAAATTATATTATGCCACTTCACTCTCTGCCATCTTACCATTAAATACTATTTTCTAGTCATAAATAGTTTTGCTACATATTTCTACAACACGAATGTAAGTTCTGTACAAGGAGTACAGGCCTTACATTCGGGCTGCTAGGCTGGCAAGACATATCACACAAATATTACGGACACAGTAGTTTTTTTTTAGGGTTGATAATTTAGCTAAGTCACCAGTGGAGGATGATAAATGAGCATGAGTACTTTTTCATTTAACACGATGGTTTCACATTCACATTGTTATGGGGTTTTTTAAAATCGCCCCGGACACAGTAGTTTAGCTAGTCGAAAATAATGAGTACTTTTTCATTACTTTCACATGCAATATTTTTTTTAAATCGTGTACCAAAATATGCTGCGTAACAAATTACAAAAGCTGTTAGTGATTTTTGAGAATTTTGTACGAAATAAAACATATTATACTGTGTATATATTTAATTAATGTAATTTTATTTATTAATGTATCATTAGATTGAATTTGTAAAATTATTAATTATTGTATATTATGACTCGATATATAGGTATCTACTCGCTCTGGCTTCGTCCGGGTGTACATGTAATATACATACAAACCTTCATCTTGAATCACTCTATCTATTAAAAAAACCAAATCAAAATCCGCTGCGTAATTTTAAAGATTTAAGCATATATAGAGACGGACAGACAGCGACGGCGACTTTGTTTTGTACTATGTAATGAATAAATTTTTTACATCGGTTAATAGGCGAAATATAAAATACCTATGAAATAAAGTTGGCAACCCTAATGGGTGTTGCGCGTGCGCCGGGAGATGTGTG